GGCCGATGGCGGAGAACATCCCGTGGCTTACATCAGTCACAAGCTGTTACCCCGAGAAGTAAGCTACGCCGCCATCGAGAAGGAATGCCTGGCTGTGGTGTGGGCCCTAAAGAAACTGCAGCCGTATCTGTATTGACAGCCCTTTTCATTGCTCACGGATCACAACCCGTTGGTATGGCTAAACCGGGTGGCTGGGGACAATGCCAGGCTGCTGCGCTGGAGTTTGGCGCTGCAGCCTTTTGACTTTAATATTCAGTACCGCCCGGGTAAACAAAATGGGAATGCTGACGGGTTGTCGAGACAAACTGACCTGGAAAAATGATCTGTGAGCCCCCGGACATCCCCAAGCCGATCTGTGTTGGATCAGACTGTATGCCGGCTTGTGGGCAAGGGGGAGCAGTGTAGCGGATGGCACTGGGCTGTCCTGCAAATTGCATGTGAATAACTGCATTCGTGTAGCCTGCTAGTTTTCTATGTGTTTAAAAGAAATGTATTCCTTTGATTGTTCGGTAGAATCATTTGCATAAACTAAGGGAATGAAACTACCGAACAATCAGACCTCCCCTGTGTGAAGTGTGCCTTCAATTACCCGTTGCAACAATGTTGCAAATGGGTAATTGACGAGCTATGTAGGAGGTCCTTTGTCTCGGGGTGGCCGCCATTCGGGAAACGAACACGTGGTGGCGGCCATTTTACAACCTCCCGAACAGCGGTGTTTTGCGGTCGAGTGTCTGGAACCCAAATCGGACACTCGACTAGGCGAACACCGCTGAGACCTCCATAAGCCCGGTCCGTTCGGTTCCAACCTACCGAACGGCCTCTTGTTCGGTAGACAGAAACAACCGAACGAGGGGATTCATGTGAATCCTACCTCATCTCTGTAACCCTAGCCGTTCGTGTAAATCATTCCCTTATACTGTGACCGACCGCAGGGCCCCATCGCATGGAACCCAGTTCGGCTGTTCTATCCAGCGTGGTTGGTCTTTTTAGTACCTCCATAAATTTCCCAAACCCCTGGTCCGATCTGGGTGATTTTTGGATATTTAGAACTGAATAACTTGCCTAGTAATCCCAAATTGCCTATATAGATGGAAAACAAAAAGGTATTTGAGAAAAAGCAGGCAAGAGTTGTGGTCAGAAGGTGGTGCCAGTCCACCTAAGGGCTTGTACCCGAGTAAATATATATGGGAAAAGAGGAAAGGGTGGGAGATAGGAAAGCTCCCTAATGACTTGTATAATGGTACTCATGCAGAGTAATCAGCTGACTACTGTCTTTATTAAATTCTGATTGATAGCATAATTTACTAATTACTAATTGGTAAATTATGCTATCAATCAGAATTTATTAAAGACAGTAGTCATCTGATTACTCTGCATGAGTACCATTATACAAGTCATTAGGGAGCTTTCCTATCTCCCACCCTTTCCTCTTTTCCCATATATATACACACATCACATTACTGTAAGGTTTAGTAGGTACAGACCTCCGAGTTGTTGAAACACATTACTCTGCCAGCATTCAATATTTTTCAATTTTTGATTTTTGGATATGTTGCTCACCCAGATCAGGGCTACCAGCGGATGTGCCATTTAAAGGGTACCCCTAGGTTTAGGGGTACATCCAGGAATTGGGGGAATTTGGGTACAGTATAAGGGGATTATGATGCAGGCTGAGGGGAGGAGATGTGTGGGAGGTTACTAATACCGGATTGGGTAATGTACTAATTGTGGAAAATCCCTCCCTTGCATGGGAGCATGCTATATAAGGCACTGTGGGATAAAGGTTGTCAGTTCTGCTCCTGAAACTGTGTGTCGTCCAGTTATTGGGATTGCTGTGGGACATTGCTGTGTTATTTTGCCTGCTGGAAACCTTGCCTGTGGATTTACAATTTACTTGTTCCTGAGCCTCACTTGGATTATAAACAGAGATAGCCTGGGGAATCTTGTATCTCTGCTACATCGTACATACATTTAAGTTCATGACCATTCACGAAAGAGACAAGCCCCATCTAGGGAAAGAGAACTGGTTTTTAGGGTTAGGAGCTGGCCCTAGTCTAGAAAACGAAATATATCGGTCCCACGAGGCCAACTCCTTTTAACTTTTTAGCCGTATCAAATTGGTGCCGAAACCCGGGAATGACGGTTCACTTATCTGGAACTGGAGAAACTGTGCCTCTCTGACTGTGAAGGAGTGCTGCAGCAAGGTGAGAAAGAGTGTTTATTTTTCTACCTGTTACCTTCACACTCAGAGCAGTGCTTATTCTGTGTCCGGGTAAGTTTTAGACTTAAAAATTGTAATTTCCCAAGAACATATTTAAAGGGACATACTATGTTAAGGTGAAATGTCTTGTGAAAAATCTTGGAATCTTGAGATAGCAGAATATATCTGGGGGCTTAACTTTGTTTACCTTGTCATTTGTTTTACAGTTTTATAGTTAGTCAGAATCCTCCAAGACAGATCTCTGATCTGTGTTTAAATAAAGAAGACAAAGACTGTGAAAATTCCATTTCAGTAGTCCTAAGTGTTTAAACACTGTTTGTATAGTCTTGTATTGGTTAAGGAAGTAATTACAGGTGTTAGAGATTGTTACCTCACAAAAAGGACTCCGGAGGTGCTCTAACTATAGTTAAACATCTTGAAGGCAATAAAGAAATTACTTAAGAAAGCTGGCATGTCCTCAGAGGGCACCCTTGACCCACAGATATGGAATGGATTTATGAAGTCTGCCAGGCTCTCCCTATCACCCTCAGTAGGTGAGCAGTCTACTAAAGTCTCTGGTATGGTAAAGGAGATGACTCCGGTGGAGGAGGTAGTGTAGAGGAGTGATAGTTTTACTGTTCTTTTCCAATATATATCTATATATTTGCTGATGGTTATGTGTGGGTGGTGTTCTATATATGTTTCACCATATGGGATTTTTGGGGGGCATATTTAAGGGTGCAGCCCTCTAATCCCATTTATCATGATATCTCTGATTATTTCTCCAGTCTCCTATTTCATAAAGTCTGAGTTTGTTTTTCTGTTTATATTGTTATGTATTATTTCACATGCGATCTATATGTCTGGTATGATTGCTATATCTATACCATAAGCCCACTTGGGATAGTGTGACTGTGTTGTGTTGTCTGCATTATGAGCCTAGTATTTTCATACTGAGACAAAAGTCACTTCATTAGTATTTGAAAGTTAAGTCCCCATACGGGATTAACTGTGTAAAACATCAAGTAGGGGCGTGGCTTGGACGCGGGAGTGAATGGCCGCATGAATGCCGAGCTCCGCTCGAGACTGGCCTGAATAACTAGAATCCCGGCAACTTTACAGACATGGCGACCAAAAGACTGAAGGCACAAGCAGGCAACACTCCCTCCTCTAACCTCTTATCCTCCAAAACGTCCCTGAGGAGATTCTTCGCGGAGAAGCAGGAGACAGACATGCGGTCCAAAATGGCCGCGGCGGAGAAATCTCCCGCGAGCCGCGCTCCTGCCTGCCCTACTCCCTCAGACAGCTCCACAGAGGGAACAGATATTAAATCTATTCTGACCCAGCTGCCTTCCAAACTGGACCTCGAAGCCATGTTCTCCAAAATGGAAAGGAGCTTTGGCGACAAGCTGCAATCACTACATGAGGAGGTAAGCCACATTGGCAATAGAGTGCAACTGCTGGAAGAGGGGGGGGGGGGAAACAACAGCCCTGCAAATACACAACATGCAAACTCTCCAGCAAACCCAGAATGAAGCCCTAATATTCCTACAAAGGAAAATAGAGGACCTTGACAATAGGGGAAGGCACAATAACCTCAGAATTAGAGGCATCCCTGAAGCCCCTGAAGGGACAAATGAAAATATAACACAAATCCTCACAAATCTTTTTTTTTTAAATTCTTTATTTTTCTTGTGCATAGTTTGACAACAAGCGTGTAGTGCCACAACAGCCTCCACAAGCATTTTCATAACATTTCAAAGTGTAGCAGATTAGACAGCACATTTTTATATAACATTGAGGATAACAGGCTATTAGGCAACAGTATTGTGTAGTCTAACATGCTAGGCTAGATATGCATGTGGCAAAACTATTTGCGCTTTAGTTTATAGGTGTGTAGTTTTGCATTCTTAAAGAACGGAGCTTTTATGCTTAAGGTACTGGTTGCATGTTTTTGAGTGCTAAGCGTGTTCGTCTGAAGTCAAGGGTTGGAAGTGTATTCAGAAGCGTAAGCAGCATGTAGTGTGGGAGGGCTATGTTCTAACATCAAGATATTCGCTGGTGGCCTTGGCATAGGAATCCGCGGGCGGTCTCCGCGGAACAAACTCTGGTGCATTTGCAGAGTATCTTGCGTGTTGGCGCGCTTGTCCTGCTGATGGCGTCGCCGGGACTAATGGTTCTGTGGGGAGGCCAAGTAAGCCCAGTAACCCGGTGGCCTCTTGCATGTCGTGTATTACATGCTTGGTGCCTTCCTTGTCAATGTTGAGAGTACGGCCAGGTCCCCAGCGGTACCGGATTTGATGGAGGAGCAGGAGTGCTGTGAGTGGGCTCATTGTTCTCCTCCATGCCAGCGTCCCGCCTGATAAATCTGAATAGAAGGAGAGGGTCATTCCTTCAAAGGGGTATGTGGGTTGAGCTCGAACGACCTCCATAATCGCTTTCTTGTCCCTGAATAGTTGAAACTGGAGAATGACATCCCCTGACGCGGCAGTTGGGGCCTTCGCTGGTCTTGGTATGCGGAATATTTCCTCCAGGGTTATTGCTTTTGCTGCCTTTGGGTTCAGCAGGTCAGTGAGTAATCTCCTGATGAAATGTGGGAGTTCGGCCTCTGGAACAGAGTCGGCCACCCCCCGTAGCTTTATGTTGTTTCGTCGTGACTTATCTTCGTGGGTTGCGAGTTGTTGCTCAAGTTGCCGGGTTTTCTGTTGCATGTCCCGGATCGTTGCCTGGAGGTCCACGATCTGACTAGAGTGTTTGGTAGAGGTGGCTTCCACTGCCCCCAGCCTGGTAGTAATGCCTTTAATGTCCTGTCTGAGCAGGGCCACATCATCCGCAATTTTCTTGTGGTGGTCTGCCATAAGCGCCCCAATTGCCTCCATGGTCACAGGGGTTGGGGTTTTCGTGGGTGACTGTGCCCATGTAGATAGTGGGTCATGCCTGGGCACTATGGGATCTCCCTCGTCTGCCTCCGACGACTCATCTGTAAAGTCGGAGCAGCCGCCGTGTAAGGACGCCATTTTGGCTCCTGCTGCATCGTGCGCCTGCCGCCATAGTTCCCCGATGTCCATGCCCTGACGGGGCTTGTCGGGTTTCACCTTCTTGTTTTTCCGACCCATGGAGCCCGGGGGGTTTTCTGGGTCTCCCTGCGGCAAGTTGGCGTAGGTTGAGATGTCGGTAAAGGTGTTTATTTAGTCCGCTGGTCCGGAGCTCCACGGCCATGCGACCGTCCGGTTCAAACGCTAAGCTCCGCCTCCTCACAAATCTTTTTAATCAGCTTCTGGGCAGACCGCTAGACATCCCCATCAAGCTGGACCGCGCTCACAGAGCAATACGGCCGAAAGCGTTGGCGAATGAGACACCAAGGGACATAATTTGCAGGCTCCACCATTTTCCCATCAAAGAGATGATTCTTCAAAAAGCCAAGCAAATCAGAGACATTGCATTTACCGACCACAAAGTGCAGATATTCCAGGACCTGGCGCGATCCACACTGATAGCGAGAAGAGCACTGCGCCCGATCACAAAAACACTCTCGGACCGCAACATACGGTTCCGCTGGGCATACCCATTTGCTTTGGTGGTGAATCGCCAAGGGAAGACACACTCAATATCTACTCCAGCGGATGTCTTGACGTTCCAACTAGCCCTAGGCATACCCACCGACGCGGTGGAAGATTGGACTGGTCTCTACATGGAACAGGACAGGCACATACCCCAGAGGGCCAAATGGCAACGCAGCCCCAGGAAGCGAGGGAGACGGACCCCCTCGGGAAATGAACTGCCCTCGACACCAAAAGGCACTGCCACGAGACCGACCTAAAAGACTTGATATATCCTTTCACTCTGCTAAAAATGCCTAAGCCATAGAGGCGCTTGCCTCAACTAACGCCTAGTTAATGCCATGTTTATATATATATATACATGTTTCTATATATCTACTGTTTAATGTGTAACCTAATGCCAAAGTTCCACGTGGCTGGGGCCCAGACAACCAGAGGGCATCCGGGACCCTGGACACGCTGGAACTGGGATTCAATCAATAGATATGTCATAATAAGATATAAGCGATGTTAACATAAGCTAATGCAAGATCTCTAACGATACCCGAATTATGTATATCACACGCGCAGCTGGCCTAGAGTCTCAACGGGTCTAGACCACACAACCCCCCAAGAGGTGCCACAAAGAGCATGCGGGATCCATATGATCCACAGCGGGCTTGACACCATCTGGATGCAGCAGGCACGCTGCATATACACTGTCTATAGTTTCTACAGTTTATGTTTTTCCCCCAAACCCCAACCCCCCATTGGGTATAGGTCCTCATCACATCATTTAAGCCCGAGAAGCTTCCACCCGTGGCTGTTCTATGATGGATAATCTTAAACTCATGTCCCTGAATGTAAGGGGACTTAACGCCTGAAAAAAGCACAATCCTAGTGCATGAACTAGACAGATAGCAGATGGATATAGTATTCCTCCAGGAAACTCATTTTAGAGGAGATCAGACCCCCTTATTGAAAACTAAATCGATGGGCCAATCGTACTTTAGCAATTACCATGGAGGCAAATCTAGAGGGGTCGCTATTCTACTATCATCCAGGAGAGCATTCATGCTCCAAGACAGCAAACTAGACCCACAGGGAAGGTATATTTTCCTCAAAGGAAAGATTAACAATACCCTCATTACCCTAGTGAATGTTTATGCGCCCAACAACAGACAGGTCCCATTCATCAAATCATGCCTCAGAAAACTAGAGAACTTTGCAGAGGCGTTAGTGGTGTTAGGGGGCGACTGGAACATAGTCTTAGATCACTCAATGGACAGCACTGCGACAGGTAAAGACACATTAGCACACCAACGTCTGCTATTCCAAAAAGCGCTGCATGCTAACCAACTAGTCGACTGCTGGAGGATTGCCCATCCCCAGGAAAGGGATTACACATACTTCTCCCAGGTAGCCCATAGTTACTCTAGATCGGATATGTTCTTGATAGGACACAAGCACTTGCACGCATTAGCCTCCATGTCCTTGGGTCCGATCACATGGTCGGACCATGCCCCAATATTCCTTACATTGTCTCTAGACGAGAAGAGTGCCGTAAGCAACTCGTGGCGCCTAAACGAATCACTACTAGATGATCCCAGGGTAACTGAAGACTTGACCAACGAACTGCCCAGGTACTTTCACGAAAATGAAGGTAAAGGCACAGTGGAACCATGGGTATGGGAAGCACACAAAGGTATAACCCGAGGGACCCTGATTAAGTGGGGAGCTCGCATAAAACGGTAACGAGCGGCACGAATCCAATCCCTAACTGAAGCCATATACATAGCAGAATCTGCCCACAAGGCTACCCCCACACCCGACGCATACAAAACACTAACAGCATTAAGAATGGAACTGCGAAACCTCCTTACAGCGAAAGCTCATAGGGCAGCCCAGCTGACTAAGGGGACATACTATGCGCACGGCAATAAAAGTGGGAAATATCTAGCTAGGGCCCTAAAGGACAAACACCAAAAGACATACATTTCCCACATAACCACATAAGTTGGAATACGCCAAGACGCGACAGAGGACCTTTCAAGACTACTACAGCGACCTCTACAACTTGGGACAACCACTGAACACACAACATAATACGGCAGCATACATCTCGGCCCACACTCATAAAAAACTAGACCCACAACAAACATCCCAATTAGAATTACCTATCCAACCTGAGGAACTCTGAATAGCAATACAGACCCTCCCTAAAGGCAAAAGCCCAGGTCCAGACGGCCTTACGGCCAGATACTATCAGACTTTCCAACACATATTGATTCCAAGGTACCTAGAAGTCCTCAACACTCTGTTGGTCAAAGATGTTCTGCCACCACCCATGCTAAAGGCCTCGATCACTGTTCTCCCAAAACCGGGTAAAGACCCAAGCATATGTGGCAGCTACAGGCCAATATCCTTAATCAACCTAGATCTAAAGCTTTTTGCTAAAATTTTGGCCAATAGGGTTAAACCACTCCTTCCTGACCTGATTCATGCAGATCAGGCGGGATTCATCCCGGGGAGAGAGACCCGGGACAACACGACCCGTCTCCTAAACGTCATGCACGGCGCACTGTCCTCCAAGACAATGAAATCAGCCTTTATATCCTATATATGGGGAAATAAAAAATTGAGAATAGCGTATGACACTCTCACAAGGAACAAGAAGGAAGGGGGGCTGGGTCTACCTCATGTATATAAATACTACATAGCGACCCTCCTCACTAGAGTGAGAGAGTGGACTGACACCCAACACAAAAAAGCATGGTATGACCTGGAGCAAAGTTTGTCCACAGTACCCCTGTCCACACTACCCTGGCAGACATGCCACCTGCAAAAAATTGCCATCATATTACACCCACTTCTCTACCACATCTTAAAGAAATGGAGACTCCACAAAACCTCATGGGGACTATCTCTGGGAATCTCCCCACTTTATCGACTAGCACACAATCCCGATATCCTGGGGGGAAGGGGAAGGGGAGCTCCAACACTGAGGAAAATACTGGGGACAACTGATCCTCTTATAGGAGACATGATGACAAATGACACCCCCCCAATATCAAATCTCTACAGGAATTGGGGGGCCAGAGCTCGCTCACTGAAACGCTAAGATATGGGCACATACGCCACACTCTGCAAAGCACAGTACTACCAAACTGGAACCCGAGAGCTCTCACCCAATTTGAGCAACTATGCACCGCCAAATCAGCGCGCAAATGCACACTCTCCCAAATATATAAATTACTGGTTTCCCCCCAAAGAGTCCAAGCGACTCCCCCCTCCCACCGGCGGTGGATGAAAGGGTTACACATTCACATGACTCCCGCCGATTGGAAATACATCCTAACAAGACCTATGACAGCCTCCATTAGCCTCTCAAGACGTGAATCCTTCTACAAGCGCATCACAAGATGGTACAGGACCCCAGATCTCCTACACCAATTCTGGCCAACACTTAGTGATAAATGCTGGAGATGCGACAGTGGGGTGGGGACAATGGAACACATATGGTGGGAATGCCCACACATTAGACAGTACTGGACAGAGGTAATAGCAATAATAAAACCATCCTAACACTTCCACATTCACTGACACCCTCCTAAATCCTGCTGGGCTGGCCACAAACCTTCCAAAACCCGAAAACCCAGCAACTACTGTGGATGTTATTAGGGGAAGCAAACAACCTTATTCCCTTATACTGGAGAAAAACAGAAACCCCCACTGTGACACAATGGATAGATAGGGTAGAAGCTACGAGAGAAATGGAGAACATATACTGGTCTCCACTAGGCCGACCTGACAAATACGCCATCACATGGGAACCTTGGCTACGATATTGGGCAAAAAACGACACTAATCATAGCCAACAATGATGAACCACCGCAATACTCAATGGGAACCACCCTCCCCCCCACCCTTCCACCCCTCTCAGTTACCCCAAGATGGGGAACCTAAGAGATATAGACCTTTCCCCACCCCACACCACCACCCAGTTAGGGCCCCCAATCCTGAGGTCTCAATGTTGGGAAGGGGGGACTAATGCACAGGTCACGTGGTGCCCCAAAACACCTGAAAACCCCAGAGGGGACTCAGGAGTAAACCGTTCGCCTACAATGACACGTTGAAACCCAAGGGGCACAACTCATAGTAAGATCTAGAGAAAGTAGGAGACGATTGGGCCTCCGCAAAAGTTACGTGACACACCAAAAGAGTAATGTACCATCTATTGTTTCTACAATAAGCTGTTTCCAACATGTAACAACCAACCATGCACCTTTGTTGTATTATGCCTATTGTATTCTCCCTAATCTTACTGAACCCCATTCCCTCATTTTTCTTCTGTACCCCCTTTCCTATGACAAAAACCAATAAAACTGGAATTAAACAAAAAAAAAAAACATCAAGTACCACATTTTCCCTGCCCTTTGTGTTTTTTTTCAGAGGATCTATACTGTAAATATATTTTTTTGTTTGTAAATTAGAGAGCAACATCTACATTTTCAGTGGTCCAACACATGCTTCATTTTGTGCTGTAAGCTAACTTTCCCTTGCTACATGTACTCTAAATGATCCAGTGCATCACTTGCTGAATATGCTTTATGATTCTGTGTAGATTAGTTTTTAAGGAAATACTCCTTATTATGACTAATATGTCTCACATTATATGTGTTCTTTTAAATTCTGAAAATCTACAAATTGTTGTACAGGGATGCTGAGATTTTATTCCTTGTGACCACAACTGTAGACTACATATGTGTTGGCTTTGAGGTTTGGTCAGGTATGTAGTCTGGATCAAAATATCATGGACAAAGGTTGATTCTACGTTTCTCTATTGCTCTTAAACACTCAAATGGATCAGTCCATTCAAAGGTTTGCCATGCCTTACATGGTCTAGCATAATAATGTTGAGTCTCTGTGAGTTCTGAGAGATTCGGGTAACACCATGTATGTGTAATCTGGTCCAGATATTTGCTTAATTTCTATAACATTTAGGATGATGTAGCATCATCTCAGAGATAAATTTTATTGACAAGGTACAGATCTCGCAATAAGTTAATGCAAGTTTCACACGAATATGTAAGACGAGAGTGCGCTATATAAAGGGATCCCTTCTTTATAAACAACACTATGGTAGATTATGGTAACGGCCCTGCTTATCTGAGCCGTTTTCCATTCATGTGACCCCAGCTACTGCTGCTTAAATTAACTCAACTATTACACCTCTTTTCCTTGGTGTGCCCTCTTTATACAGGCCTACCCGTATGTTGGAATCGACACAGCACTACCAACTTTCCATTCCTTCTACTGTTACGTAACCCATTAAGTTGCCACCACAAATATTTATATGTATTAATGCCAGTTGGCCTGTAATTGTGGGAGGGGCTTATATGTTACTTACACCTTACCTTACTCCATACCGTCCGAGGTTCTAAAACCATGTGTACCAATGAACTGTACTCTAATCCCTACTTAACGTCTGTCAACATTAATACATTGTCAGCTTTACTATCAACACACCCTTCTAGATATCTGGTGGATTTCCTAATCTCAGGATTTTCTGAGGGATTCCATACAGGAATTATACACATGCCTTCAGGGAATCTAGAATGCCAAAACTTGCAGTCAGCACAGCAGAATCCCACGGCTGTGAACAACCTCATAGCACAAGAAATTGCTGAGGGTTTCTTATTAGAGCCTTTCCAATCCCCACCATTTACTGCATGGAGGACAAACCCCATCAGTGTTGTCACAGGGAAAACCTCCCTTAAACAAAGACTGATCATTGACTTATCAGCACACCACACCTCTGCAATTCCGAGTCTCAACTCACTGATTCCCTCTGAGGAATTTCCCTACAATACGCCACCATTGACCATGCCATTACAGCTATCATTAAAGCAGGGGTAGGAGCTTGGTTAAGAAAAACTGATATAGTTAACACGTTTAAACGCCTACCAATTTATCCCACACTTTGACACCTACATGGCATTAAATGGGAAGGCAGCAACTATTTTTTTTTTCACGCTTAACCTTTGTGTCAAAGAGAAGCCCTAAAATCTTTGAAATTTTTGCAGAGACTCTGTGCTGGTTGTTATTAAACATATCCAGATGCCCCACAGTCATCCATTATTTAGATGACTTCTTTATGGTCGAAGAAAACACCTTTCCCACAAGAAGCCTCAGGGAAGCCATTAGACTTTTTGATTGCTTGGGGATTCCAGTATCCCCTAAGAAAACAGAAGGCCCGGACACTATCATCAACTTCCTAGGCATCCAACTAGAGTCTATTTCCATGCAAGCAAGCTTACCACAGGACAAGACTCTCATCAATCACAGGACTCTCATCAATCACTATCTTCTTCTAGGTTCATGCAATCGTAAAGAGTTACATTCCCTATTAGGTTCCTTAAATTTTATCATGTGCATTATTGCACAAGGCCATGCTTTGATCTACAGATTGCTGTCTCTTCCCATACTTTTTTAATGATGATAATCGACTGACCCTGGATGCCCAAGACACAGCAGACCTACTTATGTGGCAGAATTTCTTAACCACATGGGTTCCTCCCAGGGTTATCTGAGAATTCACCAACCATATGGTCAGACGTGGCATCTACCACGGGTTTTGCAGCAATCCATGGGAATGAATGGCTTTGGGCTAGCTGGCCTGCGGAAGTCAAGAATTTGGAAGGTTTTTCTACTACCTCAACACTTTTTGAGATTTACCCCATTGTGGCGGCTGCGGTGGCTTGGGGTCATTTATGGTCTGGGTTGTTAGTTTGTTGTTACTGAGACAACCAGGCCACATGCCAGATTATTAACAAAGGCCGCTCATCATCTTTAATAATTATGAGATTTCTCAGGAAACTAACCTGGTTAGCGGCATGTCACCAATTTTTCTTAGTATGTTTTCATGTACCAGGTGTTTGTACTATTGCAGCAGACAATTTATCTCGGTTTAAATTCCAGGCATTTCACCAAGTTGTACCCACAGCCGCTCAAGCAGCCACAGCCGCCCCCTCGTTTCAGAATCTAATCATGGATTAGATATCCTTTTGCAACATAGCCTGGAACTATCACAACTGGCACTCTCGGCCAACACTCGCAAAACATGTAATAGAGCTTTTTCTGTTATTTAAAAGATTCCTTTTGGAACACAACATCTCTCATTGTGACAGATCTCTCTGTCTTGAACTTAGAGACTTATTCTTCAATCGTTATTTTAATTCGTTTTTTCTCGTTCGTGTGGACTCCATACCGTTCCCTTTTCAACTACCAAATAAAACTCCTGAACGGCCGGCCACCCAGTCCAAGACAAACTACTGGACTCAGTGGGACCACTTTCCAGGATCATGTACCTGGCAGATGATACTCTCACGAAAGCAGACCAATTCGACGCGACCATGGTTCGCGAATGGGCTCACGATGTACGGGAGTGGGCACAAAGATGCTTATGCTTTGTGGGTAACACCAATGCCGCCCTCTGATCCGAGCGGCGCAAAGCAGCTTTACTCCGCATTGACGGAAAGTTGATGGAATTGGGCACCAAAGAACTGGGTCCGCTGGCACAGGGCAAACTGTTTGGAGACCCATCCTCAAAGACTTAAATAAACATGTAAATATATTTACTTCTCTGAATAAAGCTCAATCTTCCATGAGGAGAGTGTTTAGACATAACCCCGCCAGGGGTGATTTGGAAGGGCTGGCCGCCAAAGGGGCCGTGCTGCCAGCCGATTCTGGCCTTCAGGCCCCCGCAATGCAAGGCCCCGACCTTTCTACTCCGAAGTGGGATACCGTCAACAGTTCTCATACACCAGAGGAGCAGACAGAGGACGTGGACCACGTACCCGAGGCAGAGCACATCTTTCCACAGGTAAGCAATCACCTAATACAGTGCCTTCCCCTTTTGTATTGCAGGTCGCATCTCCCTTTTCTTTCAGGAATGGCAAACCATCTCCACGGACAGCTGGATCCGGCAAACAGTGCAGGGCTACATCATCGACTTCACGGTCCGTCCGTGACAAACGGTCGATCCGTACCCCATCAAATGCTCAACAGAGGACACCGATCTCATTCACAAAGAACTACGAGCGAAAGGCACAATCGAACCCGCCTCCGGACCACACGGTTTCTTCAGCAACATATTCCTGGTGAAGAAGAAAACAGGGAACTTTCGCCCTGTCAAAAACTCAAAAAAACTCAACGAATACGTTACATACAGGCACTTCAAGATGGAAGGCATACACTTCCTGAGAGACCTATTACAAGACAGAGATTGGTTCACAAGACTGGACCTGAAGGACACATACTTTTCAGTACCCGTCCACCACTCCTGTCGACAATTCCTGCGTTTCCACTGGCAGGGCCGCCCCTGGCAATTCACGTGCCTCTACTTCGGCCTCAGCTCAGCCCCATGGTGCTTCACCAAATTACTGAAGCCCGTGGTCGCTCACCTTCGAGCACAGGGAATTCGGTGCATTATATACCTGGACGACCTCCTGCTGTTCTGCTCCGAAAAGTCCAGACTGATACAGCACACAAGCTATGCCACGGACCTCCTATCATCCCTGGGATTTGTAGTGAACTTTAACAAATCAGCCATGACACCATGTCAAACAGTACAGGATTCGAGATAGATTCCACCACAAGCACCCTACGGCTACCGGCGTCAAAGATCCCGAACATTCGCAAAGAACTGCTCAAGACCATTCGCGCCCACACCATTCCACTCAGCGCCCTCGCTCGAATAGTGGGACTCCTCTCAGCTTCTATACAAGCTATCTTCCCGGGCCCACTTCACTACAGAGCAATGCAACGCCTCAAAGTGTCATTCCTCAGACAAAACCCATCTTACGACCAACCGATCCCAGTAACGGAGGAGGTCAGAGACGAACTCAGCTGGTGGCTACAAAGCATGGAATGGTCGGGCCATCTTTGGGAGCACACCCAACATAGCCCTGGAATCGGACGCCAGCCTCTGGGGGTGTGGCGCCACAAGCAGCGGTACATCAACAGGCAGTGCCTGGAACTCCCAGGACCTCAACATGCATATAAACTGCCTGGAACTCCTGGCGGGATCTTTTGCCATTCGCAGCCTCGCAAAAGAAAAGACGGACTGCTGCATCCTTTTACGGATGGACAACATCTCAGCGGTCCGCTACATCAACCGCCTGGGCGGGACATGATCCCGGATCCTGTCAGAAATAACGAAGGAGATTTTCGACTTCTGCTTACCCCGCAACATCTCCCTCAAAGCGGAATATCTCCCGGGGGAAACGAACCTCACGGCGGACTGGTTTTCACGCCACTGGAGGGACACCAGCGATTGGAAACTGGATCCCTAAAATCTTCCAAAGTCTAAAACCGCATCGAGGTCCATTTCACCTAGATCTGTTCGCGTCTCGCAACAACAGGCAAACACAGACATATTTCAGTTGGTTCCCGGACCTGGAGAGCAAAGCAATGGATGCATTCCTTCAACCATGGCCGACCACGGGGGCATACGCCTTTCCCCCATTCGCCATGATAGCAAGGACCATACACTACCTGAGACGACAACAAAAATCCCTTCTACTCATCACACCCCTATGGACAGGACAACCATGGTTTCCAGACCTCTTAGCCCTATCTTGCCGGGATCCCCTCCTGCTACCTTCACACCAATATACCCTCAGGGATCCGAAAGGGAGCCCCCACCCATTGATCCTGGCCAACCGACTCAATCTGGTGGCTTGGACTCTTTCCGGGGTGCCTAGCAAGTTGGCGAACTATCGCAGGCTGCTAAGGACCTCCTATGTTACTCATGGGCTCCAGGAACCAGAAGATCCTACCTGTCGCTTGGAGTTCCTGGTCCGATTGGTGCATGGAACGGAACCTTGATCCATTTACGACCTCTATTCCTTCCATTTTAAACTATCTAACCCATCTGTTCTCAACAGGACGATCATACAGGTCAATTAATGTGGTCCGTTCCGCTATCTCAGCGGCCCACGTCCCTATTATAGGGATCCAAGTGGGTAAAGACCCGCTGATATGTCGACTTTTCAGGGGCATTCGCCTGCAGCGACATTCCAAATATCTTGTCGCACGAAATCGGATTCTTCAACAGTTTTCTACCCCTTCTTCATCTCCGATCCACAACTCTGCATCGTACCCACGCTACGACGCTATGTAGAGGTTACACTTCCGATTCGGACACCACCTTCTGGACAACTCCTTGTGTCATATGTTCGACCACACGTTCCAATCACTACCACCACACTCGCCAGATGGGTTCGCTGGATACTTTCACTCGCAGGCGTGGGTGCTTCCTTCGGGGCCCACTCGGTACGAGGAGCAGCAGCTTCCTCAGCTTTCGCAGCGGGTGCCTCATTATCGGACATCCTACGTTCTGCGGACTGGTCGAGAGAATCCACGTTTCGCACTTTTTACTTTCGTCCGAACTCTAACGCGGTCATGTCACTCTTACTACAGTGTTAAAAATGCAAAATAGGAAGCCTCCTGTCATGTGATAAAATTGAAGATTATGCTCAGTGTACCTATAATCTTAATTTTAATAATGACAGGAGGCGAGTATTTTCCCTCCCTTTCCCACCTGTTGAAGATAGAACCGTTCGTACTATAGATTCTAGTGTTTTCTCTCTCATCCTTCTCTCGAATCTGTCTCTAAACTACTACCTTCATCGGTCAGGGACAGTAACTGTTATCAATTGATTCTGTGATTTACGCATATGTTGCTATTATCATTGCTGGGTCACGGTTATGGTAACAACCAGTAAGAGGCCAGAGTCTAACCCATTTCACATTCACATTTCAGTTTAACTTCATCATCTTCTGGAGTTTTGGGAGCTACTTTGGCAAACTACCCAGATGACTACTCTCCATGAGGACCGCCTAATGTTGGACACTCACCCGTTGGTGTTGGTTACAGTTGATCATTATACTACTGGTCATTCACCGTTGTACCTTCCAGATGTCTTTGGATTAGCTTCTCTATGTTACGATATTTAACTTTTTTTCTCTGTTATGATGTCGCTTCTGAAAGAGGAGGAGGGCCTATTTTGTGGGAATACCTTATTCCCTATTGCATTTTTGATTGGTTAAACGTTTACTTTCTTTACTACTGAGTTTAGTAAAGAGAGATATGCAAAATACTCGCCTTCTGTCATTATTAAGATTATAGGTACACTGACGCTAGCATAATCTTCAATAGTATTAAAACTTTGATTGACCATATATTGCCCTCTTTTATTTACAAGCCTACTGCATCGTCGGTTCCGGCACACCACGACTGACTTGCTCTTTTATACTATTCATACTCTTATACTTAGCCTTACTCCTTATATGGCTTTGTGCCCCTAACACAAGTATTAAGGCCGGCTGGCCTGTAATTGTGGGAGGAGCTTATATGTCACTTACCTACTTAAGGTAAGGTTACCTTACTCCATACCGTCCGAGGTCTAATGATTTGCATGACCCTCCCTCCACTCAACATTTCCATCTTTCTCTTTTTCTCTTTCTTTTCCTTTTCTTTTCTTTTACTGCTTGGTGGGCCCTCTTATATGTACAGGCCTACCGCATCATTGGTTCCAGCACACCACAACCAACTTGCTCTTTTATACTATTCTACGCTTATACTCAGCCTTACTCCTTAGTTACATAGTTACATAGCTGAAAAGAGACTTGCGTCCATCAAGTTCAGCCTACCTCACATTTGTTTTTTGCTGTTGATCCAAAAGAACTAAAAAAAAACCCAGTTTGAAATACAATTTTGCAACAAGCTAGGAAAAAAATTCCTTCTTGACCCCAGAATGGCAGTCAGATTTATCCTTGGATCAAGCAGTTATTACCCTACATTGAAAGATTGTATCCTTGAATATTCTGTTCTTGCAAGTATGCATCTAGTAGCCGTTTGAACATCTGTATGGACTCTGATAAAACCACTTCTTCAGGCAGAGAATTCCACATCCTGATTGTTCTTACAGTAAAAAAATCTTTCCTTTGCCTTAGACGAAATCTTCTTTCTTCCAGTCTAAACGCATGGCCTCGTGTCCTATGTAAAGTCCGGTTTGTGAATAGATTTCCACACAATGGTTTGTATTGGCCCCGAATATATTTGTATAATGTTATCATATCCCCTCTCAGGCGACGTTTTTCTAAACTAAATAGGTTTAAATTTGTTAACCTTTCTTCATAGCCAATATGTTCCATTCCTTTTATTAATTTTGTAACCCGCCTCTGCACTTTTTCTAGTGCCATAATATCCTTCTTTAGAACAGGTGCCCAAAATTGCACAGCATAGTCAATATGGGGTCTTACCAGTGATTTATAAAGAGGCAAAATTATGTTCTTGTCCCGAGAATGAATGCCCCTTTTCATGCATGACAATACCTTACTGGCCTTGGCCACTGCTGATTGACATTGCACATTGTTGCATAGTTTGTTGTCTATAACAATTCCCAAGTCCTTTTCATGTGTTGTTATTCCTAATTCGCTTCCATTAAGGGTATACGTTGCTTGTGTATTCTTTACGCCGAAGTGCATAACTTTGCATTTTTCAACATAAATTTAATCTGCCATTTGAGTGCCCAGTCCCCCAGTCTGTCTAAATCCCTCTGCAGCAAAGTAATATCTTGCTCACATTGTATTGTTTTACAAAGTTTGGTGTCATCTGCAAACACTGAAACATGACTTTCAATGCGGTCTTCAAGATCATTTATAAACATGTTAAATAGAAGGGGTCCCAGAACAGACCCCTGAGGGACACCACTTGCCACCTCTGTCCAGCTTGAAAATTTACCATTAAAGGACCACTATAATGCCAGGAAAACATACTCGTTTTCCTGGCACTATAGTGCCCTGAGGGTGCCCCCACCCTCAGGGTCCCACTCCCGCCGGCTCTGGAAAGGGGAAAGGGGTAAAACTTACCTTTTTCCAGTGCTGGGCGGAGAGCTCTCCTCCTTCTCTCCTCCTCCGTTCCGCCCGTCGGCTGAATGCGCACGCGCGGCAAGAGCTGCGCATTCAACGGTCACATAGGAAAGCATTCTCAATGCTTTCCTATGGACGCTGGCATGCTCTCACTGTGAAAATCACAGTGAGAAGCACGCAAGCGCCTCTAGTGGCTGTCAATGAGACAGCCACTAGAGGATTAGGGGGAAGGGTTAACCCATTAATAAACATAGCAGTTTCTCTGAAACTGCTATGTTTATTAAAAAATGGGTTAACCCTAGCTGGACCTGGCACACAGACCACTTCATTAAGCTGAAGTGGTCTGGGTGCCAGAGTGGTCCTTTAATGACAACTCTTTGTACTCTGTTTTTAAGCCAATATTCTACCCAAGAACAAGCATTTTCATCTAAACCGATTTCCTTGAGTTTGAACACTAATCTATTGTGTGGAACTGTATCAAACGCCTTGGCAAAATCCAAATAGATCACATCCACGGCAACACCCCGATCTATACTTCTACTTACTTCTTCGTAGAACCCAATCAAGTTAGTTTGACATGACCTGTGCTTCATAAAACCGTGCTGATTTTTGCTGATAACCATGTTCTTCTCAAGGAATTTTTGAATATTATCCCTTAATAACCTTTCAAATATTTTACCAGCCACAGAAATTAAGCTCACGGGTCTATAATTTCCAGGCAAGGATTTTGAACCCTTTTTGAATATAGGAACCACATCTGCCTTCCTCCAATCCTCCGGAACACTTCCTGAAAGAAAAGAATCTTGAAAGATTAAAAACAGAGGTTCAATTATTTCTACACTTAGTTCCTTAAGTACACGTGGATGGATACCGTCAGGCCCTGGAGCTTTGTTTATATTAACTTTCTTTAGTTGCTGCAGGACCTTGTCTTGAGTTAACCAATTACAATTATTCTGCAAGTTTTTAGTAGCAATCATTTGCACATTTATTGCCATGGGTTCTTCCTTAATATATACGGAGGAGAAATAGTTATTTAAAATTCCTGCCTTTTCCTGGTCTTCATTAACTAACACCCCCATTTCAGTTTTTAGTGTACCTATACTTTCATTTTGTTTGTTTTTTAGAATTTATGTACTTAAAAAATGCTTTGGGGTTGGTTTTGCTCTCTTTAGCTATCATTATTTCATTTTGAAGTTTAGCAAGTCTAATTGCCTTTTTGCAAGCATTATTTGCATCCTTATATCTTTTATAAGATGCATCTGATTTGTCCGATTTAAATGCTTTAAATGCCCTTTTCTTAGTTGTAATCTCTTGTTTTACTTCTCTACTAAGCCACATTGGTTTTAATTTATTTCTTTTATATTTATTTCCCAACGGTACATACTGAGAAATTTACCTTTTTAATATTTGTTGTAAGATGATCCATTTATCCTCAGTGTTCTTTTCACTAAAGAGTTTATGCCAGTCAATATATTGTAAAGCTTCCCTTAACTTATTGAAATTGGCCTTTTTAAAATTATATGTTTTAGTATTCCCCATGTGCTTTTGTTTTTTTGATTTTATTTCAAAGGACACTATATTGTGATCACTATTTCCCAAGTGCTCACCTACTTGTATGTTGGTCAAAAGATCAATGTTGTTTGTTAAAACCAGGTCCAGACAACAAGCATCCATTCTAGTTGGTGCTTGTACAAGTTGTGACATGAAGGTGTCGTTTAACAAGTTTAAAAACCTAATTCCCTTTGCTGAGGTACTAGTCCCTCTGTCCCAATTTATGTCCGGGTAATTAAAATCTCCAATAATTAAAGTGTTACCCAGATTTGCAGCTTTCTCAATTTGCTCAAACAGCTGTTGTTCCTTGTCAATATTAACATTAGGTGGTTTATAACATATCCCAACCAATAGTTGGTTTCCCTTCTTTTCCCCCAAGCTGATATTTACCCATAAAGCTTCCACATTATCCTCCTCGCATTACATTTGGTTAACATTTGGCTTTAAATCATGGTTGACATACAAACATACCCCACCACCCTTCTTGTTTTTCTTATCCTTCCTAAATAACATGTACCCATTTAAGTTAGCTGCCCAGTCATGTGTCTCATCTCCTTATACGGCTTTGTGCCCTTAACACAAATATATATTCCTCCTGCTCTCTTGCACTGCATCATATGCATTGTGGTTGCTATGGTTATTCCTTTAGCCGGCATTTCTTGTGCTGGCTAGAATAATATAGTAACGGTGTGACACTGTCATGCTGACAATGAAACCAGCATGTAGACCTCAGACAGTATGCAGGCTGCTTTGGAAGTGTTTTTTTTTTTTTTTTCAATAGAATAAATGCAATGAAACTGAAGACATCAGGAGGTGAGATGAGTTAGTATTTTAAAATATTCAACTGCATATATAAATTATCTCTAAATTACAAAATCTTGGGGGCATTTCTGTTAAAGTGTACCTTTAATGACATGTTCATTTAAAGTGAGCGTGGAAACAAAGAACAAGAATTTTCATCTAAACAAACTGCTTTTATTTTTTACTGTAAGCTTTTGTGCTCAACCAACAAATTTTCTTCATATAGAGAGGTGAGAGTTCTATTAATTATTTCTATGGTAAGAGTAGTTTATTTCTGTCCAAGTTTGTTAAAGTTTTAAGGCTTTTCGTTGAGAATATGCAGATTGTACAGTTTAAAACAGTCAATATAGATATTATTAATAACTAGTTCAAAAAGAAATGTGATTACTTATTCTGAATCAAGAATATCTTTGTTGGCATTTACTAAACAATGAAATGTGGTAAAGCGAAAATGTGCAAGTTTTAGATTTAAAAAAAAAGAAAACATATTTGAGTTTTACAACTCAGATTCACAATTAAGATATTTTGGCCTGAATTTTGTTACATAGTAATATAGGTTGAAAAGAAAGACTCCAGTCCATCAAGATTAACCTTTAAAACCCATCTTGCTATACTTTTGAGTATACTTTTGAGAATAAAAGAATCCCAAAAATTCAAGTTGAAGAAATGTGATTTAGTTTTTAATCCACATGTTTACCAATTTTGTCTTCAGTTTAATATTCAGCATAATTTATGTCTTCAGCTTGTTTTTGTTTAATGAATTTATGTATTTTCTTCACATATTTTCTAGGTAATTCCTCATGGAAATGTAAAAATTTCACTGACTTATAAATTTATGATACATGAAGATTATTTAAATGTTCGTAACAACAATGTTCTGGAAATCGAATATGAATGGGCTTTGAAAAAGTGGTCTCATTGTTCAAAGCCGTGTGGAGGAGGTAATCAAGCAGTAAAAAAAAATATGTTTATTTAAAAAAAATATGAATGTTAAAGAAATGGGATAATTGTTTCATATCAACTAAGTTGTTACCTTAATATGTATAGAAAGTTTACGAAATTAAAGGTACACTACAGGCACTAAAACAATATTGGCTTAATAAAACAGTTTTGGTGTATAGGTCATGCCCCTGCAGTCTTACTGCTCAATTCTCTGCCATTTAGGAGTTAAATTATTTTATTTATAAAGCCCTAGTTACAACTCTCTGCATGTGACTTCCTAAACACTTCAAAGAAAGTTTTGTGTAATATGTGGAGTGCTGTTTTAGAAAAAGCAGTAGAAAACAAATATATTTATACTGTCCACATCTGTGTCTTTTTCTTTAAATTTTATCTCCTTTATAATTGCTGTACCTTCTTCCACAGTGCTCATCCTCATCTGTTATATGGTATTGATGCCTAATTTATCATTTTATGATTATATGTTGATTATATATTTTGTAATCTATTTTCCCTGGTTAAAGGAGGTTACCAGTAACTTTTTTTAATACTATAGAGAATATGCAGAGCAACTGTTCTTCTTCGTATTAATCTAACAATTCTTTTATTTTTAATCTGTTTTATTAAGGAATAAAGAGCTAACACAGAAGCAAAAGCATTAGTTTTAAAAAAAGGAAGTAAAAATAGTATAATACAATATGGAAAGAGAAAATAGAAGATCTAGACAGATAAATAGGGCTAACGGTGTCATTATAAAATCTCAACTAATTATTCATATAACAAACTGTTCAACAAATGGAAAATAAAAAGCGACATGAAAATCAGACAGTCAAAAATTTTCAGTGAAGACCATTAAAAATGAACTGGGTCAGGAGCGTGATGCACGCTCTATGAGGAGGGGTGTAATGGAGGAGGCGGAGTGGAATTATCCTGGTGTAGTGAGCGATTGGACAAGCTCGGCAAGATAGCAAGCAGGAGATAGAACGCCAAAGTGATGCTATTAACTGTGTGTGGTGTTTGCAAGGAAGGGGCTGAAGGAAGTAACGGTGGTACCAGATAATATAATATTTGAAGCCCCCACTTGTACTTTGACTGACGAGTAACACCAGGGAGGACCTGAGGTCTGAATGAGACAACTGTCCCTAAAATTGAGGGACGAGGCATGCAGTTAACTGTAAGTTGATATTTAGACATAAAGGTTCCTAAAGATTAAAGAACTGAGATATCTGAGAGCTTGCTCAACTTGCTGCCTAAACAAATTTAATTTAGTCTCAAATAATTGATATAAAAATTGGTCCAGAGTTTAACTACTCAAGAAGAAAAAAAAAATTGTTACTCTTTCTCACTGATTATTATCTGTACATTTGCTGTTTCTTAAGGCTCTGGACAGGCTGCCTAAAGCAATGTTCTGTTTAAAACCTAAGTGAGGATTCTACCTTTGGAACCCTACTAGCAAAAGCAGGTGAATCGTAATTTTATGTATGGACTTGATTAAAACCCGAAGCATTGGCAAAGCTCTGAACAACAATGGCTAATAAAACAAATACAAGAATATGAAGTTTCAACTGAAAAAGATAAAAAGGAACAAAAACAAGATAAAAGTATTTCAACAAGGGTGCAGATGGTCGCATCTCTAGCGAGCTCCTCCCTTAGCTTTATCAAACCCTCTTTGATCTTTATGGCTTGAACAGAGATATTCCCCGGTGAGATCTCTACTCACTGAACTACATGGCACACTGGGAGAAAGTCTGTTGGCTCACTGGGGGCTCACACTCCACTGAACACATTCGGTCAGCAGCATGCTGAGCGGGAGAAGTGGCTGCTCTCCCGATTTTGTAACTAAACAGACACAGCCAACGTGGAGCACATGCCCTGTTATCCCCCTCCCTCCTTGGACCAGTGGGAGTGATCTGGGTCCACCCCAGGAGAGCGCCCAGATCCTGTTGAGGTGTGGAGAGGCAATCTACACACAGATGGAGTCCACCGTGATGCACCAAACATGGCAGAAGCCACTTGCATGCCTATCTCTAACAATGAACGCCTACTCTCAGCATTAAGCTGGACAGGCTCTTTGCTGATTTCTGGCAGAAACTGGAAGGTCGGACGCGCCAAAATGCTGAGCTACAGAATACCGGCCTCCCACAACTAAAGCCAGCATGTCTTATGCAGCGGCAGTCATCAAGACCCCCGATGCAAAGGACAGAGAAATGGTGGCAAAGCAGGCAGAGAAGACCACCCAAGCGCACAGCACCTCAGTGACATGCACCATGGCACACCACATTTGGGACCCAAGGAAAGCCAGAAGTATTCTCTGATGCTCAGTCACAGGATATGAAATGTTCCACCAACTCCCATACTGGATTGAATGCTTGAAGAATCCCCTACGGTGCTGGTCAGTGCTCTACCCCTGGATGGCATCAGATGAATGGGGACTGGACAATCTCTATCCTTAAAAAATACAACATAAAATTTAGATGGGGCTTCCCACTCAAGATGATGATTACTTATGAGGGCCATGTTGAGTCATTTGAAACAAATGCAAAGGTGAAAGAAAGGCCAAACATTTTAAATTTAGTTTGAAAACAAATGAGTCAGAAAAATAGGGATGAGAGAGGGGAGGAGGGGGAGGGATGTGAGGAGTTTTGGGGAGGGAGGAAGATTAAGGAAAGTAAAAGAAAATGAAAAATTAAAGGAAGCACATTTTTTTTTTGTCAATTTGACACCATCTATTACTTACACTTTAAAGGTGATGGGAAAAGGAAAATATTGTAAAAGTAATTAATGAAGGAATACACAGTTTAAAATAAATCAGAAAAATCTTCTCTTATGATCACCATAGTAATTTAATTTATAAAAATATTTAAAGTAAGAGAAGTCAAAAAGAATAATCACTTATAGTATTTTTATGTTATTTTTACGTATATTTTATTTCTTTCACAAAATTCTTGGTATACATCACACTGTTTAAAGAGTAGACACAGTAAAAAGTCATAAAGTAAATAAAAAGAATGAGGGACACTTCTGCCTTAGTCTGACAAATTAAGTAAATTGTTTAAATTTCACGCAAATTTAGATTTGTTATATTTGACACTAAATTCATAATTGGTTTAAAGTAAAGGGGGAAAGAAAAGAAAGCATAAGAAATTAATTAAGAGAGATACTGTTCAAAACAAATAAGAAAATCTTCTTTCATGATCATTATGGTAGTTCAAATGATAAGAATATCTAAAGTAAGAGAAGTCGAATAAAATAATTATTTACAGACTTTTTTTTTTCCTCTCTCTCCCTCTCCCCGATGGATATCACCCCAAATTTTCCTTCTTTTTTGCTTGTTTTATCCAAGGTTAGATAATAATTCTAAAATTTCATAATTATATCCACTTCCACCAGTTCACCCCACTTTGTGTGGTTTTACTACACAGTTTCCGAGTAGCTCTATGAGCTATAGGGAAAATTATGGAACAAAGTTCCTAAAATAGTATGTGTTATATGTGAATGGAGATCAAGACGCTAGATCTTCATTGTCCATTAGATGATGTTATATTTGTTTTTTTGTTATTAGACCAGGAGCTCAAGTATTTGGAAAAAAAAATATCTTATTATATGTTTAGATGAATGTCAATAAATGCACAGGGTTTAAATACTCTTGCAATAAGATGCATGATATGTAACTAATTTAACATTAAAAAAATAATCAATTAGGTTTCTTACAAGAAACTCACTGGAAACAAACAGAACCCCAAAAATGGGAAGGAAAAAAAGTTTCCAAGTTTCCAACTAAGCATCATTAGAAAAAAATAAGAAAAGAGGAGTAGCAATTTCTCACGTGAACAAAAAGTAGGCTAATGTATCAAGATGTCGATCAAGAATCTAGGCATCTGTCGATCGCGCCCTGCAATTTTGCTCAGAGCACTCTGATTGGTTGGTTTAAGCCAATCAATAAGAGTGCTCTGATAGGTCATTCTTGAGCTTTGAAAGTAACCAATTAGGTAGGTTTTTTTTTGCGCTCTATTTTTTAAAATGTATTTTACAATTATGGATTTTAATTTGGCCTTTTTTGGGGCTGAAAAAAGGTTTAAGAAAAAAGAAGACAACTAATGGTAAGTTTGATTTATTTATTTTTATTTACAGGTATTTTGCTTTTTATTCCCCCCTCACTAGTTTTAGAGTGAGGAGGGTAGGAAGGAATACTAAGTAACCGTGGGAATTAGGGAGCTATCTACTTGGTGGTACGAATAGGATCAGTTTCATTCATTCAACAAAAGCCCTGAATTTCATCCTAAGAAGCTGTTCTCATTCTGTTAGGATGAAATTTAGTAGTTTCGCCGGCTTTCAAACACCGAATGAAGCAGCAGGAGGAAGCTGAGAATTGTGGGAAAATTGCTTTGACCACAGGAAACAGACCGTACTTTGCTCCTCCCCTGGATTAATGCTGGGAAAGTGTAGGAAAAATACATTAGATAAAATAGTCCCTACTTTGTCTTATGTTTTAAAGAAAACTAGAGCAGATAGGAAGAAATGAACAGATCCTGAAAGAGGGAGAAAAGAGGACTCGATTGAGGAAAGGTAAGTACGGCATGACAGTGCCGCTTTAAGAAACAAAAAAAACATGGTTGGAAAAAATATATTCATAAAATAAACAAATTCACTGAAATTTCCTGTGCAATACTACACAAGTTTTAAAGTCTTAGTTATATAAAAAAAGCTAAAATCATATTAAAAAGATGCTCCTGGTCTGAATGGTCCTAATTGTTTGTAATGTCAATATGTCTAATCATGATATTCTAATTTGTGCTCTTTGATCTCTATATAATAGGATGTTTAATTGAATAAGCCAAATATGAACCAATGAATGTACTATTTTATGTACTAAAACATTTTGTTTATGAGCAAAAATTTATTTAAAAAGTTTGAGCTAAATGAGCAGAGATAGCATCTTTTCTGCAGCCTGGTCCACCTTCGCTGATATCCAATCAAATGTAGACTTTGTGCGTGTGAGGCAATCGCCACAATGCTGCAGTGAAATACTTCTCATAGAAGAAATTAATCCAGTGCTTCTCTATAAGAGACATTGATGCATTGTTTCACACCCTCATTCAATGCATGAGGATGTTGAACTTCAATAAGAGAATCCTACTTGGTTCTCATTGTAAAAAAAAAAGAACAATCTAATAACCTTCTAGCCCATAATTATTATTATATAAACAAAAGTTAACATACTAGTATTTCTGCACCACAAAAAAAATTAAATAAAAGGAAAAGGGAACTACAATCTTTACGGGACATTAAACAGAGCTAGTTAAACCATTAAACAATTAAATCGAGCTAGTCCATGGTTTTGTTATCCATTAACATTAATAGTAGTCTTCCTGTATTGTTTGTTAATGCTTAAAATAATAGCCAAGTTTGGCAAAAGTGCAATGCAGATTTATAATTAAAAGCGTAAAGACATAAAAGTAAAAAAAGTACTATTTCTTAAATGTAGGATCAGTATAGTTAAAAAAAAACAATTCATTGTTTCTGTTCTACTTGGACTCATTTAGTTTTAATAGTATTTATGTTATTTTTGATACTCAGAAATAATACGGTTTAAACATTATTTTTCAAAGGTCATCAGTTTACAAAATATGGCTGTAGAAGAAAATCTGATCATAAAATGGTGCATAAGAGTTTATGTGAATCTATCCCGAAATTAAAACCGATTCGCAGAGTATGCAATCTTCAGGAGTGCTCCCAACCGATGTAAGTTTTAAGTAATGGTTTCTTCATTTTGTACATAATATTCTACTTTCATATGTCGTGCTTACAAAATATGTTTGTAGAAGAAAATCTGATCATAAAATGATGCATTCAAAGTTTGTGAATCTATCCCAAATTTAAAACCGATTTGCAGAGTATGCAATCTTCCCAACCAATGTAAGTTTTAAGTTATGGTTTGTTCATTTTGTACATAATATGCTACTTTTATATTTTTGTGCTTGCAAATATTTAATAACAAGAGAGGGCTGGCAACTTCTGGCCCGGTGTCAAGTACAAATAAATAAGCATAAAACTCCCAGATATGTATGTGCATGATCGTTCCTTCAAGGCACGTACAATTAAATAATTTTGATAGATGGAGTCTTCTGGAGTTGTGCTGTGTGACATTGTATATCCCTGCACTCTCATCAGCATAACTTCCGCAGTGTGCGGAAGCTTTCACAGACATCTGTGCTCATGATTAAGACGTCTGTTGAGTTTAGTAATAATTTCACTGGTGTTAAAATATTTTGTGAATCCATATGTCCAAAGCATAGCAGTTACCCCCCCCAAAACAGGCTTCTTACATCTATAGTAATATACCATAAATAGCTAACGAGAGAGTTTATGTGAATCATTGTAATTCTACTGCAGTAAACTTTTACTTTTTTTTAAAGGTGGAGAGTAGACGCTGCTTAGTTTTGCCAACTAGTAAATAGCGTTTTGGTGTAATTTTCCAGCAATGCCAAAAAATTTAAGCAACAGGCCTTAGTTAATTAACCTGATAATTTCACATCAGTATTTGTGCCATTGCAGGTGTGTATTTATGAATTGAAAGTGTTTCTGGTTCTGAATGCATTCCTTTTGTTACTTACTGACCTTTTTTATCACCATTTTTCTTTCCATTTATTTATCCCACTCACACCATTGTGTCTCTTCTTACCATCATGCTTCTCCTTGTCTCTCTTCCACTTGCCATGTCAGCCCATTTGTTACTGTCCCATTTCCCTAAGTGTGTCTCCTCCATCTCTCCCACTTGTGTTAATTTATCTCCCACATGCATCTCCCTCATTAATCTCACTTGTGTATATCCCTTACTTAACCCCACATAAATCTTCTCTATTTGTCTCACTTGTTCCTCTTACCCATCTCCTCTCAATGTTTCTCTTCTATTACCGTCTATAGTGTCTCTGCCCTATCCAAAGCGGAATATTTCACCCGTCAACCCCATTAGAGTATGTCTTCCTACTGCCTTTCTGCTATTCCACATTTTGCTCCATCTCACCCTCCTCCAACTCCTGTGAATAAACATTTCACCCCAAGTGTTTTTATCTTTCTTGTCTAGTTCCATGTCAGTTAGGACCCCCACTTTGTATCAGGACAGAGCAGCATGCCACTGACAATGATCATGGTGTCCCTGCCCAGCTCTTTCACATCTGGATCCAGCACTGTGTGTGATTTAACAACATATCCATCTGTGCTAGCATACTAAAAAATAAATCTAACAGATGGAACACCGTTACTGTCAGGTCTTTTAATATAAAGGGCTGTGATTGGTTGCATGATAGCAGCTATCGCTACCTAGATATTAGATAAAATAATGTCAGTTTGCATGCTGTCCCTTCGATAGCCCTCTACAGTAGGTCCCTGTGCTGTACTCAAATCCAAGTTGCCGTCCTCAAAGTCCCCCTGATACACAACTGGATATTTGCACACTGGGGGCAGCCAGCTGGGGCTTTGGAATGCTCCTTTCACAGTCTCTTAGTGTGCTAGTCTGTGCACTGGCACTAGTAATGCCAGGTGAAAATTCCTAATAACTTCCTCCTCCTTCCTTTTCCACCATGCTAGAACCCTAAATCTATATTCCCTCAAAACAAGGCCTTTTAGCAGCACTCCTTCTTATTAAGCTCCTTTCGTTTCACCTCAATCAACACGCATCCTCTTTCCTTATGTTTCACTTACTTTTTCCTCTTCATGGTGCCTCATAAAAATCCAAATGTACCATCTCACAGTGCCTTTTCTTTGTACAGAGATTTGCACAGGACTTAGTAAGGCAGGGCCGATGCAAGAGTTTCTGCCGCACTAGGCGATGATCCATTTTGCCACCCCCTCATGAAAGCAAATACAATCTCACAGAGGTTTATTCACTAAACTCTGAATTGCAGTGAGTTGAAAACCAAATTGCAAAGTTTAAGCAAAAACAGTTGAACTGTGACTGTAGACAAATTGGAGAATTCTTCTAGATCAGCAATTTTGGCCTAATTTTCGCAATATGGTATCCAGTTAGGTCTGCCTAATACACACATACTGCTTAATGCGTACATACATTTTTATTATTATTATGATATTTATATAGCGCCATCAAATTCCGCAGCGCTTTACAATGGGTGGATGAACAGACATGTAGTTGTAACCAGACAAGTTGGACACACAGAAACAGAGGGGTTAAGGGCCTTGCTCAATGAGCTTACATGCCAGAGGGAGTGGGGTAAAATGACACAAAAAGGTAAGACTAGTGACAGTTGCAGAAGAGGAATCAGTCAGGCACTATTAACAGTTTAATTGATACGCTTTTAGGAAGAAGTGGGTTTTTAACGATTTTTTGAAGGAGTGGAGACTGGGTAAGCATCTAACGGAGGAGGGAAGCGAGTTCCACAGGAACGGTGCCGCCCTCAAGAAATCTTGAAGGTGAGCACCAGAGGTGGGAGTACGGACAGAAGATAGACGTAAGTCTTCAGCAGATTGTAAGGGCCTAGACGGGACATACTTGTGTATAAGGGAGGATAGATAGGTGGGAGCAGCATTATGTAGCGATTTTAAATTGAGTTCTATATTTTATAGAAAGCCAATGTGGGGACTGACAGAAGGGTGAGGCATGGGAGGTGCGGGTGGACAGGAAGATGAGCCTCGCTGCCGCATTCATTATGGACTGTAACGGCGCAAGTTGGGAGCACGTAAGACCACTGACAAGCGCATTACAGTAGTCAAGGCGAGAGAGGACAGTGGAATGGACCAACACCTTAGTCGCATCTGGGGTTAAGTAGGGGCGGATGCGCGCAATGTTTTTGAGACGGAAATGACAGGATTTGGCGATAGATTGAACATGAGGCTTGAAGGAAAGGTCAGAGTCATAGAGAACACTTAGGCAGCGAGCCTGTGTGGTGGAGCTGATAGTAGCACCGTTGACTTGGAGGGAGACAGACACAGGATTAACAACACTTGAGGGAGGAAAGACCAGAATTTCAGTTTTGGTCAAGTTTAGTTTAAGGAAGTGGGCAGCCATCCAGTTAGAAATAGGAGAGAGGCAGTCAGAGACACTAGTCAAGAGGGACAGCGAGAGATCAGGAGAGGACAGGTAGATTTGCATGTCATCTGCATAGAAATGATATCGGAAGCCAAAGGAGCTAATGAGTTTACCAAGGGAGGCAGTGTAGGTGGAGAACAGTAGGGGACCAAGGACTGAACCTTGGGGGACACCAACAGAGAGGAGTTGGGGAGAAGAAGCAGAGCCAGAGAAAGAAACACTGAAAGAGCGCTGGGAGAAGTAGGAGGAGCACCAGGAGAGAGCAATATCTTGTAGACCGATATTGCAGAGGATGAGAAGAATCTGTTGATGATCAACAGTGTCAAAAGCCGCAGACAGGTCAAGGAGAATTAGGATAGAGTAGTGACCATGAGATTTTGCAGCGAGTAGATCATTGGATACTTTGGTCAGTGCCGTTTCCACAGAGTGCTTAGTGCGGAAACCAGACTGAAGCGGGTCTAGCAGAGAGTTGGACTCGAAGTCTGTCAATCTCGCATACACAATTCTTTCAAGGATCTTAGATGCAAAAGGCAGTAGCGAGATAGGACGATAGTTGGATGGGGAGTTAAGGTCAAGATTGGGCTTCTTTAGAATTGGGGTTACAGTTGCATGTTTGAAGGGCGATGGAAATATACCAGAAGAGAGGGAGAGATTGAGAATTTTAGTGAGAGGTGGAGAAAGAGAAGAAGACAGAGTACGGATGCAAGGGAATTGGATCTAGGGAGCAGGTGGTGGGGCGGGAGGACTGGAGCAGAGCAGAAACCTCTTCCAATGTAGCGTGTGCGAATGAACATAGAACAGCAGAGGGAGTGAAGTTAGGGGAAGTATTGTAAGGGGAAGAAGAAAGATGAGATCTATTCTCTGATTATTGAGATCTTGTCAGTGAAGTGAGTTGCAAAGTCTGAGGCTGTCAAGTTAGTAGGTGGAGGAGAAACAGCAGGGCGAAGAAGAGTGTTAAATGTGCAAAATAGTTGTTTGGGTTCACGGGAGAGTGTGGTTATGAGGGTATTGAAATAATTTACTTTTGCAGAGGAAAGAGCCAAGCTGTATGAGCTCAGCATAAATTTATAGTGGAGAAAGTCAGATGCACAGTGAGACTTTCTCCAACAGCGTTCAGCAGTTCTGGAGCATTTTTGGAGGTATCGAGTGAGCTTGGTGTGCCAGGGTTGTTGTTGGGGGTGCCTGCGGCGTTTAAATGTACAAGGTGCCATTATGTCTAGTTGAGAGGAGAGGATGGAATTGTAGAAGGAGGTTGCAGAACTAGGACAGGTGAGGTTTGAGATAGGTAAAAGGAGAGTTTGAAGATTAGTGGAGAAATGCTCTAGGTCAAGACATTGGAGGTTTCTGTGAGAGTGATGTTAAGACGGTGGTGTCAATTGGGTCTTAGGTATGCCAATGTCAAAATCAGCAGATGGTGGTCAGATAGAGGAAAAGGAATATTGGAGAGATTAGAGGCAGTACAGAAGTTGGTGAAGGCAAGATCAAGAGTGTTTCCCGCTGTATGGGTTGCTAAATTGGACCATTGCGTAAGGCCAAAGGAGGAGGTTACAGAGAGCAGACGAGAGGCATCAGTGCAATTGGGGTTGTTGATTGGGATATTGAAATCCCCAAGTATAAGGAAAGGAGTGCTATATGAGAGGAAGTGGGGAAGCCAGGAAGAAAAGTGCTCAATGAATAACTGGGGGGGAGGTGGGGTGGTAGATGATAGCAATTATTAAAGGAGTGGGTTTAACCCCTTAAGGACACATGACATGTCATGATTCCCTTTTATTCCAGAAGTTTGGTCCTTAAGGGGTTAAATAGGCGGACAGTGTGAAACACTGAACTAGGGAACACCTATGACAGTGATCTGTAGTGTTTATTGGCTCTTAGAGAGTTCCTTTAATTTGTATTGATATACATGCGGTAACTCCTGGTGTTAGTGGCTCCCACAGAAAATAATGTGAGCTGTTAGCCACCACTTTCAGCAGTGGCTACTGGTAACTCCCTGTCGCTACTTTTTTTGCAAATTTTGCAGACAGGAAACAGTTGCTACTCCCTAACATGCATAATAGGGAATGAGTAACAGCTGGACACTAAAAAGTAATGACAACGTTGTAAGCGAACATTACAATGAATTTGTCACTTTTCAGTTTTCCATAAAAATTCATAATTGTGAATAATGAAATACTGATTAAGACTGTGTTGGGATTTCACTGAAATTACAATGCAATCCAAAGATACCATAAAACAAAGTAGGGACTACTTTGTCATAAGTACAGCCTGAGGTAGACAAAAGAAGCTGCTCTGTAGACTTTCTTCCCTTTCCAGCAGCCATGACAAATGACGGCTATGGGATTCAGACATTGTCTATGGATCCGTTGGATACTCTGTAGACTGGGGCAAGACTATGGCACTGTCGTGGCTCCTGGCAGCTGAAAAGACAGGAGCAGAAGAGATCTGAAGCGTTACGATAGCGGTGACTGGAAGGGACAGTCATAGGTAAGTAAAACACACATCCCCTGCACCCCATGGCAACTGATCTCTCAGTTTCAGAGGTCTTTGCGAAATATGCATTTACCCACTTCCCACCCAAAATTGACAGACCAGCTTTAAAGGACCACTCTAGGCACCCAGACCACTTCAGCTTAATGAAGTGGTCTGGGTGCCATGTCCAGCTAGGGTTAACCCATTTTTTACTAAACATAGCAGTTTCAGAGAAACTGCTATGTTTATTAATAGGTTAAGCCTTCCCCCAAAGCCTCTAGTGGCTGTCTCATTGACAGCCACTAGAGGCGCTTGCGTGCTTCTCACTGTGATTTTCACAGTAAGAGCACACCAGCATCCATAGGAAAGCATTGTAAACCGGCTGAATGCGCACGCAGCTCTTGCCGCGCGTGCGCATTCAGCCGACGGAGCGGAACAGAGGAGGAGAGAAGGAGGAGAGCTCTCCGCCCAGCGCTGGAAAAAGGTAAGTTTAAACCCTTTTCCCCTTTCCAGAGCCGGGCGGGAGGGGGACCCTGAGGTGGGGGCACCCTCAGGGCACTATAGTGCCAGGAAAACGAGTATGTTTTCCTGGCACTATACTGGTCTTTTAAAGTGGGCTAAATTATACAATTTGGTTTTCAGTTCACTATAATTTGGTTTTAGTCAAACTCCAAAGTGTTATATATGTATTCCTATTGTATCAAATGCAATATTGGGGGAGTCAGAGGTCACATACCTATATCTGTGGCGAGTTGCTGTGTGCAAATTATGATGTGTTTTTTTGTGCCTTTTTAGTTCCGAAAAAAAAATAGTTTGAACCTGCTTGTGGTGTCATGTCAAGTTATATACAAATTTATTCAAGAGGCATCAATCAAATATGTGCTTTGAAAGCCATTTTGTATTGGTCAAAAATGTTTTTAAAGGGTTCCTCCAAACCTTTTTTTTTACTTTTATTTTGGTGTAAATTACTTTTTTCTTAAAAATCTGTAAAATAAGCTTAAAAAATCACTGAAATCTAGCACCGGACTACGTTACATAGTTACATAGCTGAAAATAGACTTGCATCCATGAAGTTCAGCCTTCCTCACATCTGTTTTTGCTGTTGATCCAAAAGAAGGCAAAAAACCCAGTCTGAAGTGCTTCCAATTTTGCAACAAACTAAGAAAACATTCCTTCTTGACCCCAAAAAAGCAGTCCGATGTCTCCTTGGATCAAGCAGCTATTACCCCACTAATTAGAAATAATATCCCTGTATGTTATGTTTTTGCAAGTATTTATTCAATTGCAGTTTAAACATCTGTATAGACTCTGACAAAACCACCTCTTCAGGCAATGAATTCCATATCCTTATTGCTCTTACTGTAAAAAAAGCTTTTCTTTGCCTTAGATAAAATCTCCTTTTCTCCAGCCTATATGCATGACCTTGTGTCCTATGTATAGCCCTGCTTATGAATATGTATCCAGATAATAGTTTGTACTGGCCCCAAATATATTAGTATAATGTTATCATATCCCCTCTGAGGTGCTGTTTTTCCAAACTAAAGAGATTAAAAATTTTTAACCTTTCTTCATAACTGAAATGCTCCATTCCTTTTATCAATTTTTTAACCAATCTTCTCCATGTCATGTCCATTGTCAATCAAGTCCTTCTCATAGAGTGGCATTTGATTGGAACAATCTCACAGGTTACAGATTCAGAGTGCATGCCTGAATTGGAGGAGGCGGGATTTGGGGTGGACTAAAGAGGTGGTCAAAGGGAGTGGACAAAATAAATAGATGATTGACAGAGCATGTAGGGAGCAACAGACAGCTGGGATGGATTAAATGAGTAGGTGAGGAAGTGAAAGAGGGGATGAATTTTCATGTATAAGGGGAGTGGACTACGAAAAGACAATTGAAATATCATTTAGTGGGTTGGGGAGGGTTGGGAGGACTTGCATGAAGGAGGGACGAGACATCTTTTGCAATCGACGTTTAGTTGGACTTGGTGCACGCAAGCCTTGTGAACACAGTCTTATAGGCTTTCACTAGCAGGCATGCTCACATGACTGCCTAAATGGGAAGAAGATGATTTATGCCCATCACAAAGAGTGCACTGCATGTTGAACACAGACATATTTTATGCACTGACACTTACATTAGGCAATTCAGAATAGAGTACTGTGCTGCCTAAGTCACATGTACTGAGTGTGTAACTACACCCTGGAACAAATATACAAATATATGCATTATGTCAAACAGAAGTGCTTCACATACAGGTTGCCTGCACCACGATCATTTCTTAAAGCAGAAGTGGTCATGGAGGTTGGAGTAACCCTTTCATTGCATCTTTAGTGTAGTCATGCAATAAAAATAGTTGTAATTAATGGTTATGGTGATCTCAGATATAGAGCTAACCTTTACATGATTTGGTGGCCATATTTCTTTATGTAACCAATTTTTAACTATTCAAAGATCTGCTGTGCCACAACCAGTTCTATTACAAATATGATATTTGGTGCAAGTTGTGACCTATATTCCATTACTGTTAAATGCCAATCAAAAATGTCCTGTCCCACTCTCAGACACTATTTAACAAAAATAACAGTTTGGCTGAAATATATTTACCCACTCTTTTTGGGAAGTGACTGACTGCAGCAATCTGCAACCTCCTTCCATAAGACTTGAAGCCCTTGGTTCAACTATATCATCATGTAGGATGTGTTTTTAAGGGTATTAATCCCCATACCTTTCATATGCCCCCCTTTTTTTTGGTTGTATAATTTGGATGCACATTGTATTGCAAGACAAGTTCTTGTCTTCAACAAATCTGTTTCACTACTCCCACAATTAAAAAAGAACTTGGTCACCCGTATTAATATTGTTGGTTATTGATTTTACTCCTGTTTTATCGTGTACCAACTGTCTCTGCTCATATGTTTTTCCCTTGTAACATTACTTTGTCTCTTAATTAAATAATTAAATGGAACATGTGAGAAAGAATGAAGAGCTATGTATTCAGCAATGGCTCACTTTTCATTGTAATGTGTTGGCTTACCAAGCCAACAAAATACAGTGTATATTCAAGCATGCCTGACCCCCCAAGAGTTGCCTGATGATATAAAAGTGCTTCATTCTTTTTGTAGTCAACACTTTTTTAAAGAAAGGAAGAATGGACACTGTTATCCCTTACAGTTCTTCAGCAAGTAATTTAGGGGATGGAAGTGTTTCTTTAACCCCTTAAGGACACATGACATGTGTGACATGTCATGATTCCCTTCTATTCCAGAAGTTTGGTCCTTAAGGGGTTAAAGGAGCACTCCAATCACCACAACCACTACAACCTGCTGTAGTGGCTAGGGTGCCAGGAGTACCCTGAAGCCATCCAAGTGTGATTTGGCAAAACGTTTTAGTACAGTTCAATAACTTATCTCGTCCTTTTTGAAGGCCCGCAGCCTGTTGGGGTTCTCCGGTTATCCACTTAGCTTTTCAGAATTAAGCTGGGCCATGCAGGACTGCATTTATTGCCCGGGGCCATGCAGAACTGCATTTATTGCCTGAAGGTGTCAGCAGAGCGTTCTTAATCAACAAGCTTGGTCCTTTAGCGGCTGTACATAGCTGAATAGTTATCCAACTTCTCCTGCAGGCAAATGCATTTTGGGTACTGTGGTACATTGTCAAACCATTCTAAAATGGGCATTTATGGCACCATGACCATTACAGTGGGATCTAGGGGTTATGGTGCTTGAAATGTTCATTCAAGTAAATAATTGAATTCAGTAGTATCCAGCATAGAGGAAGCTTAGACATGTTACATGAACATTTACCAGCTAAATAGTAGCATTGTATAAGCAAAACATTAATCTACACAATAAAAATGTTCTTTCTATAACTATAATTTATTATTTTCTATTCAATGTAATATTTTTTTCTAGGCACTGACACTGATAGTTAATATTTTTTTCTTTCATCAAACAGATGGGTTACAGGAGAATGGGAGCCTTGCTCTGTGACATGTGGAAAATCAGGGTATCAGAGTCGTACAGTGAGGTGTATTCAGCCCCTAAGTGACAATACAAATCGATCAGTTCATAGCAAGTACTGCAATGAAAACCGTCCTGAAGCTAAAAGACCTTGTAATCGCCAAGCTTGCCCAGCTCACTGGAGAATAGGTCCATGGTCACAGGTATGTGCAAACTATATCAGTTATTTCTCAAATTGAAGAGAGTTGTTAACCTTGAAATTTTCAGGGCCCTCATTCACACCACCACCACATATATTACTAGCCACTTATGAATATGCAATTAAACATGTATACACAGACCTGTCAGTTCACATACATGTAATTAGCTACTCACACATACACACATGCATAACTAGCTACTGGCACACTTACCTAACATGTTCATACACACTCTAACATACATACATTAATACAAAATCACAGAAAACTTATATTAACAGTCATAGTAACACACTGACATTTTTTTTTTTTTTTTTACTTAAAGCCAGTGCTTGCTAGTCAGACACCACAATAAAACAATATTTAAAATAAACTAGAAAAAAAGCCCATGGTAGTCAAAATGACCTCCATCTATTGATGCCTAGTCACTAAAAAGGCCTCGTCCCAGAGAGTGTAACAGTAGTACCCTCTGCACAGTCTGTCTTGAGTGCCCTCACAGCCAGAGAGACTGTCAGTCAACCTGATGTGCATTCACAACAGACTGACAAATCCCTTCCCCGTGTGCCCTATCCCCTTTCTGGGTAGTACTGCCAATTTTGGTCTGCCCACGCACCGTCCTGACTTTATACCTCTTAAAGGACCACTATAGGCACCTAGACCACTTCAGCTTAATGAAGTGGTCTGGGTGCCTGGTCCAGCTAGGGTTAACCCCTTTTTTTTTATAAACATAGCAGTTTCAGAGAAACTGCTATGTTTATAAATAGGTTAATCCAGCCTCTAAAGCCTCTAGTGAATGCTTTCCTATGAGACAGTCTGAATGCGCGCACAGCTCCTGCCGCGCATGCGCATTCAACTGAAGAGGCGGAGAGGAGGAGGAGGATGGTGGGGGCACCATCAGGGCACTATAGTGCCAGGAAAACGAGTATGTTTTCCTGGCACTATAGTGGTCCTTTAAGTACAAGACCTATCTAGTAATCTTATCATTGACAGTGAGATAGAGGTAATACATTGAGACATGAAGGAATTCAAATTTGCAAACAACAGAGGACATTTTTTTACAGTAGGAACAATAAGATGTGGAGTCATCTGCCTAAAAAGTTTATTTATAAGATTCTTTACAGAATTGAAAAAAAAAAGGTTGTATTGTTGTCCATGAAAACAAAAAAGAAATAATAAACAGGATGTTTTTTATTTTTTATGAAAAGCAGAATATTTAACATATAATTAATACATTTGGGTACAGCTTGTTAATCCAGTGAGAAACTGGATTTCCATTATGGAGTCACAAGGGATTTTTACCTTTTATGACACAACTGGCAATAACTTTGATTTGGGTTTTTCACTTTTTTTTTCCTGATCAACAGCATCAGAACATATGCATAGTTATGTATAACATGTAGGCAAGTTGCCTTTTTACTTTTTGTTTTTTTTAGGGGTATATTTAAAATGTTTAATTTCATTGCCTGTATTATTTTACACTGTAAAGTATTTTGTGATCTGAAAGTAAAAATATATTTTTTATTTTAGTGTTCTGTAACATGTTCCAACGGTACTCAAGAACGTCAAGTAATGTGTAGTTCTGATGACAGTAAAAACTGTATTGACAATAAACCTGACACAATAAGGATTTGCATACTTCCTCCTTGTACTGGTACGTTCTGTTGTGATTTTTATTTAAGACTGTTTATCTTAATTAACAAAAAATTATATAGTATCACATTACAGAGCATCAAATGTAAATGACTATGCGTTTAACAAATAATTATAGGCACTAAATAAAATGTAAAACAAAAAAGGTGCGCTGTACCTTTAAAAATTTAAAGTGCAACAAATGCAAAAAAATTTGTGCAATAAGAAGTGTCTATTCCATAAAATCACACTCAATATAACGAATGTGCAAAATTGCAAGTGAATAGTGATAAAAATACAAATAGTAACTTACAGCAGGAAAATATGTCTCAATGTAAATTGCATTTGGTAATTCCAAAGTAGGAGATATGATACATAAAAAAGAAAAAAGCACATAGCATAATACTGTTTAAAATTGTTTAAAACAACCAAGAGAAATAGAATAAAACTCACAAGGAAAGAGCAGTAAAAGTCTGCTCTAACTTTTCCAACATGTAATCCACAGCATAGGGCTTTGATGGTAGTAAAAACAGCAGGACGCCAGCTGAATAAAACGATCTTTATTTCTTCCAATAAAAAAACTCCCTTTACCACATAGAAGACCAGTGTCCCATTCAATGCTTTGAAGAGATGAACACGCCAAAATTTGCGGTCTTTGCAGCTTGCGGCACTATACAAGGTACTTCCGGGGGTCTCAGATTCTCCAAAACCCACTTTTTTTTTTTTTTCCACTCCACCACTCCTCCGGATATGTCCACTGGTGCCAGGATCCAGCAGATGAAATAATGCCAGGAAAGTGGGGATATTTTATAACTTTAATGACATAGGAAATAAAACAGGGATATAAAGTGCATAAGAGTAGAAAACATCGATAGCAGCACTGACGCGTTTCGACTATTGAAGTCTTTTTTTTTTTTACTAAATAAAATGTAGCTTTTACAGGTACAACATCATCATAAGGGAAAAATTCCAAAATGTAAATTAGCAAGCCAGATGAAAACAATGTAACTGGGCAGAAAAATGGTCAAATGCAAGTGAAATGGGCACCTAGTGTAAATAGAGAAGTTAAAGCACCACTAGAGTCATGCAGGTCACTTCATCTCAGCATTGTGGCTTGGATGCAGTGGTCCTCACCTTTCACTACTGCATTGTAAAAGATTGCAATTTTGGCAAAACTGAGATTTTTACATTGCAAGGTTAAATCCTCCTTGAGTGGCTATCAAACTTTCAGCCCCTAAAGCTGCTCCAGTGGCATTGACCAAGTAAAACACTGTCATATTATGCAGAAGCCACCATAAGAAAGTATTGTACTCTATGAGGAGAATTGGATCAGACAATGCTGGAGGAGGCTAAGTAAGCAGCGCCGATGGAGTTGGAAAAAGGTAAGTAAATCTGTAATTTTCATACATTTTTCCTGCAGGGGGGGCACCTGGATACATATAGGGAGATGGACACTAAAGCATTAGGAATACAGGTTTCTATTCTGAATGCTTTAGTGTTCTTTTTAATACAAACCGAAGTGACAAAACATAACATTGCCATGAGTAACCTGTGTGTAAGGGCATTGCTATTATAGTGATCTCTGGTGTTGTAGAGTCTTGTGATACCTTAAGCCTGTGTTTTGGTGCAGATCAAGATACCTTTTGGTGTTTGTAGCAGATGGCACTGGGCTGTCCTGAAAACTACATGTGTTTAACTGCATTCATGTAAACTGCTGGTTTTGTATGTGTTGAAATAAAGTGTATTCGTCTGATTGTTCGGTAGAATCATTCGAATAAACTAAGGGAATGAAACTACTGAGCAATCAGACCTCCCCTGTGTGAAGTGTGCCTTCAATTACCCGGTGCAACAATGTTGCTAACATGTAATTAACAAGCGATGCAGTAGGTCCTTTGTTCGCGGGGTGGCCGCCATTCGGGAAACGAACACGTGGTGGCGGCCATTTTAAAACTCCCGAACAGCTGTGTTTTGCCGTCGAGTGTCTGGAACTCAAATCGGACACTTGACTAGGCGAACACCGCTGAGACCTCCACAAGCCGGTCCGTTCGGTTCCAAACTAACCAAATGTGCCATTTAAAGGGGTACCCCTAGGTTTAGGGGTACATCCAGAAACTGGGGGAATTTGTGTACAGTATAAGGGGATTATGAGTCAGGCTGAGGGGAGGAGATAGGTGGGAGGTTACTATTGTCGGATTGGGTACTGTACTAATTGATGAAAGTCTCTCCCTTGCATGGGAGCATGCTATATAAGGCCACTGTGGAATAAAGGTGTTCAGTTCTACTCCTGATGTGTGTCGTCCAGTTATTGGGATTGCTGTTGGGATACTGTTGGATTATTTTACCTGCTGGAAACCTTGCCTGTGGATTTATAATTACTTGTTCCTGAGCCTCACTGGGATCTTAAGCGGAGATAATCTGTGGAATATTGTATCTCCGCTACATTGGTTGGCAGCGGTGGGATCCAGACTTACAGAGGAACAAGCACAAATGGAGTACGGATGGAGATTGATTTTGCTACACTAAAACGCTCCACATTAAAGGACCTCCTAGAGGCAAGGGGTATTCAAGCCAGCAACAAGAAGAAAGCGGTACTTATTACCGAACTCATGGCAGAGTACCGAATGGATGGCGGTTCGGTTCCCGAACAGGGGGATTAGGGGGAAACACAGGAACAAATGGAGTTCCAGAGACAGTTACAATTTAGGCTGTCTTTTTATGGAGAACACCCGTCAGCAGAAATTTATTTCCAGGACCATGATAGAGGTCCAGGAATTCATACTGAGGCAACGGATAACAACCCCAGAACACAGCTCTACAGTAAACGTGCCACAGGAAGGTAAGCCTAAAATACCATATCAGGCTTTTAAAACGTATGTGGAGGCAGAGGAAGATATAGATGCTTTCCTGCAAGATTTTGAAAGACTGTGTGCATTGCATAAAATCAGCGCAGAGGACTGGGTTCCTATTTTGGCAGGACGGTTAACTGGGAGGGCAGCAGAGGCATACCGTACTGTGCCAGATGAAGAAATTAGGAATTACAGTAAAGTGAAAGAGATTATACTGGCCCGGTATGCTATAACACCAGAGGCATACCGGAGGAGATTCCGGGATTTAAGTGGAGAAGTGGAAGTGGAGAAGGACTCGCATGCAGAATGGGCGTGCAGGTTACAATGGGCAGCACTTGGGTGGGTGCAAGCGAGCAAGGCAAGGTCCATGGAGGACGTGATACAAATGCTGCTAATGGAACAATTTTATGATGGGGTGACAGCAGATGTCCAGGAGTGGGTAAGGGACCGAAACCCTACCTCCCTCCCAGAAGCGGCTAGAAGGGCAGATGAGTACATGGACGCACGTAGACAACAAAAACCTGCAGTTCCAAAAACCCCATGGAAAACCTTTGGGGGAACCACCTACACCCCAGCACCACCAAGGCAACTACCACTGCCAGCACCGCCCGCTGCACAGCCACGGTTTCGCCAGCCGAGCTCTGGGGCCTGTCATCACTGCCAGAAATGGGGGCATTATAAAAGAGAATGCCCACAACTACGGGATCGTTCCACCTGGATCCGACCAGGCCCACCACCACCACCAAGAGCGGCCACAGCACACTGCTACCAGGACATAGTTGCAACACCATATGGTTCAGCAGTGCCCATTACCACCGTGGAACAGTGGGAAGTTTTGCACAAAGCCGATCCAGTCCAAGCCAATGCTGATAATCGTCAGCACCATAGACAGACGGTAAACTTGGAGGGTAAAGCGGTCCAAGGACTACATGACTCAGGAGCTACTATCACCCTGGTAAAGAGTCACCTGGTTTCGGATCAGGCTAAGCTCAGTAAAACTATAGCCGTCAGGGTAGCCGGGGGAGCAGTGTACCGGCTACCTACAGCAAGGGTACATTTGCATTGGGGTCAGGACACGTGGAGGTGGGGTTGATGCCGCAGTTACCAGCGGAGGTTTTGTTGGGGAACGATCTAGGGAGGTTCACGTCTGCTTTTGAGCCCCAGACGCCCACCACAGGAGAAGCTCACCCTGTGGTCACCCGACAACAGGCCCGCACCCAGGACTACAACACACTCCCGGAGGTTCAGGTAAGAGACCCTTCCCCTTCCTTAGAATGTGTCCCCTGGGCCCCACCTAATGAATTTGCAGCTGAAGTAGTAACCGACCCTACACTACAAGTATATAGGGACAAGGTTGTCACTGACTCACCCGGGGGGGAGGGAGGGAGAGAGATTTGTCTGGGACAAGCAGCTTCTATACAGGGAGACAGACAAGCAGATTGCTGGGTCAGACCCGATGGTGATGAGGCAGCTAGTGGTGCCGGAGCGGTACCGAGCAGAGTTACTCCGGATAGCGCATGATATTCCGCTATCCGGACATTTAGGGGTCAGTCACACTAGGTACAGACTGACCCAAAGTTTCTTCTGGCCAGGGATCAGCCAGGAAGTGCGCGGGTATTGCAATACGTGCGATACCTGTCAGAGGGTAGGGAAAAGGGGAGACCAAAGGAAGGTGAAACTACACCCCCTACCCATAATTGAGGAACCCTTTAGTAGAGTAGCAGTATATTTGATAGGCCCCCTCAAGAAAGCTAGTCCGTCAGGCAAAAGATACATTTTAACTGTAGTAGATTATGCCACTAGATATCCAGAGGCAGTGGCTCTGACCAACATCCACACTGAAACAGTCGCGGATGCCCTCATGCGGATCTTCTCCCGGATGGGATTACCCAGGGAGATTATCTCGGATCAGGGTACCCAATTTACCGCAGAATTCACCCAACACCTCTGGAGGATATGTAGCATTAAGCCTATAATCAGTGCCCCTTACCACCCCCAGACTAATGGGCTCTGCGAACGGTTCAATGGTACATTGAAACAAATGCTACGAACCTTCGCAGAGACCCACAAGGACTGGGAGCGATTCCTGACGCATCTCCTATTCGCTTACCAGGAGGTGCCGCAGGAGTCCACAGGGTTTTCAACGTTTGAACTGCTATTTGGGAGGAGAGTCAGAGGCCCCGTAGATCTGATTAGAGAGCATTGGGAGGGGGACCGGAGCGCAGATGGCACTCCCATCATACCATATGTGTTGGCATTACGAGACCACCTGGAAGCATTCACTAGGACGGTAAGGGAAAACCTTCAGGCGGTGCAGACCCGCCAGCGCACGTGGTATGATCGGGGAGTCAGGGACCGTAGCTTTCAGGTCTGGCAGAAAGTGTTAATTTTAAGACCTGTCCGACATGACAAGCTACAGGCCGCCTGGCAGGGACCATATAGGGTGGTGGAACAGAGATGTGACACCACCTATATAATCGGCCCCTGCACAGGGACTAGAGGACGACGCATGCTCCATGTGAACATGATGAAGCCCTACCAGGAGCACTCCGAGGAGGTAACCGCCATATGTGCGTCCAACTCTGACGAGTTTGACAGCTTACCTCTCCCAGATCTGCTGGGAGATGGGCAGTTGTCTGGAGATTTATGGGAGGTTGCACTGGGAGACCGGCTGAGCCCACAGGAGCGTACCGAGGTACAGCAGCTATTAGAAGAGAAACGAGACACGTTCTCTAATGTACCTGGTTACACCCCTCTGGCCACTCACCGGGTAGAGACCCCAGGGCAACTACCCATGCACCAGACCCTCTACCGCATCCCTGAAGCGGTGAGGGAGAATATGCACAAGGAGATCGATGAGATGCTCCAACTGGGGGTGATTGAGCCCTCAGACAGTCCCTGGGCTTCCCCTGTAGTGCTCGTACCAAAGCGAGACGGTACGACTCGCTTCTGCGTGGACTACAGGAGATTGAACGAGAAAACCGTGTCAGATGCCTACCCTATGCCACGGATAGATGAATTATTAGACAGGATGGCCAGGGGCCAATACCTCACTACTATTGACTTATGTAAGGGGTATTGGCAAATTCCTCTGGCCCCAGATGCCATCCCTAAGTCAGCCTTTGTCACCCCATTTGGTTTGTACCAGTTTAAGGTCATGCCATTTGGGATGAAAAACACCCCAGCTACTTTCCAGTGGATGGTGGACCAACTCCTGGATGGGTTCCAGGACTATACCTGTGCCTACCTGGACGATATTGCCATTTTTAGCAATATGTGGCAGGAGCACTTGGCCCATATAGGAGCGGTCCGAGACAGGATTAGGGAGGCTGGTTTGACATTGAAACGGTCAAGTGCAGTATAGGGATGGCCGAGGTGCAATACCTGGGACATAGAGTGGGGTGCGGCAAGCAGAAGCCCAAACCAGCCAAAGTAGAGGCCGTGGCCCAGTGGCCCACCCCTAGGACTAAGACCCAAGTTTTAGCATTTCTAGGGACCGCTGGGTATTACAGAAAATTTGGCCCTAACTATAGTGCCCTGGTCAAACCCCTCACTGACCTGACCCGGAAGAATCTGCCCCGCCAGGTGACCTGGACCCCGGAGTGTAAGCAGGCATTCCAACATCTGAAAAATGCACTGATAAAGGCCCCTGTCTTGGCAGCTCCCAATCCAACTAAACGTTTTCTTGTTCACACAGACGCTTCTATGTTTGGATTGGGGGCAGTACTGAGCCAAGTCGGGGCCGATGGCGGAGAACATCCCGTGGCTTACATCAGTCGCAAGTTACTACCCTGCGAAGTAAGCTATACGGCCATCGAGAAGGAATGCCTGGCTGTGGTGTGGGCCCTAAAGAAACTGCAGCCGTATTTGTATGGACAGCCCTTTTCATTGCTCACGGATCACAACTCGTTGGTATGGCTGAACCGGGTGGCTGGGGACAATGCCAGGCTGCTGCGCTGGAGCTTGGCGCTGCAGCCCTTTGACTTTAATATTCAGTACTGCCCGGGTAAACAGAATGGGAATGCTGACGGGTTGTCGAGACAAACTGACCTGGAAAAGTGATCCGTGAGCCCCCGGACATCCCCAAGCCGATCCGTGCTGGATCAGACTGTGTATGCCGGCTTGTGGGCAAGGGGGAGCAGTGTAGCGGATGGCACTGGGCTGTCCTGAAAATTACATGTGTTTAACTGCATTCGTGTAAACTGCTGGTTTTGTATGTGTTGAAATAAAGTGTATTCATCTGATTGTTCGGTAGAATCATTCGAATAAACTAAGGGAATGAAACTACCGAACAATCAGACCTCCCCTGTGTAAAGTGTGCCTTCAATTACCCGTTGCAACAATGTTGCGAACGTGTAATTAACAAGCGATGGGTGGCCGCCATTCGGGAAACGAACACGTGGTGGCGGCCATTTTAAAACTCCCGAACAGCAGTGTTTTGCCATCGAGTGTCTGGAACTCAAATCGGACACTCGACTAGGCGAACACCGCTGAGACCTCCACAAACCCGGTCCGTTCGGTTCCAAACTACCGAACGGCCCCTCGTTCGGTAGACAGAAACAACCGAACGAGGGGATTCATGCGAACCTTACCTGATCTCTTTAGCCTTTCCCTTATTTATTCCCTTATACTGGGACCAACCGCAGGGCCCCATCGCATGGAACCCAATTCGGCTGTTCTCTCCAGCGCGGTCGGTCTTTTTAGTACTTCCATAAATTTCCCGAACCCCTGGTCCGATCTGGGTGATTTTTGGATATGTTGCTCACCCCGATCAGGGCTACCAGGGGATGTGCCATTTAAAGGGGTACCCCTAGGTTTAGGGGGTACATCCAGAAACTGGGGGAATTTGTGTACAGTATAAGGGGATTATGAGTCATGCTGAGGGGAGGAGATAGGTGGGAGGTTACTATTGTCGGATTGGGTACTGTACTAATTGATGAAAGTCCCTCCCTTGCATGGGAGCATGCTATATAAGGCCACTGTGGAATAAAGGTGTTCGGTTCTGCTCCTGATGCTGTGTGTCGTCCAGTTATTGGGATTGCGGTTGGGATACTGTTGGATTATCTTACCTGCTGGAAACCTTGCCTGTGGATTTATAATTACTTGTTCCTGAGCCTCACTGGGATCTTAAGCGGAGATAATCTGTGGAATATTGTATCTTCGCTACAGTGTTTGTTTTTTGTTTTTCTTTTTTCTTATATATTAAAGCATGTTCTATACTATGCAATCTAAATTTGCAGCATTGATTGGAACATAATATTGTATGTATAGAAAAATATGCATTCTCACAAACAAGATGGCCACCAACAGAGTTCCAACGCGTTTGTGCATACATTGGAGTTCATTGAAAGGCACAGGAAAAGCAAAGTATCTTATTTGGCAGCTGTAAGAGCAGAGGAGAGTATATGTCTGGGGGAAGAATCTGTGTAACCAGCAGATGGTGGTGTGGATATTTTATAACGAATCAAACAAATTTGATTCGCCAATGTTGCTTATTAAGTTCACCTGAGAAATACAATATTCCATTTGTATTTAAATAATAACTGGATATCTAAACTTACTGAAATCAATATAACCTAAACTTTCCTGAGTAACTCCCTCTATACTGTGTACGTAAATATTTCCATGCATAGTATATAGGTATCACGAGTAACAATCACTCAAAGGTAGAAGAAATAGGAACAAATAACTGAGCAGAGAGGGAAGTTGGATGGTAAGAAACATAGATGTATACATAGATAGAGATATAATAGCTATTCCACATAGATAAGGATAATATACTACTTAGGGTAAGAGACGGTGAGGGTTTCTTGGTCCTATTACCTCAAACCTGCAACAACAGAGCCTGCTATTCTGCCATCTATTTATAGTATAGCCTATAGTTATAGAAGGCATACCAATAATCTATAAGTCTGGCCAATGGTGGACCACAATAGCCTCAACCCTGTCTACTAAACCATTGCCTATCTAGAGTCAAAAAGGGCTCGGTGTAGGGGGCGGAGTCTGGCAACCATGCCGAGCAGACGCACACTGCATGGGCTCCGAGGCAAAAACTTACTAATCGCAAAACAAAGGGGGGAGAAGAGTCTGCGCTAAACCGGAGGAGCAGCAACCCTATAAGGGAATCCCTCAAGAAACCCTTGTAGAGACAATAAAATACAAAAAGGGGGGAAAGGGCTGCGCTAAAAAATAATCAATAGACAAAGTTCGTCTAAAAAATGGATAAAAACAGTCTCACTGATATGTGATGGTAGGGTAATATTCCTCAGGTGTTGATCCGTCCGTGTGGTGGCAGATAGTCCATATATGTGGAAATAAAAACAGATAAAGAGCATCCAATGGTGAAATATAGTACGTTTAGATGTGATGTATAAATCAAGAGAAAAGTATTCCACTCACATTTGTTGGAGCTTGAACCAGCTCTAGGAGAAGAGGCACTTAGTGGTTTAATCCCCACAATCGGATACACTTTAGTGATGGGTCCGTCTGTCACAACTTTGGATTTTCTTGATGTAGGCTGGAACCTGCTCAGATGTGCGTAGTTCTATGGTGCTTGGGGAGATAGGTCCGCCTCTCCAGTTTGGAATAATGGGTATCCACGAAATATATAAAACAGTAGATAGTGCTCTCAGTATGAACAGTAAAAATATTTTAAGAAAATAAGTTATACTTACAAGAATAGAGCAGACAAATACTGCTCTATTACCACAGCGCTGGTGGAATTATCCCCACCTGAGGATTTCTTTTGACAGGATACACTTCAGGGTTATGGTGTTTTAAGAAATAAAAATTAAAATAAAAATTTTTAAAAATAAAAATAAAAAATAAAAAGATATAGTATAAAAACAATGTATGAAAGTGCCAGGAGTAGTTGAAATGTATAAAATACAATAAAAATAAGTATAAGATTGGTCCTCGTATAAAAGGCTAACCAAAAATAACTTTTATTGATTTAAAATACACTTTTTAAAACCATTTACGCGTTTCACCTATGAGGTTTTTTCAAAATGGTAAAAGAACCTTTTTAAAACCATTTACGCGTTTCACCTATGAGGTTTTTTCAAAATGGTAAAAGAACCTTCTTTTACCATTTTGAAAAAACCTCATAGGTGAAACGCGTAAATGGTTTTAAAAAGTGTATTTTAAATCAATAAAAGTTATTTTTGGTTAGCCTTTTATACGAGGACCAATCTTATACTTATTTTTATTGTATTTTATACATTTCAACTACTCCTGGCACTTTCATACATTGTTTTTATACTATATCTTTTTATTTTTTATTTTTATTTTTATAAAAAAAAAATTTTATTTTTAATTTTTATTTCTTAAAACACCATAACCCTGAAGTGTATCCTGTCAAAAGAAATCCTCAGGTGGGGATAATTCCACCAGCGCTGTGGTAATAGAGCAGTATTTGTCTGCTCTATTCTTGTAAGTATAACTTATTTTCTTAAAATATTTTTACTGTTCATACTGAGAGCACTATCTACTGTTTTATATATTTCGTGGATACCCATTATTCCAAACTGGAGAGGCGGACCTATCTCCCCAAGCACCATAGAACTACACACATCTGAGCAGGTTCCAGCCTACATCAAGGAAATCCAAAGTTGTGAAAGACGGACCCATCACTAAAGTATATCCGATAGTGGGGATCAAACCACTAAGTGCCTCTTCTCCTAGAGCTGGTTCAAGCTCCAACAAATGTGAGTGGAATACTTTTCTCTTGATTTATACATCACACCTAAACGTACTATATTTCACCATTGGAAGCTCTTTATCTGTTTTTATTTCCACATATATGGACTATCTGCCACCACACGGACGGATCAACACCTGAGGAATATTACCCTACCATCACATATCAGTGAGACTGTTTTTATCCATTTTTTAGACGAACTTTGTCTATTGATTATTTTTTAGCGCTGCCCTTTCCCCCCTTTTTGTATTTTAAAAACTTACTAATGACTACAATAAACTAGCAAAACTCTTCAAAAAAGCTTGCACAACAGTCTCAGCTAAAGGGACTTTCACAAGCGGCAAACAAAGCCAGGAGATCCGAACACAAGCGACAGCCACTAACCGGGGATCGACTCGAGGCCTATGGAGGGCCTGACCATGCGACACGAGGGAGGTGGCCGATCCCTCCATCGCAACAGCCTCTCCGGCTGGAGGTCTCCCCGAAAAACTCTACCTCCCCCCCCCCATGCTGGTGGGGGTCATCCCGGCAACCACAAGTGACAAGACAGCAGCAAGGAGTCGATCGGACCCTACCTGCACGACAGCACAAGCGGGGAAAATCATGGCGGATGCCACGTGTGGCCGTGCACTCAGAACAACTCTGCCTCCACTAGCGGAGAGGATAGACCGCGTACTGCAAGCTTTCTGGGCCAGACTTGCCTTTCGCAAAGATTCCACAGCGGTGTTGCCTGCAGAGCCCACACGTAAGCCAACACGACAGACAGCGAACCCGGGAAGAGGACATGGAGCAGCCTAAATCGCAGGGCGGAGAGTGCGGACGATCCAGCGGAAAACTACACTGAACCGCCACAACACTAACCAAACGGAGCACCTCCAAACTCTCCAGCGCCGGCCCACACAGAAGGTACCCCCTCCAGACTCCCAAACAAACCCAAAGCCTGTTACACCACCCAAGAGACTAAGCCTCGCAGGGGGATCTCGGAAACCCGCAACAATCCACCATAGAGTTACATCACTCAGCCCATGGGGGCTCACCTGGAGACAGGCCCAGCAGTGAGACATCGTCGGAGATCACCACCGACCACTACTAAGGGCACCAACCCTGAGGCTGACTGGGATCGGTTGAACTGTCTGACCTGGACTTGGCATCATTTATCAAAGACACTGCACACTAGGTTCACCTCAATGTGTACAATTAAATTATGCCTGCAACCATGCTGGCTACTCATAAGCAAGTAATACAGTTTGATTAATCACTAACAATAGCCTAGCAAGTCACAAGCTGAAACATATAAGCAATCACCTCTCACCAAACATACATTACCCGACTTTGTCTAACCTTGTACCTTGCCAGACACATTCAGCAGCAAAAATAACACATAGATAAACAAAACTATTATTATATAAAACCGTGCAGTACTCACTAATGCCTAATTAACATCACGCTAAGTTGAAAAATGCTTTCCCTAACTGTTGTGATTTCCCTATACAAAATTAGCAAAGTTAACTGCTGTATGACGCTCCCTAGCTGTATACACAGTCTAACAAGTATTTTTTAATCTAGCTACTGCTATACTATAAACCGTGCTTATCCATTATGTCTATGATAACATAACAACATGAGAATTGAAAACTAAACGTTAGTCAATCTCATTGTATTCTAGTTAACCTTACTTTACTATACTAAACTGTCTAGTTAAGCATGCTTAAAAAACAAAAAACTGTGCGAATTTTCATGCCACTGTTAAACTGTCTTGAAATACACTGTTGTGGCGACCGTTGATATATATTGTAATCATCTGCACAGCAAAAGTAAAGAATAAAAGAAAAAAAAAAAGGGCTCGGTGTAATGTGCTAGTCTGGCTGTTTTAAAACCCCAGTGGCTATTACCTCAACCCTGTAATAAGAGAGTTCATACAGCACAGTCCTCACCCTTCCTAAACAATCCTACTTTTCCTCTTTCTTTAGTTCATGCTCACTCAATCCCAAGCACCTCTTTATTACCTTCAACTCTCTCCTTTGCCCACCTCACGCCACCACTTCTCCCCAGCTACAGAACAGGAGGTGGTTGCGCTTTTCCTCTCCTCTAGTCCCACCACCTGTCCTCTTGATCCAGTGCCTTCCCACCTTATCAGATATCTCTCCCCTTGTCTTGTACCATCCTTAACACACATCCTGGTGTTGTCCCTGCTCCCCTTAAGCATGTTACTGTCGTACCCATCCTAAAAAAGCCATCACAAGACCCGTCTTCCCCTTCAAACTATCGTCCCATATCCCTGCTTCCTTTTTCCTCAAAGCTTCTAGAAAGACTTGTGTATACTCGTAAGACTCACTTCCTCAATTCCAACTCCTTGGTCCTCTTCAATCTGGCTTTCGCCCTCTCCACTCTACTGAGACTGCTCTTATTAAATTTACAAATGACCTAGTCCATACTAATCCTTCTTGCCCTCTCAGCCACCTTTGACACTGTTGATCATGTCCTCCTTCTCCAAACTCTTCAATCCCTCAGTCTTTGCGACACTATCCTCTCATGGTTCTCCTCCTATCTCCCAACGTTTGTTCAGTGTGTCTTTTTGCAATGCCACTTCTTTCTCTTGCCCTGTCTCGGTTTGAGTCCCCCATGGATCTGTTCTTGGTCCCCTCCTGTTCTCTCTTTATACTGCCTCTCTTGGCAAACTCATTAACTCCTTTGGATTCCGCTACCGTCTGTATGCCGACAACACCCAGCTATATCTCTCCTCCCCTGACCTCTCCCCTGCTGCCCTACAATGTGTCACTGGTTACCTTTCTTCAATCTCTAACTGGATGTCCTCCTGCTTTCTGAAACTCAGTTTCTCTAAAACTGAGCTTCTTATTTTTCCCCCTCATAATGCTGCACCTCCTCCTTCGCTTTCCCTGCAAGTTGATGGTACTTGCATCAGTCTGTCCCTGCAAGCTCGTTGTTTTGGTGTTATCTTTGATCCTGGCCTCACCTTTGAGCCTCATATCCAGAATATTGCTAAAACATCACCTGCATCCGCCCCTTTCTCATGCAAGATGCTGCCAAGGAGCTTGTTCATGCTCTGGTAATCTCTCACATGGATTATTGTAATTCTCTCCTATTTGGTCTCCGCCAGGCTGATCTTTCTCACCCATCGCTCCTCCCATACCTTGTGTAACGGATCGCCTGGCACCCCGACTGGGTACCTCCGTTAAAGGATGCTCCTAGCGCTTCCTGAGGACTCCAAGCACTGCAGCAGACACCACAACCACCGAACCGGAGAAGCATATGAATCCTCTCAAGCATATGAATGCTGTAGACAGTTGAATAGGAACCATATGAATAGGTTTACTCTCCTAGCAGTCAAACTGGAACAGCATACAATAAATCCTTCCCCCAATAATGAGACAACACTTCACTTTGAGGGTTAAAACAGGAACTCCCTGTACTGTCACATACAGTCTCTTTTATTCCCAATCCACAAACATAGTACAGCCCACAGGGCGTTACAAAACAGCCAATCAATCCATACAATACACCCAGACACTCCCACACAAAATCCTCCCCTCTGGCTGTGATATGATTACTGAACACAATGGGTAATCTAATTATCACAGCCAGAGAAATACAGTTTCATAAAACACATCACAGGGACCCCAAAACATGCAATAACCCCATAAAATATCATTTTAACTGGGGGATCTGGGTGAACCACATATCCAAAATTCACCCAGATCCGTTCAGTACTTTGGAAAATACAGTTTAATGCAGATTCTGCAGAACATATACAGGCTAAATAAAAACAATCACTGTATAATGTGTCCCCTGCTGTATAGTCCAAAACCACGCACGATGTCTCTGTGCAACAAATACTGGCGAGATGGCACCGTGTTGAAAAGTCCACACAGTGTCTGTGAGTTAAAATGGCCGCCATCCATTGTTCTCACCATGTGCTTCTGATACAGGAAATGGTGGCCACCCAGTAACTCCACAGTATGTCCCCAGATGGTTCTTAAAAGGGCCAGCAGCAGCACAACACAAATCCATTATGCCCAAATAATGTCTTTAAAGGGCAATACATCCCAGGGGCCATAGTCACATAGCAGGAGGCTGGCAACCAGGCTTCTCCAGTGCATAGTGGCGAGGTTGGTTCCACCACACCTTGCCCCTCTGTCGATTCTTACACTGGCTTCCTGTATCCTATAGGTGTCAATTCAAAATACTAACTCTTACCTATAAAGCTTTAACCAACTCTAGTCCCTCTTACATGTCTTCACTGATTCATATATATGCCCCTTCTTGGTCTCTCCGCTCTTCCAGTGACCTTCTTCTGTCTGCTGCTCACACCCTTATCAGGACTCTCTTTAAAAGGGGACCGGGGGACCTTGATTAAATCAAGTGCTGCAGCCCACAGGGTTTGGACGCCGTCAGGGGGCCCGAAGTAGCTTCCCCTAGGGCCCCCTGTCTGCGTACAAACCCTGTGGGCTGAGGCAGTCGATGTAATCAAGGGCCCCTGGCCTTTTAAAATTACTCCTGACCGGGCCGATTTCATGTTGCCTGCTGGGAGGAAGTGAGGTGAGATCTGTGTGTATCTGAATGTGTGTGTGTGTCAGTGTGTGTGTCTGGCTGTGTGTGTGTGTGTATATCTCTTTGTGTTTGTGTGTGTGTGTGTGTGTGTGTGTGTGTGTGCGCAACTGGTTGTTTGTGTCAGTGTGTATCTGGCTTTGTGTATGTGTGTATCTGGCTATATGTGTCTGTGTATGTACACCTGTGTGTATGTGTATCTGTATGAATGTATACCTGTGTACTTGTGTTAATGTGTATGTGTACATGCATGTGTGTGGGTGTGTGTGTGTGTGTGTGTGTGTGTGTGTATGTATATATATGTATGATATGTGTGTGTGTATCTATGTGTGTGGCAATGCATTCATCCCAGCATTCCAATGCCAACACTGCACACACATGCGCTAAAACTGCACACAAATACACTCCTGCGTTCCAACAACATTGCATATCTGTGTGTACATATCTGTGACAGTGTGTATCTCTGTGTGTGAATGTGTCAGTGTGTATGGATGTGTGTATGCACCAGTGTCTGTATCAAAGTGTGTGTATCAGAGTATGTGGTGGTGTGTGTGTACATGCCAGTGTGTTTGTGTTAGTGTGTATCTATGTGTCAAGGTGTGTGCATATGTCCAGGTGTGTGCATGTATCAGTGTGTTTATGTGTGTATCTGCGTGTCAATGTGTATGTATATCTGTGTTAGTATGTATGTGCATACATCCAGGCAATCAAACACACAGTGGCAAACACAATCATTATATACAAACACACACCTGAAAACAAACTCCAAAATTGTATACAAACACATTCTTCACTCACATCAATACTACACAAAAATGTATATCTGCATTTAAAAGACAACACTACATCCAAACACACAGCCCTGCATTCAAATTACATGCAATTACAAATGTTACATACAAACACACCCCTTTATTAAAACACGAAAATTACATACAAACACCAACTCTATACACAAAAGCACACCTGCATTTAAAAGCCAACACTACATACAAACACACACCCCTGCATTCAAACGCAAACACTACACACAAGTATGCCACTACATTCCAATGTTAACAGTACATACAAATACACCCATACATGCACACATATACTCTTTACAAAAACATGCTTACATTCAAAATTTACAAATAGTGCTCACAAGTACAACCCTACACGCTCTGCATGAGGACATCCAGGATCAGATTTTTTCGTATTTATTTTTTTGATTCAATCCTTTCCTATGGGAGGTCTAATGTGTGCGCAGCATTTGCAGTGCATGTGCATTAGCGCCCACTCATCGTGAGATGTTGCTCTGGGATCAGGTAAGTAAATAAAGGGTTTTTAACCTCTAAAGGACACAGCTTCAAAAGCTTGTCTTGCACTTAAGGACACAATAAATACATTTTTGCATTTATTGCTGTTTGTGTTCAACTGTAATTTGCATTTTACTAATTTATTGTACCAACACATATTATATATGTTTTTTTAAGGAGAAAAAGGACTTTAATTTGATGTGACATATACATATATAAATGATGATTTATTATAAAAAAAGTACAAACAAATGCAAAAACAAGGAAACATATTGTTTGTTTTGACAGTTTTTGCAATAATAATGTGTGTATAATTAGTGCAAGTTAAGGAAAGTAATTAAAAATAAATTAATTTAGTTGTTCTGATATAATATGTCTAGGATTTTAAGTATTTTTCTTGGTAGTTATAGGTCACAAAACACAAGGAGTAAAATAAACTTTTAATGTCGAGCGATTTTAGAATTTGGTATGTTTGTCTTGTAAGCTTAATAGCCATCAAAGAAAACAAAATTGCCACACAAAAGTATATATTTATGTAAAGTAGACATCGCAGATTTTTTACCTACGGTTATTATGACACTTTTTGCTTAGCCATTTCACTGCCAATCTCTGCTAAATATTGGAGTAAAATTGTGGGTTTTTTTGGTTTTTGACACACAAACTTATAACAAAGATCTTCTCATGTGTATTTAGTAAAGTTGGTGTGTGCTATTCCTGTACAAAACTTTATTTTGTGTTCAGCTACATCTGCTGAGTACAAATATACCCCCATTGTATGTTTTTGGCACTATTGAAGCTACAATGCCATATAGGAGACCTGTCCATTTCAGTATTTACAGTAGGATATAAGGGACATGTTTTAAGTCAACATTTAAAGACTGGTATCTCCCAAAGTTATCTTTATGGCTAGGAGAGGATGTAATCTAAGGGATATTTTGGTTGACAGTTACCTCCAGAATGGATCTAGTCCTACATGCAGTCACATTCTTTGTTTCTAAGTTTGAGCTGGTGGCTATAAAAAACTACCTTTATTCCAACCAGTATCTGAGGTCATACTAAAATAGGAAAACATGTGGCACCCAACTGATGTCACAGGAATTAAAACATTTTGGGCACTAATCCTAGTAAGGGGTAGCCAAGTATCAGTTCCTACTGGCACAAGCACACCATTCAAGCTACCACTCTTTTCCAAGGGGTTATGAAGAGACATCGCTATGAGCAAATGCTGAGATTTCTCCATTTTAATGATAATGCACTCTCCCCATCAGAAATTACCCATTGTTTGACAGGCTCTTCAACTCTTAACCAACTCCTGTCTGACAAATGTTTCCAAAATTATATCTCAGATCAAAACATTTGCATTTGTTAACTGCTTCTCAAACAATATATCCAATCAAAGCAGATATGGCATTAAATTCCATAAATTATGCAAATCCACTACTGGCTATTCAAGGGCTTTCAAGATTTACAGAGGGAAGGATAGCCATCTGGATCCACAAGGATGCCCTGATTCTGTGGTACAAAAGACAAGATTGTGTTGGACTTGATACTTCCATGTTTAAATAGGTTGATAATTATACCAGTATTGATTTATTTAAAAATGTGCATAAAACACGCAGAGGTTTCCCCCAAATCCTGACAAGCAAAAACAGTAGAGTCTCATCTTCAACCAGGTTGAGGTGCTGGCCTTTGGTACACGGATAAGAAAGGTGTGTGCATGCTGTCTACAATATATGATAAAAGTACAGTGCCAGTGTCTGTCAGAGGAAGAATTAAGCAGCTGTAAAAACAGAAGTGCATTGTAGACCAGGGCCGGACTGGCCCACCGGGATACAGGGAAATTTCCCGGTGGGCCGCGGCACCTGGGGGCCGGCCGCGTTCCTGGCTGGAACCGCCGGGCCGGGTGGCAGCTTCCCCGGTCCGGCGGCACTCCTCTCACTGCTGTGGCTGATGGAGGAGGAGCATGTCTCTGTACCATGCTCCCTCGTGTTCCCGGCACAGGAACCGCGAGGGAGCATGGTACAGAGACATGCTCCTCCTCCATCAGCCACAGCAGTGACAGGAGCAGGGCTACCGGACCGGGGAAGCTGCCGCCCGGCCCGGCGGCTCCAGCCAGGAACGCGGTCGGCCCCCTGACTTCTCCAGGTAAAGGGGGGGGAGGGAAATAGAGGGAGGAGGGGAGAGACACAGGGAAAGGGGGGAGGGAGGAGGGGAGACACAGGAAAGGGGCAGAGAGAGGGAGAGGGGGAAAGGGGGAGGGAGTAGGGAGAGACACAGGGAAAGGGGGGAGAGAGATGGGGAGTAGGGGAGAGACACAGGGAGAGAAATGGGGATAGAGATGGAGAGAGGAGGGAGAGATGGGAGAGACACAGGAAAGGGGGGAGGGAGAGAGATGGGGAGGAGGGGGAGACACAGGGAAAGGGGGGAGGGAGAGAGATGGAGAGACACAGGGAAAGGGGGGAGGAAGAGACACAGGGAAAGGGGGTGAAAGAGGCAGAGGGGGAAGAGAGAGACAAAGAGGGAGAAATGAGAGAGAGACACACAAGGGGAGGGGAAGAAAGAGGCAGAGGGGGAAGAGAGAGACTGGGAAGGAGAGGGGAGACATTGACACAGAGGAGCAGTGAGGGGGAGAAAGAAACATACAGAGTGACTGGGGGAGACAAAAAGGCACACAGAGGGGCTGGAGATAAAGAGACACACATAGGGGCAGTATATATCACTGGTGGATGGGGGGGCAACGGGCCCCCCCCCCCCAAGGCTTTCCCCTGCCGGTCGGCACCGTGCAGCCAGTCGGCAGGGGAGGAAGAGAGGACCTGGGGCAATGCTCCGGCTCTCACGAGGGTGAACTCTAGCCCTGGAGCTACGGGCTAGAGTTCACTCTCACCACTTCCTGGTGGTCCCAGTAGTAGGAGTGAACTCTAGCCCCATACACACACTGCCCCCACACACACACCATACACATTCACACACTGCCCCCACACACACACACCATACACATTTACACACTGCCCACCCACACACTGAACCTTTCACACACATTGCACCACTGCTCCTATACCCTACTACAGCCCCATATCCCAGCAGACTCCAGGTAAGTTGTCAAACTGTTCTTAAACGGTTTGACGACTTACTCTGGGAGGGGGTGCCGACGCTCCTGGCACCATAACCACTACACAGAGGAGTAGTGGTTATTGTGCATGGAATATTTATTTAAATAATCTACAAGTGCCCCTCTCAGGCTCAGGCTCTGGATCCGCCACTAGTAAAAGACATGTATATTAACCCCTTAAGGACACATGACATGTGTGACATGTCGTGATTCCCTTTTATTCCAAAAGTTTGGTCCTTAAGGGGTTAAAGTGTGTATTAGTTTTATATATATATATATACCTATTATATTTACACATATTAATGTACATTTATAAATGCATAATACACAGAGAAATTTCATTAATATGTACCATATGTAATGAGCAGATATTGGCCCAGTCTTGTTGCTAGGTGCATACTCCAGCACAATAACATATTTAAAGTGAAGAGCACACCCACAGGACTTCAAAATAATTTTTTTTTTACAGTTGTGCCCTACATACATTCACCATTTCAGTCCCATTAACAAGCTTTCCTTAATATGTCAAGGTAGTTGGACTGAAACATTGATACATGCAAAGGCACGTCTGCTTAAAATAAATCTGCACTTTTGTTTATTTTGAAGCCTATGAGTGCGCTTTTTACGTTGAATTACTTTTTAATTTTAAGTTATCTGTTCTAACTCTGTATCTGCACACTATGCTGGCGCGACGCATTATAGGGCTGGTAAATATCTTTTTTCAGGGCTGCTTTTAATTCCCAGTCCGGCCCTGTTGGAGACTACCAAACCTATTTCTTAATTATATGTTAATTGTTTGATTTTTTTGTATTTATTTTTACTTTGTCGCCCAATCCCAAAATTAAATACTTAGGAAAATGAAACACACCCAATGCACTTTTTCTGTACACGTGCATCATTACCAGGGAAAGTATGTACTTTATAACATACATGTCTGAAAGTATAAATATATGTAATTGAATCTGTTTAATTAATCTATGTTGTATTCTGTATAAACGATTTAAAATATTTGAGACTATTTTAATGCATGGCAAAGCCAATAATAAGATGTCATATCTTTATTTAGGAAATGCTTCTGATCCATCAAAGAAGAACTACATAGTACAATGGAGATCTAAACAGGATCCAGATTATCCCATGCACAAAATATCTTCAAGTAAAAGACTCATTTATAACTCTGCCTTTGACATTAAATGCATGCTATGTCAGCTATGGACTTTACCTGTTGCGCTTTTCCTTTCATTATATAGAATATTTCCAGATTTTCTGAATTATACCTTTGGCTGAAGCAATAATTTATCTGTGCATTTGCGCTTGACATCTCTCTTCTGCCTTTGTAGCACTGATCGTGAAGATCCTCTAGGAAGTGGCTCTTCCAACTGATTTTGCAGGTCCTAAAGAATTACTAAACCACATTTATCAGTTGATGATACTTAAAAGGTTTGAACTGGCTTTAAAACACAGTTATTGTGAATGTGATCAAGTCACAATAATGGCATCGTACAGTGCTTTTTACATTTTATCTGATTTGTATCACTAACATGCTTTAGCCATATTTGAACTGTTTTAAGGGTAAATTTTCATAAACCAAGAATATTATGTTTAAAATAATTATTTACATGACTTCTGCAATTAGCAGTCATACTTGAGTGTTGGATTAATCACTATGCAGCCTTGTATGTAGCATGTTTGGATTATGTTCTCCCTCTTCTGACATTCTGCCTTATTTAGGATACATTATTGTAAATCCCAAGACACATTACATAGTTACATAGCTGAAAAGAGCCTTCCTTCTAGGTAAAGAGGGGATCTAAAAAGTTGACATTTGCTCTTAAATAAAGTGTGGCCATACTATGCAACATTGTGTGGGCAGCTTTAGATTTCGTTCAAAGAACCATTAGGTGTTTGGTGATTTTTTTTTTTTTTTTTCTAATAATGGCATAAATGGCCATGGCTATTAGTGGATGATGAATTAATCAGGATATATATGATAATATATGTATGTGTGTGTGTGTGTGTGTGTATATATATATATATATATATATATATATATATATACAAAGAGTTTTTTTTATTTTAAATTCAGTGGTTTATCATGACAATTTTAGACATTAGATTTTTTAAATATATTTAAGGTGATAATTTCCCTTTGAAAGTACTGTGCTGTATTAATTAACTTTTGTGGAGTATTTTTGATTTTTCACATGCCCAATGCCATGCACTCAATATCTGCTTATTCCTTTACAGTACACATGTTTATGTACTGTCTAAAAATACATTTTCTTTCTATTATTTTCTCAATACACAGTGAACTTGCATTATTTTTATATGTGTTAACTATTTTGCCTATTAGACTGTTGTTGATATTTAATTAAGATTTATTAAAGCATAACATACCTCAGTTTCTAGGTTTCATACTACTAAAATTACAGTATTGAAATACATCAGGATTTATAAATACTCATATTTACCTAATTGTATTTTTACTTGTGATGATGATTATGTTGTGATTTGTAATCTAATGCACACATGTGGTTTAAATATTTTGTATTCTTTAAATCCCATATTTGTGCTAGGTTTTAGAATGAAATATTATCATCATAATAATACATACGTGTGATGTAATCTTTTTGGCATTTCTTCCCTCTGAGCTGTGTCAGAAAGCTTTTACATGGACTTGACAGTGAAAATACACATATTGAACCCTTGTTCTATGTGTTTTAAGGATTTTAGGAAATAGAACCAAAATGTTTGATTTCCACTCTTCCATCCTTTCCACTCTTCCATCCTTTCCAGTCATTCTTTTGCCCAATCTAGTATGTTCCTCTTATTCTCTTGTCTTTACGTGAAGAGATAGATATCAATGAAAAGGTCAGCTTAAGCCAAGTATAAAAACTTAAAATTAATCTCCAGCAAATATGTAATTGAAAGCCATACTTACCGGACTCTTGCTTACTCCTCCTCAATGATGACATAGTGGATGCATTGCTTAGAGTGTACATTTGAGGATGCCACATTAAACATTTTCAAACTAATGGACGGAGTACTCTTATGGTGACAAATATATTAGACCTTTTTGATAATGCCATAGAGATATCAAAAAATATATTAATAGACTTTAAATATTTAATATCCATTCAGATTGCCCAATGCCATGTCATTTTTATGTAAGAGATACATTTTAGATGGTCTTTCTTTTCAGCAATTATTTAAATAATGGCATGTCAGGCATTGCATAACATAATGGGATTTTCAGAGTCTTTAAGAGATTAATCACTTTTACACACTCTCTTCTGAAGAGTTCAATTGAAACATATCTATATCTAGTAGATTTACATCCCATTTATTTGTTTGTTTTGAAAGTGCCCACTTCAGGAGAATTTATTATTCACATTGACCAGGTTTTAAATGCATCTGAAATAAAACCTTTTTTAAACATAGGTTTCTTTGTAAGTTACCTTGGATGTTGTAGACTGTATAAAAATATTCTTGGTGGCAACCCTCCTGTTAGGAGGGTTGCATTCTTCAGTTGTTGGTTTAAATGGAGGCTTCACTTTTTTTTTTTCTAAAAATGCACTCAAAATGCATTTGAAGAAAGAATGGTCCTTTATGTCTTTGGCATCCCTCCTACTACCTCCCAGACAGTACTCTGGATCTTAAGTCAAAACCTTTTTTTTATTTTTTTTATTTTTTTTTTACACAATTCATTATTTATGATTTTTTTTGTTTTATGTGGAAAACAATGAAAATACAGAATAGCATTGTGTAATGCATTGATATCAATAATCAATAAATGCATGTTAAATATCCATACATGAGGTTACAATGAATGCATATGACAGGATAATAGTATACATTAATGGCATCAATGTGCCTGTAGGTGTTGTCATTGGCTAGTCAAAACTTTTTATTTATTAAAGTGGCTGTTTTTAACCATAAGACTATCAACCAGATTATGTTCATCCAGATATAATTTTTATATGAATTTGAGAGCATTTTTTTTTCTTTGTGTGCTCAGCAAGCTTCTCTTTTCCAAATTTCCCTGCTTCCAGCACAGAGGGACACATGAAAATCCATAGGCTCAGGAGGCTCAGCTCTGTGATAGCACCATTCGTCATCAGACTGTTCCTCATTCTCAGACATTTCCTTGCCCTTAGATACTTCAATGACATCATTATCCAGATCTGGCACTTTATGTTCATGCTCCTTTATAAATCCTGGTGTTCAGTCTCTAGTAATGTTTTTGCTAAAGGTGGGATAAACCTGTTGTGCTCTGGAATCCTGAGCAGTATATCTGGGATCTCAAAATATGCTGAATAGTCACCAATAATTATCATATGAATTTGAACCAGGTGACACCTCACCTCATGTGTCCACTATGGGGAATGTTTTTTTTTTTTTTTTATGGAGATTTGCCAGATGACGCTGACTCTAGGTCCTTGGTGCCCTCCACAGACAATGAAGCAGCAGCAATACTAACATTAGTCTCTTTAACTGTTAGAGACAGGGACGTATCTTCCGTGAGGCAAACAAGGCATCTGCCTTGGGCGGCATTTTGCAGGGTGCGGCAAAAAAAGCCTCCCCCAAATGCCCAGGTGGATTCCGAGGTGGGCGGTGGTCAGTGAGGGAGCATGCTCACCTGAGCTCTTCCTGCTCAGCTCCCTCCACGCTGCAAAATGAAGCCGGGAGCCGGAATATGATGTCACTCCAGCTCCCGACATCACTAAGTGGTGCGCGAGGGAGCTGAGCAGGAAGATGTCTTCCTGTCTGCCCCCCGCCTGCCCGCCCAGCAGCCCCATTGGACCACAGGGAGGCTGGGTGGATTTAAAATAACATTTAAAAAATAACTCTGGCTAGAGGGTAATGTAGAACAGCACTTCTAATTCTATTCATGGATGTGTACTTAGCCTATTCTCAGCAGCATGCAGTATATTTAAGCATTGATATGGGTATATAGAATAATTCAAGCATTATCAATGGATGTTAAATTCACGTTTCCCTGCATTCTCATTAACCTTCACGTACTTCCTGCAATTTACATGTAATATGTGTTAGTTTTTTTTGGTTATAACATATAAGCTTATATGTTTATAGATTTTATACTTGGTAATACATGAGTGTGGTGGAGCTCCTGTACTCGAATGAGTACCTCTACCATGTCCAGAGCAAGGATATAGGCAGCCATCTTGCTCAGCGTTTAGCACCCCTTCTAAGGTTTCTTTTTTAGGCATAGTCACTTCTGATGTTGTCAGCCAAGGAGACAGATCAGGGGCAGAGCCATCACCAGCAGACTAGAATAAAGATTCTACTATATTTAGGTGGATCTTGGGGGCTAGATAGTGTTTTTAACACTATAGAGTCAGAAATACATGTTTGCGTTCCTGAACCTATACTGTTCCTTTAAAAAGAAAAACAAATATAATTATATATACATATATACACAGAACCATAAAAAAGTAATTGTAATAACAAGGAATTGGCTTATTTACTTACATTTGAATGCGGACTTAAGTACGTGTGCAAAACTTTAAGCCCCTTCAAGGAAAGAATCAGAGAGATTGTTAGATCAGTGTTAAAGAAAAAATACACTCTAGTTCAGGGGTAGGCAACCTTTTAGCAGCACTGTGCCGATATAGGATTGTGATGTCCTGTAGCGTGCCGATCCTCAGGCCTGTCACCACCAGGCAAGCTAACCAAGCAATTGCTTGGGGCCCCGAGCTGGCCTGGGCCCCCAAGCAGGACCGGCGCTTCCTATAAGGCTGCACCCACCTGAGCGCTCTATAGAGAGCCTCAGGCGGCTGCAGCACTGCCTCTCTCATCACCTCCCCTTCCCTGTAGCGTGTCCGAGCTCCTCTTCCTCCTGTCAGTCCAGGAGATTCAGTTTCCTGTTCCTGGCCGGACTGGCAGGAAGTGCACCCTGAGCTCGTCCATGCTACAGAGAAGGGGAGGTGAGAAGAACATAGGGGGGGGAGTAATAGGGACACGGGGGGAGGGGAGTAATAAGGACACAGGGGAGGGGAGTAAAAAGGACACAGGGGAGGGGAGTAAAAAGGACACGGGGAGGGGAGTAAGAAGGACACAGGGGAGGGAATAAGAAGGACACAGGAGGGGGGGGGGGAGTAAAAAGGACATAGGGAGGGGAGCAAAAAGGACATAGGGAGGGGAGTAAGAAGAACATAGGGAGGGGGAGAGTAGTAAGAAGAACATATGGGGGGAGTAGTAAGAAGAACATAGGGAGGGGGAGGAGTAAGAAGAACATAGGGGGGTGGGGAGATGAGGAGAATACAGGGAGGGGGGAGGTGGGAGGTGGGAAGATGAGGAGAAAACAGGGAGGGGGGAGGTGAGGAGAAGGGGAGATTAAGAGAACACTGGGGGCGAGGAGAAGGGGAGATTAAGAGAACACTGGGGGTGAGGAGAAGGGGAGATTAGGAGAACACTGGGGTGAGGAGAAGGGGAGATGAGGAGAACACGGGGGGTGAGGAGAAGGGGAGATGAGGAGAACACAGGGAATTTTCAATTGTTGCATATAATGTGCATACAATTTGAACATTTTCAACAGCAGTATTTGCTCTGTAAACATTTATTTATGCACATTATATGCAACAGCAGTATTTGCACTGTAAACCTTTTTTATTTATATAAAGTGTGGGTGAACTTAAACTGTATGGCTATGCTGTGGTTCCTGTAGGCTTTGCGTGCGGGGGGGGGGCACCTCCATGTCCATTTTGCTTGGGGCCCCCAAATTCCTTCCTATGTTTTTAAATTGAGGTATGTGTGCTGCCGTATTCCACTTGTATTATTTATACTGTAATTGCTTTGTATCGTTGTATTTGTGCGTATTTGAGCTATTATATTGTATATGTTCATTAGTAGTTTATGGTATTGTGTATGATACATATGAATGTGGGCTGTGTATGAGGGCTGCTTGTGGAATTGTGTGTGGGTGGATATGTCACATTGTGTGTTTGGTAGTGTATGGGGGCTGTTTGGGGTTTTGCATATGAGAAGCTACATGTGGGATTGTGTGCATGTATGTAGATTGTTAGTGGTGTTGCATTTGTGGGGATTGTGTGTATGTTTGTGTGTGGGCTGTTCATATTATTTGTATGAGGGGAGGCTTATTCTGCAGGTCTTTGTATATCTAGCAGTGTGGGTGGCTTCCCTGGGTTCCAGTGGGGACCAGCCTGGGCAGGTACAGGTCAACGAAAGGAGCTGCAACATCAGCTGTGGGCTGCTCTACTACAGTGTGGATTCCCATTCACAAGTGTTGGGAGGAAGTGATCTGAGATCACTTCCTCTAAGTGCTGCAATGCATAAATTGAGGATTGTCCTTCACCCTGTTTGGCTCTAGCAGCCTTGAGTGCCGTGGAAAGACACCTCGAGTGCCGTGCATGGCACTAGTGCCGTAGGTTGCCTACCCCTGCTCTAGTTTCAAGATATGATATGTATACATTTAACATGTAGGTTCCTCTTAAGGGTTGAAGTTTTGCGGTATTGGACATGTGAAATCAGATTTACACCTTCATAGGATGGCGCGACCCCTGTGACACAACACATGGAAGTGACGTTTCTAGTGGAAGATCAAAACGTCCTCATTCATAGCACACCTTCGCTTCTATATGATGCAACCTGGCTTTACAGACATAGCTTCTAATTGGGCTATTCTTTCCAGGGGAGGCAGTGTCTAGCAGCTTAAATAGAGGTGTGATAATGTGGTGTTGTTTAGTCCTTCTCTGCTCCCTGACAAAGGAGCACAGAATTGCACGTCAGTGGGATTGAGGTGTGTTTAAGGTGGTGGCTCTAGGGTTCAAATCTGCAGGTTGTCTTGGGCATTTTTCCTGACATGAGTGGATTTAGATTCTTCCCATAAGATCAGTCTCCAAAAACTGGTAGAGATATGTTTTCTTTATCAATTGGATCTTCTTGTGGAATTAGCATGTGTAAACATTATACTTTTCCTCACTACCTTAAAGGTTTTTGTTTAAGTTCACATAATTGCTATCCACTTAAAATTCATCTGATTTTCAATTAATATCTTTAAACATATCCTGATATTTATTTATAAGTCTCTTGAATGTTGTAGACTGTATAAAAATGTGTCTTTGGGTTGCTTTCTTCAATAGTTGGTACAAATGGAGGCTTCACTTTTTTTTTCTAAAAAGACACTCCAATCTATGCGTTTGATTAAAGGTCCTTTACGCCTTTGGCTTCCCTCCTACTACCTCCCAAGTGCTCCTCTGGATCTTTAGTCAAACACATTTTCATTATTAAAGCTACTTTTTAGGCATAGACAATTGATGTTGGTATCATCAATTTTATCTATGAAATTAATTCAAATACAAAATTCAAAGGCCAAAAATCATTCTGTAATTTACCACACCAAGACTCCACCTGTCAACCGTTCTGGTGTAGGGTTCCTTTTCATGAATTCAGGAGCCTTATATGAGCCTTTTATTCCACAAACAGTCCTGATTCTGTTTCAAAATACCATCCCTAGTTTAAAACCAGGCTGTGATTTTAGCAAATGCTTCTTTGTTTATGAATATATTTTGCAGCTTTAAATCTCTATGAACAATCTTGTAAGTATGTAAAACTTCCAGCCCCAGCACAGCACATGCAGTATAAAATATTTTATGTTTGATAAATGTCCCCATGCTGTTTATGTAATTTGCCAGGTTACCAAGAACAGATTTCATAACAATGTATGATAATGAAAACTTGCAAAGAGGTAGTCAAAAATTAGAATCTTCTAGCTGGTCCCTATAAAAAATACTTGCTTTTCAGTCATTAAACTATCAACTAGATTATGTGAAATAGGCATCCTTTTTGTATCTCTTTGTTAGTGTGTGTGTGTATGTGTGTGTATATATGTATGTGTGTGTGTATATATATATATATATATTATTATTATTATTATTATTATTATTATTATTATTATTTTTAGAGTTTGAAACACTTTTACACATCTATTTAAAAATAAATACATAGATATCCCGAAGTGGGACACATTGATGGGTTTCGTATGTAAGAAGCACACATTCTGGAATAAAAGGAAATCATGACATGTCACACGTCATGTGTCCTTAAGGGGTTAAAATACAAGCCTTATTAATTGACACATGCAGATACAGAATGAATTATGACATTGCAATGAGTAATACATGTACAATATTTGTTCAACTTGCAATCTTTTGTATGGTCATCAAGTATTTTACATTTTTGGGCCTTTAAGGGAAATAAATAAAAATTAAAAAAGCACTGTAAAATAACTTTGAAATATTAAATGTATTTGTTTTGAATATATATGTACTCAGGCAGATTTAAAAGAAGAAAGCTTTGCATTTTAGTCTGCATCTCTCAATCTAATTTTCTCATTAACTGGGGTAGGGGAAAATAGTACTATCTTTTATTAGTAGATTTATTATTTTAGGATTTAAAAGCGAGAGCAATAACAAATTACAGCCAGGGGATATCAGCTGGACACAATTTATTCAAAGGTCACTCACCCAATACAACATTTTCTATAAATAAGACATACAAAAAAAAACATTGAAAACAGAACAGAGTCAGCCAGTTATTGGTACACAGCTTCGAGGGGGGTAACCCCTAGCGTAAATCGAGGGAGGGATAGTGTACCAAAAGGGGGGGCTGGGATACATAACAAATATACAGGTACATCTAATCAATCCAGATAAAGAGAGATTCTCAATATATTAGTATGAAAAACAAAAAAAATAACTTTATTAATGAAAAGATATAAAAATTGTCCACTGGCAAATATCATGTGTGCTGTGTACAAACTATAATGTAAAAAACCCAAATAAAGAATGTGAAAAGAAAAAAAAAACCTAATAAGTCCGGAATAGGAAAATAATAGATCTAGATATATGATCATTACCATGTAGGGTAACTATGATCGTGATAACTAATAGGTTAATTTTCCTATAAAGATCAAATAAAATCATAGCACAAATACCGTGAGTATATAAAGGGCACACGTCTATGCCAAATATACTACTCAATAGATATGTGCCTGGGAATAGCAAATCCTGTTGGGATTGATATAAAGTCGCTATTATGGCATGAACACACAGTAAATCTCAACCCTCAACAATGCTTGCTGCCTATAATAATTCTGTGTAGATAAAGAGGTGGTAGCACTTGCAAGAAGTAAGCTGCAATTGCGGCCAATTTCTATAATAAATAAGACTGTCTGACAAATATGATAATGCTGGGAATAACGCCAAAATGAAAGGAGGGAGGGTAGATGTTGTTATATACCTAGCCTAAGAGGGTCTCACTTGATATGGTAAATCATGGATCCAAATAGGTCTAAACCCGGAATACCACTCATATTACTGGCAGGCATAGATGTAGGGCTATGGTGTACTATCCGTGTGGAAGTGCCTGTGATTCAAATGGGGGCAGAGCAGGGGCAGAGAAATTACACTGTGATTGTAAAAAAAATCTTGTAGACTGTAAATAAGAGTCTTCGTGCAACAAATAGATCTCCACCACTGGTCTAATAAGTGCACGGGGGAGGAAGTGCAGCACGGTCAATTTTTACAGTGCAGGACTACTCCTTTTTAGACCTCTCTACTTATTAGAGTCTGGTGTTCTGATGTTAAAACAGGCTCTCTGGAGGCAGTGCTCTCAAAAATCAATGAACAGGAACCAGTTCCATTATTTATGGAACCTGACCGTGAGTATGCCTACCTATGAGTTCGCTCACAGGGAGTGGAGTGTATGTGTGTAGAGGATGTGTTAAGTGTTATTGTAGAGTATGTAATGTGTGTGTGTTCTTATGGAATGTAGTGTATAGGGATACCAGTTTGTGTAAGGTCTGTAGTGTGTGTGTATAGTGGATGCATTGTGTGTGTGTGTGTATAGTGGATGCATTGTGTGAATCTGTGTTTGTATGTGTAAGGAATGCAAGGTGTGTGTTTCTGTGTATGTATGTAATTTAATGCAGTGTGTGTCTGTAAGGGGTGCATTGAGTGTGTGTAAGAGATGCAGTGTGTGTTTGTGTGTGATATTAAATCAGTCCTGTTATATATTTGTGTGAGATATTAAATAGTCCTGGAAGATATTTCCTCCATCAAAGCAAATGATATGTGCCCACCCTATGAATAGTGGTACACCTTCTTTACTCAGAATTATAGGAATGATCTGTCACCCTCCAAATGTGCTGGGGGTATCTACCTTATTTCTTGCTAAAGTCATTCAACATACCCTGCATGCTTAGGAGAGATATGTCCCAATGCTGTATACAGTGGCATAGCATAAGGGTTAAGGGTTTTTGCCTTGACTGTAGAGTATAGATGGGTGCAGTTGGGATGGGAGGTATCTCTCACATTGCTGAATATAGTGGGGTGTTGAGGAGACTGTTCCACTGCTGGAAATCAGAGTGGTTGGATTTCTAGCAGTAAAATGTAAGGGTGTAGGGGGTTCTCTGTAATGTGCCTGAGGGGGGAGAGGACTCTGTTTCATTGCTGGTGGGACAGTACTGGAATTGTGGATTTTTATCAGTGTGTGGCAGGTTGTAGAAAGGTACATTGCAGTGTGTGGCAGGTTGTAGGGGCTACAGTGTAGTGTGTGGCAGGTCTGTAGTGTGTTGCTGGATGTAGTGCTTCCTGTGTATAGTGGCTAGGTAAAGGGGGTTATGTGTAGTGTGGGGCAGTGTGTAAGGGGTCCTGTGCAATTGAACACAGTGCTTTGGGGGTCCTATGTAGAGGTAAAGGGGGGTCCTCTGCAGTGGGTGGTAGGGTTTAAGTGGGTCCTGTGTAGTGCAGGGGAGGGGTCCTGTGCAGTGAGGGTTGGGTGTAGAAGGGTCCTGTGTAGTGGGGGGGGGTAGGGTGTAGGCAGTCCTACGTAAGGGAGGGCGGGGTGTAGAGGGGTCCTGTGTAGTGGGCGGCAGGGTGTAGAGGGGTCCAATGTGGGTTTTGGGGTTCTATTTCATGACTACAGCAGAGTTAGGATATACAAATTTTATTAAATAAAGTATATAATAATAATAATAGTCCTGCTAGTTTCCTCCCTTGTGAGACTAATGAACTACGAAACTGCTTACAATTCCAAATGGCCTTTTTAGGGACATAAAACCATTGAGAGAGCCATTAAAACGTAACATAAATTGTGTGGCCATAAGTATGTGTTTTTTAAATATCTCTTTAGGATATACTGAATAAAGATGCTGTTTGACACCATACAATATCAGTCATACACCCACACACATATATACTTATGTATAACTAGCTATCTATTGATTGCTTGATCGATCGATCTATCTTTCATATTTCACAGTATCTTACCTTTTCCTCAAACTGCATCCTTCTTTACACAGCTTTCCGATGTCCCACCTGGAATCTGCAGAAGCCATTCTCCCAACTTGGGGCTTACAGCCTTGAGTGCTCCTATCACAACTGGGACTGCTATTGCCTTTTTTTATCCTTTCTAACTCCTGTTTTAGCCCTTGGTATTTGTTCACCTTCTCGTGTTCCTTCCTTGTAATCTAGGCATTGTCACATCCACCACCACTGCAGTTTTCTGTGATTTGTCTACTACTTCAATGTCTCTTTGGTTGGCTAGTACTTGTTTGTCTGTTAAGATCTGGAAGTCCCACATAATCTTAACCCTGTCATTCTCAACTATTCTGGTGGTACCTACCATTTAGACTTGGGCATGTCTTGCTCGTATTTTATGCAGATATTTTGGTACACAATCCAAGCAACTTGGTTGTGCCTCCGTGTTTATGCTGTCCCTATTAACATCTTGCACTTGGCCACTATATGCTAAATTGTCTCAAAGACCTCTCTGCACAGTCTGCACCTTGGGTCCTCTCTGGTGTTGTAGACCTCCTTTTTTATTCATCTGGTACTGAGTGCACGTTCATGTGCTACTAGGATTAGTTCCCCAGTGTGGTCTTTTTGCCCTGCTTTTTCCAACCACTGATATGATTTTGTAATGTAAGCCAAAAGCACTAACTGCCAATGGTACATCCTAAAGAGAAGTTTGTTTTGCATTGAAAATTCCCCTGTTCTGCATCCACTATCTGTTGTTGTCACAGGCATTCACTTAGCAACTTACCTTCTCATTACAATGTACTTGTGGATGTACTGTGTTTCCTCCAGGACTGTGACCTTGACATTTATCAGGCCATGAATTCCTTCCTTCTGGCTGTCATACGGTCTCTGAGTGCTGGATTTCAGGTGGAGTCTTCCATTCATTGTCACTAGTTAAAATGTCTTGATATCCATCGTTTTTAGCTCTACTCTTGGCAGATTATTATTATTTGAGCTGGATACCTGATAACTGGTAGTGTATATGTGTTGATGGCATGGACCATGTTCTTGCAATTGAGCTGGGATCTTAGAGAGTGTGCCTGTGTGTGTGTATAAACACCTCTTCTTGAGTTGTGTTTAATAGCAATTGTATACATCAGACATATTCTCCAAGGAATAAATGAAACAAAAAGGTGGTTCTTTGTTGAACTCATTTGCATATACACACCCAGAATCCATTGCAGTAGTAACAGCACTGCAAATGTGAGATTTCTGTGGGAAAAGCAAGTTCATATTCCAAACAGGTAGAAGGGATTTTCAATCATTTTCTCCCCACCATACATGTATTGGTTTGTGAGAAAATATAAATATATATATATATATATATATATATATATATAAAATGTGTGTGTGTGTGTGTGTGTATATATATATATATATATATATATATATATATATATATATATATACAGACATACATGTATTCACATATAAATGCCCTCACATTAAGAAAATCAGGTTGGGCAAAAATTATATATGATTTTTTGGGTTCAGGCTAGGCATTTATTGTGGAACAACATTAAAAAAGATACTACATTGTAGATGAATATGTGCTCCTAACATTGTGACATCTGTTTCAACATGATACATTTGCTAATGCACAAAGGGGCCTTCACTTATACACAAAGTAAGACACTGACCTGTTCTCTTTCCATTCTTATAACACAGTTAGACTGTCAGATTGTACAGCATTATTAACCATAGAGAACAAGTTTCCTCTTTGCCAGAGCCCAATGCATATATCTACTTCACAATACAGCTGGTTCTAGTTGCTTGACAAACTCACATATTGGTTACATAGGGAATATTTATTAAAGTGTTCTAAAAAGAGGTGCAAGAAAAGGAGGTGTCACCCATGGAATATGTCTGTAGATCCCATTGGTTATTGCCCCACTTTAGTACTTAAGACTGCTTTATGTTGCAGAACACATTGATAAATCTGTATAGATTTTACCATGTTAAAGGAACACTATAGTCATATAAACAACTTTAGCTTAATGAAGCAGTTTTAGTGTGTAGGTCATGCTTCTCAGGTATGACTGGTCAATTCACTGCCATTTAGGAGTTAAATCACTTTGTTTCTGTTTATGCAGCCATTGTCACACCTCCCCTGGCTCTGATTAACACAGCCTGCATGAAAAACTGGTTTCACTTTCAGTCAGATGTAATTTACCTTAAACAATTATATTTCTTTCTCTGTAACTTAAACTTTAATCACATATAGGAGGCTCTTGCAGGATCTAGCAAGCTATTAACATAGCAGGGGATAATAAAATCTAAATTAAAAATAACTTGCAATAAAGGAAGAATAAACTTTAGATGACTCTTTACAGGAAGTGTTTAGGAAGGCTCTGCAAGTCACATGCAGGGAGGTATGACTAGGGTTCTTAAACAAAGTGATTTAACTCCTAAATGGCAGAGAATTGAGCAGTGAGACTGCAGGGACATGATTTGTACACCAAAACTGCTTCATTAAGCTAAAGTTGTTTTGGTGACTATAGTGTCGCTTTAAATGCCACGGTTCTGTGCAGTTGGAGCAATTCAAATCCCAAGGTTGCTCGGCTGTGTGCTTTATTTTATAAACTTGTTCATATTGGGTGTTATTAAAACAGATAAATGTAAAAATAAGAAATGGTAACTGTATACTATATATCTTTTGCTTTATATTCCTTTGTTACAGGAGGAAGCAGAAATGGCAAAAAATCAAACAACTAAAACATATGTAGTTAGCATCATATGCTGTCTGCTACAATACCAATGTATTGCCCAGTCAAAATAATGTTGTGCCTTCTGTAATATGCAATTGTATTTTCTTTAATTTAATTTAATTGTGCATGCACTTCAAAATGACCAAACCTCAGTTTTCATTTTGTATATACTTTTAGCAGTCATTGCAGCCCTTTCAGTCTCATTTTATCATCAGAAGTGCCAACGATGCTTTATAAATGATTGATTGTTAAATAAAGTATTAATGACCACGTAGCAATTAACATTGCCATTTTTGTTTAATACACATGTATGGAAATATGATTGTCAGGGTTATGTCACTTAATTGTGTAATAAAAAAAAAGAAAAAAACTAGAAAAATATTAAACTGGCTCTTAAAACTGTTATTTAACAGAATTGTTGTTTGATTGTAAATTTATATTTCAACTGTTAACATGTTGTAAAACTAGTTATGCAAATATGTCAAACAGTATTAGTGGCTAAATGGTAATAAATTACAGTATTTCTAAAATGTGTAATATAACTATCTGCACTTTGTTTTTTCAGGGATGTATTGTTAGTGTCTTTATAATAATGGGCGGATTTACAAAGGGGCAAATGGATAATAAATTACATGTTAGCTGCTGGGCATATTTACTACAGTTGTTGAGATTATATGAAATATTCATCAAAGGATTGCCTATTTTTGCTACACATCAAAGCAAATTACTTTTAACTTTATATCAAACCTAGAATGTAAATTTCACTACTAGTCACAGTTGAGTATAATTTACTATGGCAAACAATACTGCATATTAAACATAGTAAAATCATTATACATACCTTATACACACACAAACATTTGCATTGCAAGTTTTATAAAGATATTTATTGCACTATAACTTTTGTCTGCATTTAAAATATGTTTACCGATGACAAAATCCAAGAAAACAAAACATAAAGATAATTTACTAACAACCTTTTTGATCCCTTACTATTCACTTTAAACCCTGCCTTTTTTCTGTCTTGTGCCTTAGTAAATAAGCCCTAGGAGTTATGGAGTTGCATATCCCAAACTCTAAACAAAATTCCATGCCTTAATAAATTTGCCCAATGTGAATTTTTATTGTGAAGATTAATTTATGTATGATGCTTATATAAGCTTGTAAAAATAATTGAAATTAATTTTTCTTACCATAGTTGTTTGGAATATTCTGTTTGTTCAAACACATTAGAAATAAACAAAAACAAAACAAATTTTTTTTTTTCAAAATGTACCTGTTTACTAAGCTTGTGAAAAAGACTTGTTTAAATGCATGAAGAATAGCATAGGACTAGAGGAAGACTTTTTTTTTTTTTCATAATGTCATATACACATTTTAACACGTCTATGTAAGTAAATTATAAAAAATTAAAAACAAAAACATAAAAAACAATATAGCCTGCTATATAAAGAAATGTGTGAGAAGTAAAGAGACTGACTTTAATTTATGTACATTCACATTCCACATATAATTCAGTTGTTACCGATCCAGTCTTCAACAATCCAGGTGTTCTCCATATCCCCATGGGAACAATATTGGGACATGCTTAAATCTTGACAGTTGATGACCTCTTTGGATTGATATGGGAATCACGTTTGTATATTATTTACATATATATAAAATTTGGAGACTTCATTTTACAGAACATAATAAAATACATATTAAATATAATTGTTCTTTGTTATACTGTCAGCCTCTACATAACAACTGCAGGCTGCAATTTGTCACATATTTACTTGATACTCCCTGCAACTCTCATTATGAATCCAATTAGGTATTTGTCAACTTATTCTTGACATTCAACATGGAGATTCCTCTTAGAATAGAGCTAGCAAGAGAACAGAATGAAATATCACATTAGGTCTACTGATCAGTGACTGGAATCAGGATGTTTACTGGGAGGATATAATTAAAGGATCACTATAGTGTCAAGAAAACACTTGTTTTCTTGACACTATATAATCCTTGGGGGACCCTCACCCTCAGGATCCCCTCCCGTTGGGCTGAAGGGGTTAAAACCCCTTCAGCCACTTACCTCTGTCCAGCACCGGGCACCCTCGGCGCTGGTGACCTCTCCTCCCCCGTCGACGTCAGCTCCCGAGTGGAGCGGAATGCGCATGCGTGGCAAGAGCCATACACGCATTCAAACAGTCCATAGGAAAGCATTTCTCAATGCTTTCTTATGGACGTTCTGCACGCTGGATGCGAAATCCGCAGAAGCGCCTCTAGCGGCTGTCCGGAAGACAGCCACTAGAGGTTGGATTAACCCTGCAATTTAAAGATAGCAGTTTCTCTGAAACTGCTATGTTTACATATGAAGGGTTAAAACCTGAGGGACATTGCACCCAGACCACTTCATTGAGCTGAAGTGGTCTGGGTGACTATAGTGTCCCTTTAACAAAAACCCAGCTAAATTAATTTTCTAAGTTTAGTTAGAGCTATCTCTGGTTTGGTATTGAATTGCCATGTTTGGATATGTTAAAAGGTGTATGTAATAACACAGAGAGTTGACATTGTTAAGGTAGGGAAATATTGTATTACACACAGATTAAAATTGCACTAAAAGGTTAATTCCCCACACCTGTGGCTTTTTAAATTGCAATTAGTGTCTGTGTATAAATAGTCAATGTGTTTTCTTTTCTTCCCCTTCTCTTTTCTTCTTTTTTTTTTCTTTTTAATATTTCAAACAAGTACCTACCTTGTATAGTTTTACTAATACTTCTATGTTTCAGGCCTCGGTACTCTTGTCATCATAAATATCTTGTGCTACCCCATTAAACTCCCTGTGACCACCCCCCCCCCCCACACCCAAACCCCAATTAACTCTACCCTCCATCCTTTGGTTTGATTGTATTATATATTCTTATTTATCAAATTTGCTTTACCCTTTTACTTTTGGAGAGATAGAGCACATCTTCTGCGCAGTGTATTTTCCTTATTTTATTATTCTGTTTTGTCTGCCCATTTAGGGGTTAAGATCTTTACCTTGTTTTCTTTTCCTCCCCTCCTCTTTTCTGGCCATCATCTCACTGAGTCTGGACCCTAGCTATACCTGATTTAATTATTGGCTTAAAAACTAATTTTATTTCCATTATTTGATATATTACCTTGATTACATCTTTCCAGAATGTATTTATGGGTGTGCACTGTCACCAACTGTGGATTAAATTGCCTTAATTAATATTACATTTCAAGCACCTGTCTTATTTTCTTTAAACTTTTCATTGTTACCTTAAGTACCATCTGTTTTAGAGTTTGAATTGGGTTTTTGTAAGGTTTAGGCAGTGTACATATTTATTTAGTTTATTTAGAGAGCTTATCCACTCTTTTTCTTCTATATGTACTTGTAGTTCTTTTTCCCATTTATTGATCAATTCTATCTGTTTATCGTGTCTCCATCTGTATATAACTTTAGCGCATTTTGCCATTAGGTTTCTAAAGTTTTTTTTAATTTGAGTAGATGTTTGAGGATTGTAATTTTCTCCCCTCATTTTGAAGGAGATATTCTGCTAAGAAGCCCTTTAATTTGCAGATAGCTAAAAGTGTCTTTTTTGGGAATGTTGAATTCCTCCATAATTTGATTGAAGGTTTTACTTTTATGTTCCGTTAATATATTTTTAAATTCCCTTGTCCCCCCCAGTCTTCCAAGTATCTATTTTTATGTTGTCTAACATATCTGAAATACTAGAAAAAGGGAGCACATCTATTATTCTATTTCTGAGTCCTATGTTGTTTGTGCATTTGTCCCACCAACTTGTACATTTTTGAGTATATGGGATTTAGTTTGTGCCTCTTTGATACATTTTTTATTCACGACTAGGACCCAAAATAGTGATGTTAAATTTCCTACCCAGTTTTAGCTTTTTCCATTTTATACCATGTTTCTTGGATTGCAGCAATATTTTGTGAAAGCAATATGTGAAAAAGTCTGCTAGCCTGATAACATTGTTACATTTCCGGGCACCCCAAACCTCCACCCTGCCATGATCTTGCAAAAACTTTCATTTTAACTCTTGCTTTCTTGCGGCGCCATTCAAATTTAAAAAAGGATGAGTGTGGTAAAGATAGCCAGTTTTCTGGGAAATTAAGTGGGATCATTCTCCATAGATACAGCCATTTTGGTAATATGTATGCTTTTAGGATATTGATTCTACCTGACCAGGAAGATCCTATACCTTTCCAGTCCCTTAAGTTTTTATTAGTTTTTATTAGTAAAGGAAAAAGGTTGATTTCTACTAGATCTTTTAAATTTGAAGTTATTGTTATGCCTAAATATTTTAGCCTATCCTTGTTTTCTAGGAGCCCAAGGTTTTGTATAAGAAAATTAATTAACCTTTAGTCTCTATTTTCATTTTGTATCCTGACACTTTGGAGTATTTATTTATCTCCTTCAGAAGCTCTGGGATTTAAGTTTTTGGTTCTTCTAAGGTTAGTAAGATGTCATCTGCATAAAGATTTAATTTACTTTTTCCTAAAGAGTTCATAAATCCTTAGATTTTTTTTAAATTTTGTCTTATTAGAATCGCAAGGGGTTCTAACAACACTATGTATAGTAAAGGGGAAAGAGGGCGCCCATGTCTAGTCCCATTTTTAACACTGAAGTTTTGTGATGTGAATCCTGACCCTGTTACTTTATCTTCTAATATGTTTATTATTTTCTAAGATTGTTGATTGAAGACCGGCCTAGTATGAATCCTACTTGGTAATTATTAATTAACTGTCTCTGACTGCCTCTCTGCTGTTTCTAACTGGATGGCTGCCCACTTCCTTAAACTAAACTTGACCAAAACTGAAATTCTGGTCTTTCCTCCCTCAAGTGTTGTTACTCCTGTGTCTGTCTCCCTCCAAGTCAACGGTGCTACCATCAGCTCCACCACACACGCTCGCTGCCTTGGTGTTCTCTTTGACTCCGACCTCTCCTTCAAGCCTCATGTTCAATCTATCGCCAAATCCTGTCACTTTCATCTCAAAAACATTGCGCGCATCCGCCCCCACGTAACGCCAGATGCGACTAATGTGTTGGTCCATTCCACTGTCCTTTCTCGCCTTGACAACTGTAATCCGCTTCTCGGTGGTCTTACGTGCTCCCAACTTGCGCCGTTACAGTCCATAATGAATGCAGCGGTGAGGCTCATATTCCTGTCCGCCCGCACCTCCCATGCCTCACCCTTCTGTCAGTCCCTACATTGGCTTCCTATAAAATATAGAGCTCAATTTAAAATTCTGGTTCTTGCTTTCAAATCTCTACATAATGCTGCTCCAACCTATCTATCCTCCCTTATACACAAGTATGTCCCGTCTAGGCCCTTACCATCTGCTGAAGACTTACATCTATCTTCAGTCCGTACTCCCACCTCTGATGCTCGCCTTCAAGATTTCTCGAGGGCGGCACCGTTCCTGTGGAACTCGCTTCCCTCCTCCGTTAGATGCTCACCATTCCTCTTCTGCAACTGTCACTAGTCTAATACTATCCTTACATTTTTGTGTCATTTTACCCCACTCCCTCTAGAATGTAAGCTCATTGAGCAGGGCCCTCAACCCCTCTGTCCAACTTGTCTGGTTACAACTACATGTCTGTTCGTCCACCCATTGTAAAGCGCTTGTGGTATGACTATTTTTAATCTATCAGCAAGCATAGAAGATAATATTTTAATCTGTGTTGATTAGTGATATAGGTCTATAATTGCCAATCCATTCTAAGTCTTTATCTGCTTTTGGGATGGGGACAATATTTGCAGTCAACAACTCTCCAGGACAGCTTCCTGTTTTAGTAAGTTCCCCTTTTAGTTGGTCTTTTATCAGTTTATAGAATTTATTTGTGAAGCCACCTGGGCCTGGGGCAGTCTCTATTTAAAGTTTATCTATGGATTTACTGACCTCTACTTCTGTTATGGTCTGATTTATCAGCTTTAATTGGTCAGGTAGGATTTTTGGCATGGAATTTCAAAGAATTCCTCAATCTTTTTCCCTGCCAAATATTTCTTCTGGTAGGTTATATAGATTCTGATAAAATCTCTGAAACACTCTACCTATTTTTTCTGTGGCCATTAAAAAGGTTTCTCTCTCTTTTATATTTCTCTTTTTGTAATTTATTAGACATTAGTGTTTCTGGCTTGTTACCCTTTAGATACCACTTGGATTGTAGTGCTTCTAACTGTTTGGTTGCTTTATTCATTAGTTGAATATTTATATGTTTCTCTGTTTCTGCAATCTTCCTTGCTATTTGTGTGGAAGGTGTTCTCAGCGTGACATCAGGTCCTCTGTCCGTTATTCACGACTCCAAGAGGCACCCTGAGTGGCATGCTAGGTAGGTTGGGTCGTCTCCCTTTCTCTTAGTGTCGGCTCCCAAGAAAGCTCCCTCAGCCGTGTACAATGAGGACGTAGTCGCATGCACTGTCATCTTGCTCCTCCTCCTAGTAGAATATCAATGTGTTTGTTAGCTCTCACATGGCTGCACTGAGCAGGTTAGGTACTGAGCCATTGGGAGCAGAAAAGAACTGTCAAAAGACGTGTGTATCAAGGTAATGGAACTTTTTAAAGCTGGAAAAGGATGTAAAGAGATATCAAAAGCCTTGAAAATGCCAGTCAGTACTGTTAAGTCACTTATTAAGAAGTGGAAAACTCTGGGATCTCTTGATACCAATCCAAGGTCAGGTTGACCAAGAAAGTTTTCAGCCACAACTGCCAGAAGAATTGTTCAGGATATAAATAAAAGCCCACAGGTAACCTCAGGAGAAATACAGGCTGGTCATGTAAAAAGACTGTGTGATTGTTTCAAGCAGTACAATATGACGATACCTGAACAAAAATGAGCTACATGGTTGCCTGAAAGAAGCCTTTTCTGTGCCAATGCCTGGCTACAATATGCCTGACAACACCTTGACACGCCTCACAGCTTATGGCACACTGTAATTTAGAGTGACGAGACCAAAATAGAGCTTTATGGTCACCCCCATATGCGCTATGTTTGGAGAGGGGTCAACAAGGCCTATAATGAAAAGAATACTATCCCCACTGTGAAGCATGGTGGTGGCTCACTGATGTTTTGTGGGGGTTTGAGCTCTAAAGGCATGGGGAATCTTGTCAAAATGGATGGCAAGATGAGCGTAGCATGTTATTAGAAAATAGCAGACAATTGGCATTCTTGTCTGGCAGACAATTTGCATTCTTCTGCACGAAGGCCGCACATAGGAGGCTCTTGGACTTTCCAGCAATGACCATAAGCACAAGGCCAAGTTGAAGGGTATGCAAACTTTTGAGCACAACTGTACAACCAAGTCTGCCTGTGTCAACTGAGAGATTTTGAAAAGCAGGAGGACATCCAACATAGTTTCATGGAGTTAAACACTGTGAAAAGCCAGGAAGCACTTCTAGTGGTTGTCTGAAAAACAGCCACTTGAGGATGTCTTAACCCTGCAATGTAAACATTGCAATTTATCTGAAACTGCAATGTTTTATATTTCAGGGTTAATGAGACAGTGGTACTGTACCCGGACCACTTCAATTGTATTAAAAGGTCTGTGTGACCTTTTATATTATTTCCTCCGGTATAATGATAGATTTAAGTGCAATATTTGTTTGCTATACACACAATTAAGAATTGGTAATATTCACAAGATCTGGTTGAAAATGGTGCTAAAAAAATTTAAATAACCACACAATACAAATATGGGGTTTTTCATTGAACTCCAATAAATCGTAGTCAGAATTGCAAAAAGTATTTGTGGCATTTGGGTATTTTGAAGTGAAAATTTAGACATCATTCACATAAAACAGTTATCAATATCCAAATTTAGCAACAATGTTCCAAATCTACATGAATATACATAGCTTTTTAGCCCTCCTGAAAGATACATAATGCTGTAAATTTAGAACCACATGTTATAACCAGGTTACAAATGTGCAAGAGGTTGGTTCCAACATGAAACAAATTGAAACTATCATTAACCAAAAACAAATTGATAATTGGCTACAGTTAACATGTAAGTCTATATGAATGTTTCAGTTAATCTAGCTGAAGCACATACAGCACATATTTATACATATATAAAATAAAACTGTCAATGTGATTGATACAAATAGTGCCACTTAATACACTCTGTGCTATTAATCCTCACAATGCTGCCTATGTTCGGAATTACAATGGCCCATATGTGAGGTTTATAGCCCCTGGTTTATTAAGTTTAATATTTTTCTAAGTGGCTTATAAGATAACAGTAAGGCTTTGTTGGTGTTAGGGTAACAATACCAATCACCCCAGTCGGTATAAAAGTTTAGAAAACAAAAATAAAAACAAAAAAAGTGTAGTAGTAAATAAGTAAAATGATGCATTTAGAAATGTCATCCTTTTATTTTTTTGTTACTTATTAAAATTGGTATTCACAAATTGCTCAGCCCAATACATATGGTATACATGGTCTCCACTTCACAAATTCTTATTTAATCTTTATTTATCTATTGGAAAAAATCCTAATTGCCTTCCTTTTTAATAGGGGAGCCACACTATTCAATTTATGTTATTTGTTTTAGTATATATTGAGGATATGTTATTTTGCCTTCAAAGAGAAGGTGGATTTATTTTGAATACGTGCCTCACAGTAAAACAGATTGAAGAAAATCCAGTAATTTTTCAGTATTTCATGAACATGCAAATCCTTTACTTTTATGTGCTGATTTTTTCCCTGATCCAAAATGTACTAAGTTATTAGTAAACAATCCACTGAAAGGTTAGTGGAATTGTATTATTCAGAATATCTTTTAAACAAATTATATTTTAAGTATTTTTCATCTAGTGCTGATAAATGCTCAAGTTCACTGCTTACTAAACTGGTGTATCTGGCTTAAACTATTGCAAAATGGTACTATTCCAAAAATGCTGTTTACCTATCATTTGAATTACATTAGACCCTATATTGTTGTATTAACAACTTTCTTTTCACTTGGAGCTCTGCTTTGCATTTACAAGTGCTGGCTTAAATTCATGCATTTGTGCTAAATTAAAAATGAACATATTGATAATGTATTACATATATTCATTTAATTATTTTATATTGGTATGTTCTTCTTTTGCAGAGGAAAACTGCCTTGGAGACAAGTCAATTATTTGTCGATTGGAAGTTCTGTCTCGTTATTGTTCAATGCCCACTTTTAGCCGACTGTGCTGTAAACCATGCAATTCATCTCAAATTACCAGTGATTCAAATACAGTGAAAAATAACAGCATCGAGAATCTTGCACCACCAATCCCAACAACTTTAAGGGCTCCTAATTCTACTGTGTCACCTACCATTCCATATAAAAAAAACACATCATTAATAAATGTAACAGAAAATCAAGAGCATACTAATAGAGTAGACATTCCGTACAAAGTTAATATTTTAGACAATGAAGTACCAGAACCGAATACCATCCCCCGAAGAAGGTTTCTATATGAAAAGACAAAGAACCAGAGAATTCAACAACTGATTGCAGAGAAAAGGAAACAGGAAACAATGAAGAAACTAAAATAACTGTAGTATAAATCTCAATTTATTTTATTACATAGACCACAACACAGATATTTTCTGGTGCTAGACTAAAATGGTGCTTTAGAGAACTTACAGATATTCTGATTGGCATTATTTCAAAATAATATTTATTCCAAACCATCTCACGGTTTTGAAATCACTTCACAGTCAGTTCACTTAATGAATTTCAGCTCTTAATTTTGTTTTGCGTATATAGCCACCTAAATACATTTATATTTCTATTAATTAAATCATTTTTCTTACCAAAATTGATGTCTTGTGCTTCTTTCCTTAACTCTGTTCTCCTGCATAACTGCCCCCTTATTATATTATGCAGGCAAAAAATGAAAGAATATCATTTAATTTTAGAATGGCATGTAATAACACCAATTTTTGGAATTAAGACTTGCCTAGATATGTATTAGTTTCCTTAATTGACTCTTTAATGTTTTTCCTGGTTCATCACCACATCTGGCTTTACGAAATGGTTCACTGCTTACTAAACTGGTGTATCTGGCTTAAACTATTGCAAAATGGTACTATTCCAAAAATGCTGTTTACCTATCATTTGAATTACATTAGACCCTATATTGTTGTATTAACAACTTTCTTTTCACTTGGAGCTCTGCTTTGCATTTACAAGTGCTGGCTTAAATTCATGCATTTGTGCTAAATTAAAAATGAACATATTGATAATGTACTTACATATATTCATTTAATTATTTTATATTGGTATGTTCTTCTTTTGCAGAGGAAAACTGCCTTGGAGACAAGTCAATTATTTGTCGATTGGAAGTTCTGTCTCGTTATTGTTCAATGCCCACTTTTAGCCGACTGTGCTGTAAACCATGCAATTCATCTCAAATTACCAGTGATTCAAATACAGTGAAAAATAACAGCATCGAGAATCTTGCACCACCAATCCCAACAACTTTAAGGGCTCCTAATTCTACTGTGTCACCTACCATTCCATATAAAAAAAACACATCATTAATAAATGTAACAGAAAATCAAGAGCATACTAATAGAGTAGACATTCCGTACAAAGTTAATATTTTAGACAATGAAGTACCAGAACCGAATACCATCCCCCGAAGAAGGTTTCTATATGAAAAGACAAAGAACCAGAGAATTCAACAACTGATTGCAGAGAAAAGGAAACAGGAAACAATGAAGAAACTAAAATAACTGTAGTATAAATCTCAATTTATTTTATTACATAGACCACAACACAGATATTTTCTGGTGCTAGACTAAAATGGTGCTTTAGAGAACTTACAGATATTCTGATTGGCATTATTTCAAAATAATATTTATTCCAAACCATCTCACGGTTTTGAAATCACTTCACAGTCAGTTCACTTAATGAATTTCAGCTCTTAATTTTGTTTTGCGTATATAGCCACCTAAATACATTTATATTTCTATTAATTAAATCATTTTTCTTACCAAAATTGATGTCTTGTGCTTCTTTCCTTAACTCTGTTCTCCTGCATAACTGCCCCCTTATTATATTATGCAGGCAAAAAATGAAAGAATATCATTTAATTTTAGAATGGCATGTAATAACACCAATTTTTGGAATTAAGACTTGCCTAGATATGTATTAGTTTCCTTAATTGACTCTTTAATGTTTTTCCTGGTTCATCACCACATCTGGCTTTACGAAATGGTGGATTATATTTACACTGGTAATGTTAATTGAGTACATGTATATACTGACTGTGATTTAGATTGCATTAAAGGGACACTATAGTCACCTGAACAACTTTAGCTTAATGAAGCAGTTTTGGTGTATAGAACATGCCCCTGCAGCCTCACTGCTCAATCCTCTGCCATTTAGGAGTTGAATCCCTTTGTTTATGAACCCTAGTCACACCTCCCTGCATGTGACTTGCACAGCCTTCCATAAACACTTCCTGTAAAGAGAGCCCTATTTAGGCTTTCTTTATTGCAAGTTCTGTTTAATTAAGATTTTCTTATCCCCTGCTATGTTAATAGCTTGCTAGACCCTGCAAGAGCCTCCTGTATGTGATTAAAGTTCAATTTAGAGATTGAAATACAATTATTTAAGGTAAATTACATCTGTTTGAAAGTGAAACCAGTTTTTTTTTTGTGTCATGCAGGCTGTGTCAATCATAGCCAGGGAAGGTGTGGCTAGGGCTGCATAAACAGAAACAAAGTGATTTAACTCCTAAATGGCAGTGAATTGTGCAGTGAAATTGCAGGGGAACGATCTATACACTAAAACTGCTTTATTTAGCTAAAGTAATTTAGGTGACTATAGTATTCCTTTAATTAAACATATTCTAAGCAATATTACTGCACTATTAAAGACACTACAAGGAGCCACATGCTTCTTTCATTTCGCATGATATATAAGTAAACGTATATCTGATATTAAAAATACATTGTTTACAATATTCTTCACTTATGTCAACATTCCTTAAACAAAACATGAATGTATACATGACTATAGCCATCCAAAGTAAATTATGATGTAAATGTATTTATTATCACGTACAATCATATTTTTATATGAGGAATATCAAATACTTGTGATAACTAGTAAACAGTATACATAGATTTAAAAGAAAATATGCCACAGCAGGTTTAGAATTTATAAATACATGTTTATATAATACTCTGAATTCAAAGATTTGTTATCACAATAACATTTATAGAATATGTTCGTGTTTAAGTTTGAACTCTCTATATGGGCTCATATGAGAATGGGTTTCACTCAGTATGTATTTAGGGGGTCTTTTTTCCACCTGTTTCACTGTTTTCCTGACCCAATAAAGTTAAAACCACCATTTAGGTGGCTTGCCCCCCCCCCCTCCCTTAAAAGGAAATAAAACTTACTTTACTCTCAGCACAGCGTGAGGCATCCAGGACTGGCCTCGCCCTGATCTGCCTCCTTGCTGACATAATCATAATTAAAAAAATTTAGCAAATCAATGATTTCACAAAGGGAAAGCTATGGACTGCCTGAAATTGGCAAGGAGGTGGGACGGGGCAGGGACAAACCAGCTTGGCCCACCAGCACCTCCTCATAAAGATGCAATAAATCAGTGCATCTCTATTAGTAAAATACAGTGTCTCCATGCAGAGCGTGCAGCACTGCTCCAGGAAGCACCTCCAGTGGCTGTCTGTGGCCACTGGAGGTGTACCTAGGGGGCAATGTAAACTCTGAAAAGGCATTGTTTGCATGAAAATGCTTGCAAGGAATAATTATACTCACCAGAACAGCTACATTAACTGTAGTTGTTCTTGTAACTATAGTGTCTATTTAAGCACACAAAAGGAAGACATGCATATCTTGTGTCACCAGCACACAAAGGAGATAAAACAAAACATATTAGGTTTACAGATCAGTCCGAACATGATTATCAATTAAATTCTGCTATCAGATATTTTGGCAATTTTAAACTTAGCTGCCATGACTGACCCCTGTAGTACCCCAGATTCATAAAAGGAGCCAGAGTTGCCAGAATTGACATTTATGGTGCACTGGTTGATATTATGTATGATTTTAATATTGAGGGGGAAAAAACATTTCCTATCAATATTCACCCTCCATTTTTTGATAGCCTCCTCAACACAACATTAATGTAATTTATGGCTCCCTGTACCTTGGGCATGGTAACCTTGGGATTGTCAAACCTAACTCTCTGCTATGCCTGCTTAGTGGTGGAGAAATTGATGTAATCCTTGGCTATAGACACAAGGGTTAAGGCACCTGTAAGTAAAGGTTGACTAATCCCAACAACCCTCAGGTTTTTGTCTGGAATGAGTACTTTTCAGGATACAGATAACAACTTCACCAGCAATATTACCCTGGAATAGACACATTGCTTAGATCTTAAGTTCGGTTGAATTAACTTTGCAAAAGCACTTCTCCGGATGGAGAACGTGTCCGCCATCTGCTACATAAACCACTTGGGTGGATCCAAACTCCTGTTGGATTTCACCAAGGATCTTTACCAGAACTTTCTGGACAAGAACATGTCACTCATGGCAGAATACCTCACAGACAATCTTGTGGCGTACTGGTTTTCCTGGCACTGGAGGGATGCAAGTGATTGGCAACTTCATCCGCTTGTGTTTCACATATTTGACAACCTTCAGGGCCCCTTCCATCTAGACCTCTTTGCATCCAGGGCAAACCGTCAGATTTATCTGTTCTTCAGCTGACTTCCGGATACCTTGTAGGGATAAGTCTTACCGAACTATTAAAGATTTCGGTGGATCATGTTCCTTCTTAGGGCTATTGCATATTCTTCAGTGTCATATCCTTATTTACCGCATAAGTCACGTCTCTGTGTGGCTCGTTGTCTGCGGCAGTATATCTCTGTGACTTCTTCTCTTCAACCCTTTGACATAGGAAATCAACAGTTGACCATGAGCAGACTGTGAAGGGCCCCTATGATTGCTCATTGGATTGTTTGGCTCTTTGCCTTTGCTGGCATTGAGAGTGCCTTTGGGGCACAATCATTCCGGGGCAGCACAGTTTGGGCAGCCCTGGATTCCATTGGTTCTCCTCTCTTAAATTGGTCTAGGGCAGGGGTAGGCAACCTTTTAGCAGCACTGTGCCTAAAAAGATTGTGATGTCCCGTAGCGTGCCTATTTTTTTAAAATTGAGGTGTGTATGTTGCCGTATTCTGCTTGTGTTATTTATACTGTAGTTTCTTTGTATCATTGTGTTTGTGCATATATGTATCTGTTCACAAGTAGTTTGTGGTGTTGTGTATGATACCTATGAATGTGGGCTGTGTATGGGGGCTGCTTGTGGAATTGTGTGTGGATGGATATGTCACATTGTGTCTTTGGTAGTTTGTGTATGTGTGGGGCTGTTTAGGGTATTGCATGTAAAAGGCTGCATGTGGGGTTGTGTGAGTGTATGTGGATTGTTAGTGGTGTTGAGTTTGCGGGGATTGTGTGTATGTTTGTGTGCGGGCCGTTCGCATTGTTTGTATGAGGGTAGAGTTATTCTGCATTTTTGTGGATATCTAGCAGTGTGGGTGGCTTCCTTAGGTTCCAGTGGGAACCAGGCTGGCCAGGTACAGGTCAGAGACAGGAGCTGCAGCATCAGCTGCAGGCTCCTCTACTACAGTGTGGATTCCCATTAACAGGTGCTGGGAGGAAGCTTTGAGTGCCGTGCAAAGATATCTCGAGTGCTGTGCACGTTTTAATTTTGTCCTTGCTCCCATGCTTCTTCCTCCTTTATGTCTTGGCATTAAAATTGCAAATATAAAGCCTCCTGTCTTGCCATACAATTAGGGATTATTTTAGCCTTGGTGAAGGAATAATCAAAATTTTATTAAAGACAGAAGGTGAATATATCCCCCCTCCTGCTTGTTCTTTGCTCTTCCTTCCATGGATTGTTTTCTTATTTTCTTTTGGGGGATTATGGTTTTTGTTGCTCTCTCTGTTGTGACCTTGGTTGTCTACATGCTGTACTTACTGCTACCTGTTTTGGTTGTTTTAACAGTTATATAAACTAGTGTGTCGTCGTGATTTGCATGAAGTCCCAATGTGTCTCTCTCTTTGCCGTTTGATTGGAACTTTTTCTGGTTACTGTGGCTCTTGTTTAGTTGTGCCTGATTCTGGTTGACTTTCTAGACCTTATCAAAGAAAAAGGAAGTGGGACAGTCTGCCTGATAATTTTGTTAATGCCATTCTTTTTTCTGATTGGTTGTTTTCTGAAAGTTATGTTAACTATTTCTTTGCTGTTGGTGGTTTACGTAAAGAAGGCAAAAGCAAATATTTACCTTCTTTGTCTCAAGGCTTTCAAACACTTTTATTCAGTACTTTTCCTACAAAGCGAAAACATATTTAAAAAAAATTACAGTGGTTAAGATTCTATGATTTCTTCTACCTGGCTTACTTCTGTCATGCCCTCGCCCAGCCCGACACTTACATTCACCACTTATTGCTGCCAAACACTGGACAAAAGAAAGCAGAAGCCCCACCTAGTCCATCAGGTCTGACCTAACGATCGTGCACAATCATCAGACTAGAGGTAGGCCAGCCGATCTTGTGGATTCTTAAGGGGGAAGTGCCCAGGAAGCATGTGTGACACTTAAGGAGGAGTGTCCTTTTTATCCTATTTAAACCTCATACCTGATACCTGTGCTCCCTGCTAAGCTTAATCGCTGCATTGTACCTGTCCAGATTATCTGGTATCTGACTTTTGGCTTGTCTTACTTTTATGAACCTGTACTGCCTGACTATTCTTCTGCTTTACCCTTATTTGTCCCTTGCTGTGGACACTCTCAGCCCATTACTGCATTTGGGATTCTATCTACTAAATCGTGACAGAAATAGCCATTTATGGAGCACGCAGTATTGACAGAGATGGTGGGCACCTTAACCTGACATGTACCTGGCATCACTCAAGCAGTGCAAGAACTTCAAGAACAAATATCTGCTTCCAGAACATCAACACCACAAGTGTTACCCTCTGCACATCTTGTTTTACTCCCTGAAGAAGCACCGGCTGGTCCTGATTGAACAAAATACAGAACCTGCGAACTTGTTTGAGTTAAAACCACACACATATTATACTGACTATCAGATTCTGTATCGTTATATCCTCCTATCGGGTCCTCCACATGAATGGGATTATAATTTGCTGTGTACCAGTGATCCTGCTGTACAGTTCTGGGATGCATTTATCAGCTCTGTCCTCCATGTATGTATGATGATCCCAATTGACAAGAAACAGCACATACCATCATCAGAGCCCTTAGGCAAGGCCACTGACCTACAAAGGAGTACATCACTGACTTCAAACATTGTGCTACCGACACATGCTGAAATGAGATTGGTCTGTTTGCATAGGGCTATCTGAATCACTAAAGGATGATTTTGTTCACTTCGGGATACCTGATTTCTTGGAAACCTTCATGCAGCAAGCTATTCAACTTGATCGTCACACCTGAGAATAAAGAAAAACTATTAAGAATACAAGTTGTCGATGGTTCTTTTTTAAATCTGGTCCTATTAATCAGCAAACGCCTCCCGTGCAAGTGACTATAAACTAACATACTGAGACTGTATAATTTAAATTAGTCCCTTCCCTACTGTTTCCAGTCATATTGGTATGGTAGTACAAAAGACAAGACAAATGAAGGTTGCGCCAAAGCTGACTATAGTACAGCTAATTGTGAACAAAGGCCTAAATATAGTGATAAATCTTAAGAAAAAACCTTTTAAAAAAGAGAGAGATACCAAAACTAAGTCTTTAGTAAAGCCTGATGGGACGCCAACGGCCTATGTAGAGGAATATTCTATGTATGGATCAAATGGAGACAGCTTCCCAGGATTCATATGTAAAGAGAGGAGAAGATAATAGTGTAATACGTCTAGTACAAAAGGTGGATAGCAGGAAGAAAGGGTCTATGGTAATCCTACTCACGTGTAGTAGAGCTAAACTAGCTCTAGTGTGGATGGCATACAGCGGTACAATCCCCACTTATAGGATACATAGAGAGGTATTGGTCTTTTAATCCGTATGTGGAAGAAAAATACATCTAGTATAGATGGAGTTTAAATTTTAAAACTATCGTCACCAAGACTTACACCAAAGACCACACAAAGAAAAAATCCACCTTTTTATCTAACTCTAAAGGCTTTTTTTAAATGTAATACTTGTATAGTGTGTAAAACCACAGACCACAGCATAAAGACAAGAACTACCCATTTTACATCCCACAAAACGAAAAAATAATACTCTATAAAAGACATTGTGAGTTGCAAAACTAAAAATGTGATATATTTACTTGAATGTCCGTGCGGCTTACAATATGTGGGCATGACCTCGCAATGTCTATAAACCAGACTGGCAGAACATTGCCACAACATTGTAAAAGGCTAGCTAAATAATTCTGTGTCAAAACATTTTTTAATACATGAAAAAAACACTAAATACCTAAAATGTATAGCAATACAAAGGTGTAAACTCCCATGGAGAGGTGGTGATATCAAAAAGATTTTAGGTCAGAAAGGTTTGTTTTCTATCATTCCTTTTTGTTTCAGTGACCTGCAGCAGTGTTTCAAGTCTCTGCCCTTTCTTGCAGTGAGGATCGATCCGAGTGCACAAGACCAGTCTGGGGTTGAACATCCACGGAGCGGTAACTTTATATTCACCAACCGACATTCTGCATATCTATGCTTTTATTGTGAACCTTAGAAATAAGTTTCACCAATTTTTAATGTAAGAGTTCCTCTTAAGAGGGGTTTACCGTGTGGGAAATAAAGTGCTGAAACTGTATCATGCTATGTCAGTATCTTTTTATTAAAGGTTGGATACACATAGAGACAAAGTTTTTCTACATCAATTTCTGTTTCAACTATCAAATCCCTGCGGACATTTTGAAAACACCCCATTAAGACTGCAATTGGAACTTTTTCATTTAATTTAACATATCTTTGTGGTTGACCCTTATATGAAATATAGGGGTATATCAACTAAGCGCTGATACTGTGTTTATTTCATTTTATGTTATGTTTTAAAACTTGGGAAGATTTTTAGTGTATTGGGCAGCTTTGTATATTAACCTTTTCTTGTGGATAATTATAACTTGAAGCACTTGCTTAGAAAATCCACTATATTACTTATTTTCTTTTGCGCTCTCTATAAATTTGTGTTTTTTTCATTTGTCTTGTCTTTTGTTATACCCTGGTTACACACATTACACATGATCTCTGTATCTCTTGGTCCAAGGGAACCATCACCTCATCCCCTCTCTGTATTTCTCAATGTCTACAAAAATCCCACACTCAAAAAATTGCATGTTCTATATTGAAAGAAGACACACAGGAAATTAGCATATTAGACATTTTTGGCTTTGAACATTTTTCAGTGAATCGATTTGAACCGTTGTGCATCAACCTTGCTAACGAGCAGCTACAACACTTTTTCAATCATCATATCTTCCAAATGGAGGAGCAACATTGCTAAGAAAAGGGGATTGACCATGAAACTGTGACCTTATAATAATAACCAAACCATTTTGGTTTGCTGTCCACTTTCTTTTGCTTGTAACAAATCTCACCTTCCTTGTCTTTGTTCTGTGTTATTGAAACCTCCAATCTCTCCTGACCATACTTTGTGAATCCATGACTGTGTCACTTTTCTCCATTTCAACTCAACTACGGCTACCAACCAGATTCGTTACCTGGTCTACCTATAACCACCCCTGTACCAGAGGCAATTGAATGATTGCAGTTTATCACATAGGGGTTTGAACCTGCACAAAAAAATTTGAACAGTTAACAATTGTATAAACGGCATGCTGGTCGCAAAAGGGGGCCTACTCCATCCTAGGTTGGTCAATCCATTTGGTTGTTGTGACGAGACCAATCTCGCTACTGTGCATTGGAGGAGCCTGGTTGCCCGCCTGCTGCCTTTAGACTATGGCCCCATGTTGAAACGCTTGATTTTCCCCTGCGATGACACGAAAGCCGGGTCATTCCGTGCTGGCCGTGTTTGAGCGGTGATACCCCAGATAGCTATGCCATGGAGCCTATTCGTATAATGAAAGACTATGGGAAAGACTTTGGCCCCATGGCAATTGAACTGTATGTGTGTGCTCTGAACGCCATTCAGTAATAATGTGTGCTCAGATCTGAGCTATCTGGGGATATGTTGAATGTACCTGTTTTGTGCAATGGTTGCATAGTTATATATTTTTATGTGTTTTATTGTCTTTTGCTGCCATGTGTTCAATGGAGTTTTGCCTCTGTCCTTGGAGATAATTGGATTACTTCCCAATTATCTCCAGGATAGAAGACTCTGTGGAACTGGTTTTGGGCAGAAAAGCCATGCTTCATTTGGTCACAAAGGACTTTGATCTATCTTTTGAACCAATGGACCAATTTGGATGATTTTAAAATATGTTTGTATTTGGAGTATGCTGATTCTGAAAATTTACGAATTTAATGCGTTCTCCAGGACTTTTCTTATTGCGAAAAATGTGTAAACCACAATGCGGTTTTCCATAGGAATGCATTGAAAACCAATTAATCCATTCTGGAGGTCAGAAAAAAAGTCAAAATGAGCTGGCATGGAAACCAATCCACAATGCAGAACACACAATAAAAGGCATGCAAACGACGAAGCTCAGCTCCCTACCTTTCCACAGCTTGAGCAATGCACCAAAAAGTCCCAAAACAACTGCAAACAATTTCCAGAATGGCTCAAAAACTTGATGCAAAAGCCGCTCCAACACCTCCACACTCAATGCCACATGCTACCCACAGGCTCCAGCATTCAGGGAGCGGTGCTATAAACCTCCCAGGTGCAATGCATCCTGGGGAAACTTGCTTTGTATTGTGAAAAAAATTTGTTAACCGAAGCATTATTTTCAATAGATTTTCATTTGTAAACCGAAAATTATGTTAACCGAGGCGTTTGTAAACCGAGGTAAACTTCGCTGAACACAAATATTAGTGTTTCAAAAAGGTAAAACATATCACAGCGTTGATATTGTTAGTGAGAGTGACGTCTTTTGCATTTTTCACACACAAACAGCACTTTCACTGATGAAATTGTTGATACGTTTTACAGTTTTGAAATACTAATATTTCCGTTCAGCGAAGTCTCCCAAGTATAACAGTACCCCCCATGTACAGATTTTATAGTGTCTTTGAAAGTTACAGGGTCAAATATAAGGAAGTTTTTTTCACATTGAAATTTGCCAGATTAGTTATGTTGCCTTTGAGAGCGTATGGTAGTTCAGGAATGAGAATTTCCCCCATGATGCATACCATTTGCAATGACGAAAACCCAAGGTATTGCAAATGGGGTATGTTCAGTCTTTATTAGTAGCCACGTAGTCACAAACACTGGCCAAAATTAGTGTTCATAATAGTTTTTTGCATTTCTAACACAGAAACAAATATAAATGCTAACTTTGGCCAGTGTTTGTGACTAAGTGGCTTCTAAAAAAGACTAGACATATTGAATACCATGGGTTGTCTACCTTTCAAAAATATATGGTTTGATGGGGGTAAACTACATTGGCCGGATTTAAAAACATTCCAAATAGGACATGGGTGCATGATGACCAGCTGTGAAAATTCCAAGTTGGAAAACTGGAATGCGCACCCTTCAAATAAGGTCTTTTAGCCCCCAGAGAACCCAACACACCTATACATGGGTGGTATCACTGTACTCAGGAGATGTTGCTGAAAACAAATCGGGGTGTTATGTGGCAGTAACCCTTAAAGTTCACAGTACATGTATTCTTAAATTGCATATGTTTTTTTTTTTAAATCACCAACTATTTTTTCTTATTTGGCATAGATTGGTGGTAAAATGGTTGCATGAAAAGAGTCAAAATACCCCAAGTTTAATACCTTAGGTGGTCTTCTTTTAAAAATATATACATGTGAAGGGTTATGCAGAGATTCCTGATAAATATCAGTGTAACAATGTAACTTTGGTTAATTTTGAAAAAAAAAATGGTTTGGAAATAGCAAAGTGCAAAGAACATGTTAACATTGGGTATTTTGTAAACTCAGGACAAAAAATTAGAAACTATTTAGCTGGGTGTGCAACAGATTTTAGGAATCAAAGTTAGAAAAAGTGTGTTTTTTAATTTTTCATCATATCTTATATTTTTTATAGTAAATTATATGATATGAAAATAATGGTATCTTTAGAAAGGCAATTAAATGGCAAGATAAACAGTATATAATATGTGTGGATACAGTAAATGAGAAAGAGGAAAATTACAGCTAAACACAAACATCGCAGAAATGTAAATACAACTCTCGTCCCAAATGGTAAGAAAATTGAAAAGCAATCTAGTCACTAAGGGGTTAATGGTGACAGTGGTTGTCCATGAGTATACCTGTCACTAATCTTGGACACATAGAGGCATGTATGCCCGGGGGCTGTCCTTAGATTAGGGGTCCTGTACTCGCAATGTTAAGTTCCTGGCTTTTAATGTAACATTACCAACTGAATTCCAAATGACTGGTTTAACATCTTGGGATCAGCAGTGGCACACCTTCCTGATGTTGAATTCAGCTCACATAATGCTAATTTAGGCCTCTATTTTATGTTTTTGGTTAAGCTTATCATACGATTTAATATTTTTGGATACTATTGAATTTTTGTTATATTAAAATATCAAAACTATATCATATAAAAATTGTCAATACATTAAATATTTGATTTCCAGTGATAAACGTATGATTGTTACATGCCTATAACTCATGCTCGCAAGGTTGTTGTTGTTTTTTTTAACAATTTTGCTCTGATTAACATAACACTACTTTAGGCACAAAAAAACATGCTTAGTAGAATATTAATGTATGCTTGTAATCACCATTGAAAGGTAAGGAGCAAGGTTATATTTTCAACCAATAATCTAAAAGTGCAATATCAACTGAAGTTAATGATAATTAATAATTGTAATTTTATATTTTTCTTCAATCTAGAGTTTTGTTGTAATAAGAATAAACCTTTTCTGAAAAATCCAAGAACAATCTTTCTGAATACTGACACAGAACATAAGCTACTTATTAATAATAGTGCCACAAATAAATAATATAATATATTTCTGATATTTATTTTTTACAGCAGCAATGAATGTAAACACACAACATACATGTATTTTAGTACTCACAAAATAATAGCAAATAAATTACAATGCTATCTTCATATAATGAAAGTACATGCAAATATTGCTGATTCTATAACAGTCACTTTAGTTTTTTTTAACACAATTGCACATCATTACCATTAATTTTGCACTGATTATACTCCTAGATACCTTAAAATAGTTTACTTTTCAACAAATGTCGATTTTGGGAATTATTTAAACAAATAAATAAACATGTTGCATAGAAGAAATGGTCAGTCAATTCCAAATATCAAATAGCATTATTGTATGATTTCATTGTTAATGTTTAAAACCGAAGAGACACTGCATCTAAAACGTATTTGGCTATGTGTTTGTGGAAAATAAAAAGACCTTAATTAATTAGTTTTAGGCCGAAACATTGTACACCTGTGCCTATGTGCACTTATAACATTTAACTAAACTGCAGACCTGCGGAAGCCCTAAAAAAATTTTCATTTTGCTACAGATGTGAAACAAGCAGTTTCCTAATTTGGATGAAGCTCCCAGTTAGAGGTGAATTAGAGTTAGAGTGTTCATTGTAATCTTAAAATTCTATATATGTTATTATGGAAAGTCAAGGCATTCTGCTATCATATTTTTTAAAGGTGCAACAAAAGGACCATAACCAGTACTGCTCATTATAGTACATATCGCAATATGAACCTATAAGCACAATGTCCTGGTTTTCTGTTCAATTATTTTTTAATAGTTTGACAATAAATGAGGCTCGTCCCTGCACCCATTCTCTAAAGTCTCTGCATAAAGTTGAAATTTAACTTTTAAATTATCACAACAAATGTTATCAAACTTAAGTGGCAATGACAGATTGGTGGCTGCTCATATTACCACATTATTATGTATGTTGGGGCAGAGGATGCTTGGGAAAGTCCAGGTTTTAGGAATGCTACTCAAAATGCTTAGAGAGAAACCTGGGAAAAGCTCTCATAGACACAGCACATTAACCACTACATTGAGCTGTAGTAGTTATGGTATTTAGAGCACATTAATCTAGATATGCTAAATATTTTTAAATGCTACATAGATGACATATTCTCTATAAATCCCGTTTGCTAATTTATAATAAGGCATGCAAAATCACTTTTTTGTTACACTCAATTCCTTGCTATTTGATTTACAATTCATCACTTTCAAGAAGTCCAGCATATACAGGTAATGAATTCTGAAATTCTGTATTCAGTGAAACAGTCCGTTGTGCATTCTGTCTCTGTCCAATTTGCGTAGAGTACTTGCCAAATGTTGGTCTAACCTTCAGCTGTTTTGTATTTGGAACTGGTTGATGGTGAAGTGCTGTAATGTATGAAAACAAATTTTGTAAATGTAATCTTTGGATTATAAAAATAAATTGTTGGAGGAAAGGATAAAGGTTTATCAACTCAACATAATATGTTAACAACAACAATTTCTGCTTTTGTGAGAATCTTTGTATACAATGTACATAATGGTTTATTCACCAAACAGTTAATTTATAGGAATTGGAAACAGAATTACATATATTTGCCCAAAATAGATCCACTGGAAAAAATATTTTGTTTGGCTCCCCCTTACCACAAAGCACAGTTTGTAAATAAACCTTTTTGTTTGTTTTTTTGTTTTGTTTTTAATTCTTTATTTTGGTTTTCATTATCAACAATATCAATTACACTTGCGTACCAGAAGTTTCATTGTAAACAAGTACAACAAAAGTTAGCCCCTTAAGACCGGAGGGCGTACTATTATGCCCTATTCTAAGCGGCTCTAAACGCTGCGGCACCTCCGTCCTCCTGGAAGCCCCCCGGCCATGTGAGAGTGGGATCCTTGCTAGGACCCCACAATAACATGGCCGAGGGTAGCTGGCTGCAGCATTGCCAGCAGGGGGGCTGCCTGTAATGACAGGTGGTCCCCCTGCTGGCTGAAAATAAAAATGAATAAAATAAATAGTGTAAAAAAGAAAATAATATATACTTAGATCATATATATATATATATATATATGATCTAAGTATATATATACACATATACATACACACACGTACACCGTCTAGGTGTATTTTACTATTAATATATATATAATATATATATATATAAATATCAAATTACACGTAGACTGATACTGATTAAATATATATATAATTATTGTTATATATATATTTATATATAATATAAAAAAAATAAAAATGTAAATACGTTAAAAAATAAAATTAAAAAAATAATTAAAAATAAATAATTAAAAAATATATAGATGTGTGTTATTTCATTCTAACTGTATTGTGAAATTAATATATATATATATATATCAAAATACATGTAGAACGAAATAATATATATATCTAAATACATAAATATATACGTATATATCACTATATATATACCTATATATAAATAAAAATATTTAAAAAAAATTATATAGATATATACATATATATACACATACGTATATATATACATATATTAATTTTGCATATATATTTATGTAATATTTTTACATAATTAGGTATCTTAATTAATTACAATTAGCGGGACCTGCCTGACAACCCATGCCTAAAGTAAAGGGAATTTAATTTGCTAGCACTATATTTAACCCTATAACTTTCCAAGACACCATAAAACCTGTACATGGGGGGTACTGTTCTACTCGGTAGACTTCGCTGAACACAAATATTAGTGTTTCAAAACAGTAAAATGTATTACAACTATGATATCGCCAGTAAAATTGAAGTTTTTTGCATTTTTCATGCACAAACAGCACTTACACGGATGATATTATTGCTGCGATACTTTTTACTGTTTTGAAACACAAATATTTGTTTTCAGCTAAGTCTCCCGAGTACAACAGTACCCCTCATGTACAGGTTTTATGGTGTTTTCAAAAGTTACAGCGTCAAATATAAGGCTTGCGTTTGATTTTTTTCACACATTGGTTACGTTGCCTTTGAGACCCTATGGTAGCCCAAGAATGAAAATTACCCCTATGATGGCATACCATTTGCAATAGTAGACAACCCAAGGTATTGCAAACAGGGTATGTCCAGTCTTTGTAAATTTCATTCCTGGGCTACTATACAGTCTCAAAGGCAACGTAACCAATCTGGCGAATTTCAATTTCAAATGTAACGTGCTATATTTGACCCCTGTAACTTCCCAAAACACCATAAAACCTGTACATAGGAGGTACTGTCTTACACGTGAGACTTTACTGAATACAAATATGTGTATTTTATTGCAGTAAACGCAAACAGTATTATGACATTGACCGTTAAAATGTCATGTAGAACTAAAAAAATTTTTAAAAATCTTATTTTCTCCCATTATTTTCATATTAAATTATGTTTCATAGCTATATATTTGATATTAAATGAAAGCCCTGTTTCCCCTGAATAAAATGATATATAATAAGGGTGGGTGCATTTACTATGAAAGAGATGAATTACGGTTGGACAGACATCTAGCGCAAATGCCAGGTTTTGTTTACATTTTGTTTTGTTCACAACGTGTACATTTGGCTCCTTCCTTAAGGGGTTAACAAGAAAAATTTACAGGAATATGGTAGTGGGGGATGATACCATCAGTTAATATGTAGCTTCGTTGTAACTCAGGGTCACTTTTTGGTGTGGTGGCCCTAGTCTTTATGTAAGGCAACATCTGGTTGAGATAGGGTTATGTCTCTTTGCTCCGGTGGTGTGGGTCTTGTGTGCCGGATTGTTTCCATCAGCTGACGTTTCGGTACGGGTCTCAAGTTCTGTGTGAATTAACTGTCAGCTTTGTGGGTGTACTTGGGTGTGTTGAAATTTTTGTAAGTTTAGATGATGTGGTCTGGTATGGTAGGGTATATTTGTGTGATAGTTTCTTCTCTATTTGAGTGATGGTGGGTGTTGGTGGGTCTAGGGTGGGTGGGTGTGTTAGTCATTGGGGTCGACCAGGTTCCCACGGGTGAGCCCTGGGTGAGCCCCAACTTCTAGGGGATGGGGGGGCTGGACCTCTGCAGACACTCACCTCCCCCGTCAACCCAGGGTAGGTTGGTGGGAGTAGGAAGGGTGGGAGGGGGGGAGGCTACCATGGCAATGAGGTGTCTCCCTCAATCCACAGGTCCCATGTTTTGTGAAATTTCATAGGGACGTCTCGTATCTGTGAGGTTAATCTGTCCATTTGAAGTCCATCTTGTATTTTTTGGTATATGGTTTGTGTATGGGGTATGTGTGGGGTCGCCCAGAGTTCAGCTATTGCTCTGCGCATTACCAGAGCTATTTTAGCTTCCAGCTTGTTTTTATGATGTGTGAAAGTGCTGAGGGGTTTTTACAGTAGTAGTGCCCATGGGTCCTTTGGGAAAGGTCTTTGAAGAAGGCAGCTGAGAAGGGATATGATACTGGTTCAGGTGGGTTGGAGTTTGGGGCAGGTCCACCAGCAGTTTAGGAAAGTGCCATCCTCTCTGCATTGTTTCCAGCATGAGTTTGTGCTGGCTCTCTGCATTGATGCTAGGCATTGTGGGGTGTAGTACCAACAAAACATAATTTTTTTTATGATTGCTCCTGGTGCGATACACATATTGAGATTGAGGTTAGTGAGGACCATATGTCTGCCCAGTCAGTGGGGTCATCAGGAGGGCCAAGGTCCCTCTCCCAGGCTGTTATGTAGGGTAGTGAAATTTGTGTGGGTAGACAGGGTTGTGTATATGTCTGATATTTGCCCTTTTTCGTGCGGATGCTCTATTCACAGTCTTGTTCAAAAGGTGTCATGGTTGATATGGCTGCTTAGTGAATTG